CCGCAGCCCATCATGCACAGTATTGGTGCAGCCTCACCGGGCGCAGCTGGAATGCAATGTTTCTTTCTCGCTTCTCGCAGCGGTCCTGTACTGTACGTAATTATCCGTACGGATCCGTACAGACCATGCGCTTCTCCAATTCTCGATCCAAATCACGCCCCACACCCACTGCAGCCATGGGCCATGGCGTCCATAATCAAGCTTCGACCTTGCCTAGACTGCTTGTAGTGATTAGTGAGTAGCCGCCACTAACCCGCGACTAACCCTTTGGTTCGAGAATTTCGATCGCCTGGAATCGTCGGGGAACCTAGGGAAAACCAGTCATGTCTGCCTAATAGAGATCGCCCACTCAGCCACATGCACCCTGAAATTGCCAGCCAACTAGTGCAGATGCAGCAGAACCTCCGGCCAGTGACCCCTGAGCGAATCCACAGATCGAGCTCCAGGCTTCTGCTCCTCGGTGAGCGGCGCGGGCAAATCGTGTGGTTGATTATCATGGTATGGCGTGCCCGAGCCTCCGGAGGTTGCCGGAGTGAAGCGCTTGACGCTCATCACTCGTGTCAAAATCAAGATTCTTAGCAGTCGATGATGCTTTGCAAGGCCCCATGTATTATCACGCTCCCAAGTAGGTAGTCGCTTCCAGTGTAGTGGTAGTCATCCATTCATATACGACCACCCTCTACCACCTCCCTCGCTGTTGCCACTTGTCCCGACTCGTCCACCCGTCTTCTCTCAACGACCCATCTGCCTTCTCCGCTGTCATCCTCGCGCGTGTACGATATACTGTCCGCTGAGTTGCCGTGCTTGTGGCCGGGTTCCGAGCGGCGGCTGAGGCTCGGGCTCACGTTCGAACCCGCCGGACTGTAGCAGCTGGACGTGGCCGTCGAATCGGGCGACTTGCCAGCATGTGCCTGATGTTGTCTATTCTCCGGCTGAGATGATGCGGAGAGCCGCGGCCCATGCGCTGTGTAAGAGCGCCCCTGACTAACAGGCGCCGACGACGACATGGCCGGCGCCGTGACCGTCGGGCTGCTGCCTGCATTCGCATTCGCATCCGACTCGAGACCCATGCCCGAGATCAGCGACCCCTTCCGTACGTGCGCGTGAGGATGCCCGTTCCACTGCGCCGTCCATGGCGACGAGGGCGCGTCACCTCTCTCAGACCTGGGCGAGCCCTCTCTACTAGAGGCCAGGCTCGCCTGCGACCCGCCCCATGCCTTGTTGCGCAGCCGCAGGAGCGCCGACAGTGACATCTCGTCGCCGCGATCCGCCATCATGGTGAGCTGCGCGAGACCAGGCGACTGCACCGGCGTGCCCAGCGCGAAGCCTGGCATTGCCATGCTCATGACCGAATTGCGGTTCGAATACTCGGACCGCTCGGTGATCGGCGTCAGGTTCGGCTCCTGCGACACCACCCGGCCGCTTTTGGACCGGCTGAGGCCGTCCTTGGGTCCAAAGAAGCCTCCGTTGGCGTACATGAAGGCCGCCTTGTCACTGGGCCCTTGCTTCGAGTCCCGACCGGACACCGGCGCCGAGTAGAATCCAAACTCCTGCCCGTACCACCCGTCCGAATCACTGGCAAGCGCCTCTGCGTTCGCTTCGGCGACGAAGCCGTCGTCGAGCTCAAAGTCGTCCATGTCCTCGTACCCAAAGCTGTCGTCGTCCACGTCATGACTGAGCTGCCATAGCTCCTCCTCCTCCTCCTCCTCCTCCACGCTCTCCTTGGGAGCCAGAACCTGGCTCTCTGATCGCGACTGTTCCCACTTGAATTTGCCCGTGGCAGCCGCCGCATGGGCCGCGGCAGCGAGAGCTGCTTGATAGGCTGCCATTGGGTTCTGGTCCTGGGTCATTGTGTTGTGCGCCGTTTGCGTTGCCTCCGTGTCACTCCCCCCTGATTCATCAATTTTCGCCGACGACGGCTGCGCTTGGCTCACCGACGTGTGCGCTGTAGACTGGTGGACGACCTCGGACTGCGCAGAGAGCCGCGACGTCATATCCGACTCTCTTTTGGCAGCCTCGTCCAGCGCGGCCTGGCGGTCCGACTTGGCCTGTGCAAAAGCGCCAGCGATCGGCCGCCCGTAGCTGTCGGTGTCGTTGATGTCAAAGATGGACTCATCAAAAGGCGCCCCCTCCCACGAAGGCGGTCGTGCAAGATCCTCCGCAAAATCATCCTCGTAGTATAGGTCCTCTTGCGGTTCAACCTTTGTCGACGCCTCGTTCGATGTGACAGCGCCTTGGATACCCAGACCTGCCGGCGAAGCTCGCGGCGGTGACAGGAACTGGTCGTCGCCAGCCTCATCCGTGGGCTGCGGCGTGCCCACAAGGCCGGAATTCCCGGGGGACGGTATCAGAGGTGACGTGCCGTTGGATCGCTGGAAAGAAAAGCCGGCAAAGTTCTCCTGGTCATTGTCGGGGTCTTCGTCGTCACCCACCACGTCGTCCTCCCCAATGTAAAAGTTGTCTTCCTCGTCATAGTCTGCGTTGACGCCGGGGATCCTCTCCTCCAGTCCATCATCATCCATCATGGCGTCGTAATCAAAATCATCGTCAAAATCGTCGAAACGTGAATCTCGTGGCATGGCGCTGTCCGAGACCTTCTTCTCTGCCTCCCTTTGTCTGTGCCGCTCCTCCAGCAACTTTTCCTGCTTCGCTGCGCCAATCATGTCAAAACTGAATCGCGAGGATGTGCTCTTCATGTGCTTGGGGATGCCTGACAGTCTGGACCCCATCGACATCTCCGAGGATATGGAAATGTTCCTGGACCGGGTGGTTGGTGCGGGCGCGGTCTCAGTCCTGTCGCTGTACCGCGAGGATGAGGAGGACTCTTGACGTTGCGGGATCGATCGTTGCCTTTGCACCGCCGCATCCTCCTCTGGCTGCCGCTGGACGGATTCGACCACAGACGCCCCCGAAGATCCGCGAACCAGCATCGAGTCGGGTGAAAGGCTTTTCGAATCCTTCGGCGGCACGCTCGGTCTCTCATTGTCACCAGATTGACGGAGATTCTCACGGCTTTCCGAAGAAAAGCCTTTCCTTCTGGGAGCACTGAAGTCATGTACACGGGTTCCCCTGATGCGGGGGTCGTATGTTGGCTGCTCTGTCTCGCTGGGACGCGGCAACTGTTCTGCGACTTGCTGCGCATGTTTCCTGCGGGCGAGCAAGGATGACATGGAGCTCTTGAGAAACGGTAACCCTTTCCTGCTCTTGTGCGGCTCGGGTGGTGCCATGTTGGGTGATGTCGACGATGTTGGCGCTGGATCTGACGGCACTCTCGCGCCCGCAGGGCGTCGTCCCGTAAGACCTTGGCTCGATGTCGGCTTTTCAGCATCTGTCGGCGCCACAAAGGTGAACGACGAGGACGGCATGTGCGGTCCGTATGAGTGGTGGTGCAGTACCTGTGGTGGCGGTCTCGTCGGCCCTGTGTTCGTGTTGATGGGAGCTGGCACTGGACGCTGGCGCAGCGAAGGTCGCGACTGTGTTTCCTGCCTCCTGTCGTTTGAGTTTGAGTTCGAGGCCGAGTTCAAATTCGAAGCGGGGGGCATCTCGGTGGTTTCGCGCTGGCTGCTGGCCGCTTTATGCTGGGCTTGCAACTTGCGCTTGTAGTTGCGCAAAGCCACGCCACCAATGAACCCTGAGTCCATCTTGGCCTCGTAAGGCGAGCGCGGAAGCGCTGGGGCATTCTGATTCTGCTGCGGCTGCGAGGAATATTTCTGACCGTCAGTGCGGAGTGACGACCCGGTGGCCTCGCTGGCGGCGACATTGTGATGCTTGCGATCGGTGGGGTCGAGCTCGGGTGAAGCTACGCGGACTATCTCAGGGAGGGTCGGTGGCAGGGCTGGGCTGGCATTGTTCTGGTTGCTAGACGTCGCGGACACGGGTGGCACCATGCTACTTCCCGAGGAAGGCTGTGGCGACAGCTGGGCCGAGTCGAGCTGTTGATGCTGGCTTTGGTGGGACTCGTGCCGTTGTAGCTGGTTGTTGTCGCCAGGAGTTTTCGGGGCGCTAGCGGTCACTGGGGAGCTGGGGGCAGATGACCCCCACCGGTGGAATTTGAGGTGGGAGAGCATCTTGCTGCTGTGAGGGTTGATGACTTGTTGTTGAATCGAAGAGAACCTGGTTCTGTACGTGTGGATGCTTTTGGTCAGCCTTGAGGGCGATTCAGCCGGATGATGAAGTTCTCAGAGACGAATGTTGAGTTTGCCGCCGTCATTATCTCTGACCGTGGTGGCGGCGCGCGCGATGTCGTCCAAGGTTGATTGACGTCAAGGTTACAATCGCCTACCGCGTGAAATTGATGTCGCGAGCAATGGCACGCGTCAGGTAGGAGAGTGCATGGTGCGCGAATCATCAACTGCAGCGAAGGAAACGGCTTGCAGAGCTAGTTGTTTGATGTGAAAAGGGAGCGGACTCAACGACGAGGATCTGCTTGGGAGGGTGAGTGAGGTAAGGCAGGTACGGCCGGGGAGATTGGCTCCATCACGTTTCATTCCGGCTGGTTGGTGGCAGTTGCGGCTCCCTCCCTTCCAATCATTGGTGCATGCATAATAATTGATTATGCAATGCTAGTCTCAGTTGTGCAAATTGCTTGTGAACGCTGTAGTTGATGGACTTGGTTGCAGAAAGGTTTCTGCAATAAGGCAAAACAACATTTAGAGATTGGCAAACTTGCCCATCCAAGACGCTGGATTTCTGCAACAATGTGCGGCTTCGATAGATGTGTACATGTTGCAGCGCTACGAATGGCCGGCATCCGCTGAAGGTTTATCCAGCCTTCGTAGCGACAGGCCGACAGGACGGTTTCACATCAGAACAATAGGTGAGACCCGCGTGTGGCCCTTGAATGTATTTCAGATCCTCATGGCAGGACTCAAGTACGTATGATGTAAAACTGTCGATGATTACGACTACGTATGTACTTGTTTGCATAGCCTCGCGTCAACCGCGGACGCGTGGCCTTGTAGATTAGGCGGGCGTACGGACGTACATTAGTAGTTCCGTCTCGACTCACCCCTTACATTCTTTGCCCTGAGAATACAAAGAAAATGGCGACAGCCACAAACAATGCCCTTTCTGTTTTGAGCAGTCCTTTCCGGATGATTGCAAGGCTGCCTTGCTAGTCGGCACAAACTGTCCGCCTACTACTAATTAGGAATTCCTGACGTGGAGAACTCATTCGTCCGCCAACGTCAGGAGTGCATGCGTAAGACCAATCTGTCGTTTCGGACGGTCGCTGAATTTTCTCCTATTATCATCCTACATGCTCTTCAACTGCGATCTCTCCTTCAACGCAGCGACAATCTCCGGCACAGGTCTTTACTTGAGGCGCATTAGGGGCCCCTCAGCGCGTAAGGGGTACCGCCCGCCGAAAGCGGTAATTGGGCACGCGACACACTCCTTACTACCAGCAACGAATTGATGAGCGCGCCTGGTCTGACTTCAGATCCAATCGACCTGCAACTGCGCGCGTCAAGACTGTCAGACACATCACTGAAGCACCATGGAGGGTCTTCTCCCCAAAAGCAACGAGTCTCCTGATGGCATATTGCAATCACACCAAGATGGCCAAGGATCGTGGACACAGCGCCTCAAGGCCCTGCCTCTATTCGCCATCCATCGCGTTCGTCGCCTCGGCGTAGGCTTTCTTCTCAAGTGCGTCGGTGTCTTTGGGTTCTTGCTACTGCTCCTGCATCTCATGGAACCAAGACTCGGAGACCGATACCGCAACGTACTAAGCTGGACCTCCACAGAGACTACCGAGGGACCTCACCTGCGACTCGTCGTCTTTGGAACGCAAGACCTCGTTGGCAGCTCAGGGAGCTCGGAAATTGAACAAATGACCTGGCCCGAGAAGCTCTGCAAAGAGTTGAGCTGTGACTCCCTCTTGTCGTTTGTTCCCAGAAGCGACGCCCAGCCAGGCATCCTGTCCAACGGCCTCTATAGCGATGCACTGCAATCACTGCAAAAGGTAGCCGAGGACGCGGATATCATGAAGAACCCGGCCGCCGACTTTTTCTTCGTCAGCGAGCAGTATCCCGTGCCTGCGCAGACGCCTGATCTGGAGCATCAAATCAAGCAGTTTCTTTCGCTGCCTGCCCCCGCGGTGCCACCGCAGGAGACGCTGTGGGTGTTCACGTTCGGCACCTGGGATATCTGGAATTTCGCGGCGCTGCCGCTTGAGTCGGGCGAGGGTCTTGTCGACGCCTCCACTGCTCACCTATTCGATCAAATCGAGGTCCTGCTCAAGGAGTCGCTCGCGCCAGGCTCGATCGCCTTTTCCGACTTTTGGACCAATGCCACCAAGGCCAAGATCGACGAGCTTACTGCCGAGGGTGCAGCCGAGAATGTGGACGCGCGCAAGCTCGAGAGCTTCCGGGTGATCATCCCGCAGCTCTTTGACATTTCGCTCACGCCAGGCTGGAATGTCCGCCAGGAGCCGTCCCTGCCACATTCGATAGCAGATCAGCTGCGTAACAGCGCAGTGCTGACTGCGCGATGGAACGACAACATCCGACGCGAGATGGACTCGTGGATGGGCAAGGGCAGCATGAGGCCAGCGGGCATCGAGGACAGCCAAGTCGGAACGAGGCCTCTGGAACCAGCGCCAATGAAGGAGAGTCCTGAGAAGCAGGCTGACAACGAATACTTCAACGAAGCTGGAGATGACCCCACAATCTACGCGCCCTTTCCTCGACGGCTAGGCTTCTCAGCCGACATTGCTGGCGGGATCCTCGATGCCATGACCGAAGAAGAGATGCACAGGATAGGTGCGACGGACGCTGTCGGCCGTGGCTCAGTGCCGGCCGAGGACGCGGCGCGCTTCCTCGATATCTGGAATCCCTGTGTGTCGAAGGACGGAGAGAAGGCCAGCTGCGACAAACCCGCAGACCATCTGTTCTACGACTCCTTTACGCTTTCGCAACGGGCGATTGATTTGATGACCAAGAAGACGGCCCAGGGCGTGCTGGAGAAACTGCTACTTAGGGAGGAGCTGTGATGCTGTGCGTGTAACGGCTGTGACTGGTCACCCGTATGTACTACCTAATTAAAGATCATGCACGATCGCAAGCATCGGAAATCTCGATGCCCCGGTACTCCAAAGCTTGTTTGCAAGTGAAGCCTCGCAGAGGCACGATGCGGTGTGGTCAGTGGTCACTGGTTAATGACCCTGGTCAAGTGACGGCTCCATCAGTATGCGCGCTGCTAGCACTGCAACGCTAATGAGTAATGAGCAGGTCTGATGCAACAAGGCAGCGATCATGCCTTTTGCCCTCGAAGCGCCAAATACTTTGGGTATGCAACAAATACAATACATACTCAATGTTCGCTTTGTTACTGATCATTCAATCAGCGCTATAATTAGCATTTTGTTAGCGAAAGCTGGGGTTTCGCGGGAGGAAGGACCGTTGCGCTGGCGGGGACGGATGGGGAAGGTATGACCCGCTATGGAACTGCCTGAACTAACGTTAGACTCCAACGGAACAGTGCCGCTCTTAGGGTGAGCTCGCTCTATGCAAATGACCAAGTTGCACAAGTCTAAGTCTCACTGTTTGGCATTACGAACCGTCATCTAGACTACTTAGCTACATCATTCTTTCCGTTTACCTCCCAGCCATTTTGAGAGCGCTGGCAGTTCGTGAGTGCTAGCAACTACTTGCTAGATGCGTGCTACATGCTGGTATATAATGTAACCTACGTAGTATCGAAGTGCTACTCCTTCCTGTAGGCTAGAACTGAGCGCTCGCTAGGTCGAGTAGATGTGAATCGACGAGTGTTGAATGGATGAGAGCCTGTAGAACTTGGTGATCCTCCTCTCTTCCATCTCCTGAGTCCCTGACCGAATAAAACCTTGTTTCCTCCCTCAAGGTCCTAATTTGCGCTTTCTCGCCCTACTCCGCATCCGAGATAGTCTCGTCACCCCAGTGCAGCTTGTCCATCCGTTGATAGTAGTCGGCGTCAGTCTCCCCGTCCATTCTTGGTGTATCAACCTTCCTCCCGCAGAGAGGGCTGCAGATGCCTCTAGCGTTGCTCTGCCCTACGGTACAATAGTTGTCAACCCGGCTGTTAGACTGAACAAGATCGTCCGAACTGGTATGGCAACCGTAGTGGAGGCAGCTCGTGGCTCCTTTCTCCAGTGAGTCCTGAGGCTCGTATTCTACTCGCCAATCACCGGGAGGCCCATGTACTGGCAGCTTGAGGTCCGGGTTGGCTCTGTTAAAGGTGGCCGCAAATATGACCCTGGCGTAAGGGGGGTCAAACACGAATGTCGTTTCACCGGTGATTCCATTTCTCACTTCTGCCGTGACCTCGATCTCGTCAATGAAGATGAGCTCGTCATCCTTCGTCACGGATGCCTTCTCGATCTGGTTCTTGATATGGGCTGCGGTATCAGGGTGGTGGCGGGTATCAAGGAAGTATAGCTGCTTCTGTCCTGCGACGGCGACGTAAGGAGAATCCGGTGCCACGATCTGGTGGCCGATCGATGTTTGAACAAAGTCCGGCCTGAAGCTGCCCCGGTACTCCTCCTGGAAGGTTGCCGCACCTTCACAAGCTTGGAAGGGGTTTGGAACCATGATAGAAAGCAGGGTAAGAAGAAGCATCGTGGTGGTAAAGATAGGTCACGAGTGTCGGAGAGGGGTAGGTTCATGTTGCTGGTGCGATAGAGATCACGTTACATGCACTCGGGGTGTTGTTGGTTCTGTTGAAAGCCAACCTGACACTGTGCGCTATTGCCCCAACATATATGGTACATTTCATGAGATTCTCCTCCTAGGGAAATAAGACTCCCCTCAAGGCTGCCATCGACATCCTACATGGTACCTGATAATCTGGTCAGCTTCTGGTCTCGAGTAAAGGCGTCTAAAGGTGCGCCATACGAGCCTCTTGGCTATTTCCACGGGGGTCGGCCACTCAAGCGCGTTGTCGCCATAGTGGGACCATGGTAGCAGCTATATCGAGCTCCAAATTTGCTGAAGCTCACTACTAATACTACGTACCTGCTTATACCCTCTACAGTCAGTCAGAGCTGGCTGACCGTTTTCATCTCGTACCGTCAGGGTGTGCAGTTTGCAATAGTGCACAACTTATGCATAAACATCAGCAGGCGACACTGAGCAAGAGCGGCTCTGGCGCTAGTCTCGATTAAGAATAACGTGCAACCCCCCCCCCCCATCACCAGTGGCTTGCGTTCCAGGCACATCACGTCACAAGCCATCGATCACCTCGTGCAGGAGAGCTCGAGGGAAGAAACAACCGACCACCAGGCCCAGTCACAGGCGCCACGTACAAGATGGTCATCCTCGCCTGCCATTGGCGTCGCGCTGCGCCTGATGCTTGTCTCTTCTCTTGCCTGCCACCATTTCTCGCCCTACGACACCTCACTACATGTAGCTGCTGACGCCTGACCACCTCTGCGACGACCTGACCGCAGTCACCAGTTCCTACGCCTCAGGCTGATCCGACATCACCATCACAATAAAAAGGGTCCAGACGGCCCTCCATCGCTCATCATGGCTACATTCGATCCTGCCGCCTTTGCCGCCGAGATGCAGACTCGAACGCGCAAGGAAGCTCAATTTGACGAGTTTGAAGCCCAGCTCCCCGACCCCAAACACCCAGCCTTCAAGACCACGACGTCCAAGGGCGATGTGGGCATTATTGGCGGTCTCATTCGCGCTATTGGCGATCTCAACCCTCTGGGGAAGAATGTCACCAAGGATGACGTGGTCTGGCTGCTGGACAACACGGCGTTCCGAACGTCGAGGCTGAAGAGCTGGCAGGCCGAGTACGTCGCTGCCGTCTTCGAGATGGACCCTCACTGCAAAGTCACCGACATTGTCTCTCGGATCGCCGAGCAACTGGGGCTCGCCGACGACGCCGCAGAGAGAAAGACCATTGCGGAGAGGATCCTGCCGTTTCTCTGGGACATTCGCATGGTGCGCATCGTCAAGGTCCGCACGGAGGGCAAGGATCTTAAGATGACGCCCACCAACGTCAACGGCATCTCGACGCAGGTCATGAAGATCCCCAGCGCCGACAAGGGCACCATTGTGAAGAGTAGGGCCGTGGTGCCCCAAGGCGTCTCGGGCATCCTGGAGGCGAACACGGTGTACGCCGGCACCAAGGGCTGGGCCATCCTCTCGGACATTGACGACACCATCAAGATCACCATGACGAGCAGCCCGACCGGCATTGTCCAGAAGACGTTTGTCGACGAGCCGACGCCTGTGCCTGGTATGCCCGAGCTGTATGCCCAGGTGAAGGCGTCTCTGCCCGAGGACACGCCTTGGTTCTACCTGTCGGCGTCGCCCTACAACCTGTACCCGTTCCTCAAGGAGTTCCGCGACAAGTACTACCCGCCCGGCACTATGATTTTGCGCGACTTCTCGTGGAAGACCGTCGCGGGACTGCTGTCCGCCCTGACAATGGGGACAGAGCAGTACAAGACCGACCGCATGAAGAAGATCAACTCCTGGCTCCCCGAGCGGAAGATGATTGTCATTGGCGACTCGACGCAGTCGGACCCAGAGGCGTATGGCGAGATGTAAGTGCATGCATAGTTAGTCATCTGATTCGAAAGAACCGCGCTGATGAACAATTGTCACCAGCTACCGCACCGTGCCCGGCTGGATCGAGCTCATCCTCATTCGCAAGGTGGAGGACGTGTCTGCCATCGGCATCGCAGACAAGAACCACCCCGATCGATTCGAGAAGGCATTCGAAGGTATCCCCAAGGAGGCGTGGCACGTTTTCACTGAACCCTCCGAGTGCTCGAGATTGATCCAAGATGTCGTGGGCAAGCACTCGTGAGTTGCAACACGGCATGCTTACGTATTGAATGCCTGATGAGCGGTCTGACCTATACCCTTGTACCTAGCACTACACATAGAATGCTTTCTTTTCACCCTGGATCGCGCATATACGTACGCCCTTGCTGTGTCAATTGTTCAAAGAGTGCCCTGTCTGTCTGGCGATAGCCGATGTCGGCTTTGTGTTGTGGGTCTTTGCTGTTCCGATGGCTTGTGGCCCCTCTAGAACCGAAATCCGACAGACAAACTCCAACTCACTCATCGTCAACAACATGCGCTCCAGTCTATCGTGCGACGCGTGCAGGTGACCGAGTCCCTGCAAATTGTGTGACGATGCCGGTCAGCTAACGTCTGACAGGCGAGCCAAAGTCAAGTGCGCCCACGATGGCGAGCCACCCTGCTCACGATGCGCCAAGTCAAAGGTGCCGGGCTGCACTTTGCTGCGGCCTCGTGTGGACTTGGAGAAGGCGAATCGCGTGAGGGCCAAGCGCAAAGAGGAGAAGCGTGCTGCGCTGGCGGCGGCATCGCAAGCGACCAGTGCGCCCGAGACGTCCCCTGGCATGCCCACCCCGAGGAGCAGTCATCGGACTTCTCTACGGACACCACAGGAGGAGCACGATGAGGCTGATGGGCAGGATACCGAGGACGCGAAACTCGATCTCCTCAGGGTCGATCGGCACATTGGCACCTTGCCCAACAGCACGATCCTCAAGTCGCTCAACACATTTTCCAACAAGTTCCCCGAGCTGGCAATATTGCATCTGCCCACCTTTATGCAGGAATTTGAATCGCCATCATGCTCCAGGGAGAGCATGGCGCTCCTCGCGGCGGTCCTGGCCGTGGCGAGGGCGCAACTCGCCTCGCAGGGCGCTGCTTGGACAGAGGGCCTTTTGAGCCGAGAAGAGTATGCCACATATGCCAAGGAGCGCCTACAGGTGTTCATGTTGAAGGAACCCAGGGTCCAGGTCGTGCAGGCGCTGCTCATCATCACGCTCCACGAATGGGGCACGCGCGACTTCCACAAGGCGTGGGTGTACTGCGGCATCGCGATCCGCATCATGCAGGCGCTGCACAGCCAGCGCGTCTCGCCGTACCCTCTCGATCCCAGCAGCGAGCGTGGCCGGCCCGCGCGCAACGCCGTGACGGCCGCCATCGAGACGCGCGCGTACTGGGCGTGCTTTCTCATGGACTGCATGGTCAACTCGGGGACGTACAACCCGCCCATGCTGCCCATGTCGGAGATGCATAAACTCAAGATCCCCCGGCCGCTGTCCGCCGTCGAGTTCGCCTTTGGACCCGAGCTGCCGTCGCACACCATGCCCCTCGCCGGCGGCGCGCTGGACATTACGCAGTCCTTTGAGATCCTCGTCGGCGGGTTCGAGATCTGGGCCAAGGTGATGGAGTTCATCTTCAACGACGGGCGCAAGGCGCCGGGCATGTGCGCGCCGCACAACTGTCCCTGGGTGCCGGGCTCGCCCTGGATGTCCAGCTGGAGCCGGCTGCGGTCCTGGCGCGCCGACCAGCATCGCAACCTGCACTACCCCAGCACCAGCGTCGCCGTGCACATGACGCTCGGGTACGGGGAGACCTTTACGTACCTGAACCTGCTGTATTACGTGAGCAATCTGATGTTGCACCGCGAGTACACGCCATTCCTCCCCACGCCGGAGAGTGTCCCACAGGGGCCGGTGGACAAGCCTCTGCTCGAGGCCACGGCGCCCAACGGGTGGTGGGAGGACAATGCGGCCGAGATTTTTGGGTCAGCCGAGAACATTGCGCTGCTCCTCCACGAGGCGTCCGAGTGCGGTGTCCCGCTCATGACCCCGTTTGCCGGGTTCTGTGCCTTCTCCGCATGCTATGTGCTGGTCTACGTATACCGGTTTCCACGGATGAACCTGGGCCGGAGTCCACGCGCAGAAGAATGCATGCACATGTGCATGGACTATCTACACCAATTCCGGAACGTGTGGAAGATTGCCGACGGATGGGTGAGTTTATAAAGAGAGAAAAAAGAGGTGTTGGCTGTAGTTGTGCTGACCATGCGTAGATCAAGACACTGCAATATGCATCGCTCCTCTATGGCCGTGCGGCAACAGAAGGCCGATACCGAGGACGCACGAGAGCAGACTTTGACAACCTGCACCAGTCCGTGCACGAGTTCCGCGTCGTGGATCGTTCCGAGCAGCATCTGCAGGAGATTGATGGCGCAGATCGTCCCGTTGAACAGCCCGATAGTAGTAGGCGCCATCTACACCAGCACCAGCATCATCACCAGCAACAACACCACGCAGGCCAAAACGAGCCAGATCGCTTCGCGGGCTCCTTTGGCTTCGATGACCAGACCATGGATACCAACATGCTGCTCAACCAGCTCATGGCCGAGGTCAGCACCAATGTCGACGAGCAGGGCGCCTGGTCCCAGTGGTGGCCGACCATGCAGGAGGTGGAACTGCCAGAGGGTGTGCCGCTGCTCATGTAATGCGTGTGTTGACGACGATAGTCAGACTCGCTGTAGGAGCTCCACCTCAGCCATCGGATCTCGGGTCTGAGACGAAGTCCAAGTCAATAAAAGACACCGGCATCCGTCTATCAGACCTTCCTCGGACGCACTCACACAAGACTCCCCAGCGACATGACTTCCCACCCAACGGGAGACGAGTTGTCCCAGCCAACACCACCCACAGAGGAATCGCCCTCCTCCTACATTCCAGGCCGCCTTCTCCACCGCTCCTTTACCCACCACCCGGCCTCCGTACTCTCAGCCAAGGCATCAACACTCTTCCTTTCTGACGGCCGGTCCATCCTCGACGCCTGCGGTGGTGCCGCCGTCGCCACCATTGGGCACGGCCACCCGTCCGTCCTCGACGCCATCAGCCGCCAGGCGCAGGATGTGTCCTACGTACACACACAGGCCTTCACGACCCCCGCCGCCGAGGATCTCGCCAATCTCCTCCTCGAGGGTCAGCCCGGCGGTCTGGACATGGCCTTCTTCGTCGGCTCCGGCTCCGAGGCCGTCGAGGCGGCCATGAAGCTCGCCCGGCAGTGGCACTTTGAGCGCGGCGAGACGCAGCGCGTCCACTTTGTCGCCCGCCAGCAGGGCTACCACGGCAACACCATGGCGAGCATGTCCCTCTCCAGCAACGTCGCCCGCAAGATCCCCTACCAGGGTTTCTCGTACCCGCACGTCACGCACGTGTCCCCGCCTTTTGCGTACCGGTACCAAAGGGACGCGGAGAGCGAGGAGGACTTTACCAATCGCCTCGTGCAGGAGGTGGAGGATGAGTTCCTCCGGATAGGAACGGACAAAGTCATCGCCTTTGTGGGCGAGACCGTCATTGGCGCCACGGCAGGGTGCGTCACTCCTCCCAAGGGGTACTGGGCCGGGGTCCAGGCCGTGTGTCAGAAGTATGGCATCCTCCTGATCCTGGACGAGATCATGTGCGGCTCCGGACGCTGCGGCGCGCCCTTTGCCTTTCTGCAAGAGGATGTGCAGCCCGACATTGTCACCGTGGCCAAGGGCCTCGGCGGTGGCTACGCACCCATTGCCGGCGTGCTGATGAACCGAAAGGTCACGGACGTGATCAGGAATGGCAGCGGGGCCTTTGTCCACGGACACACATACCAAGCCCACCCTCTATCGTGCGCCACAGCACTCGAGGTGCAAAAGGTGATCAGGCGCGAGAACCTCATCTCGCAATGTGCACAGATGGGCAAGTTGCTGGAGGAACTGCTGCGGAGAGAAATAGGGGGGTTGAAATCAGTCGGCGACATAAGAGGTCGAGGGCTCTTTTGGGCTGTCGAGTTCGTGCAAGATAAAAATACCAAAGCACCATTCGATCCCAAGATTGGGTTCGGTGTCAAGGTGCAGCAAGATGCGTTTGAGAGGGGCGTCGCTATATACCCAGGCGCGGGCACGATCGATGGCCGCAGGGGAGACCATGTACTGCTGGCGCCGCCGTTCAACATCACACGAGGAGAGTTGGAGACAGTGGTCGAGGTGCTCAGAGAGTCAATCATGTCACAAGAAGCATTACACGGATAAACAATACTTTCTTGATATAGACTATAGTCTAGGTACGTTTCCTTAGGCAGCGTTGTTGTTGCTACAAGTGCCCACCTGAACGGACAAGTCATTCTTGCAACCTCTCTCGATAGCCATCACCCGCTTGTCCTGCCCGAGTCCAGTGGGATGGGACTAGGGTACACGATGTATTGGGTCCGTGACAGCTGCATGATTCGGTGGTAGGGGGCCAACGCAAGCATCGACACGTGTTGGGTCGTCGGCTCTGAACAGCGGACAGGCTCCGGGACACAGCTCGTGTGTCCTGCGTTGATGCTTTGGCTTCTCAGCAGACAGGGAAGCCTGGTCAAGGGACGACAACACCTGTTGTGCCCGATGCTTGAATCTGAGCTCACGTAGCGTCCATGCGTCGGACACCGATATCCTTGACTTCCTGCGCCTCTCAAGGACAGGCCCGCCGGTGCTGTTCTTCGATCTTTGCCCGAGTTTCTGGACTTCTGCTTCCAGCTGGAGATTCAGCGCATCCATTAGGTGATCAGCATGGTAGCGGAACAATTGCGGAACCGTCGTTGCCTCCACTAGCGTGAAGTCATTGAGATGGGGGAAGATAGCAGCCGTGAGCTTGGTGAGGGCCGACTTCTCGACGTCCGTGACGTCCGTGAGGTTTCCCAGGAAGTCCTTTGGGGCATCATGAAGCTCGCGGGAGAGGGGGCTTGGTGCGATGGGAACCGATCCTTGGACTGTTTTGATGTCCATCTCAAGCTGTCGGTTCTTGTCTCGGAGTGAGTGAATGTCACGCTCGCGATTCTCGATCTTGTCCCACAAGTTGTCGTGCATGTAGACCACTTCCTCGCAGAGAAAGCTGGAAAGCCCGCCCAACTTTTCCACAGTCTTCAAACCGAGCTTGTCCACGTATTCCTCGTGGTGCTGGTGGGCCAAGGCAAGGTAATCGTCGAGCTCGGTAGCATGAATGTCTTGTAATCGTTCAACGAAACCACTCCTGAACTTGTCATCCTCGTTGGCCAGGTCCAGCAGCTGCGCGCAAGGCACTGGATCGAAGGCTGGGGTGACTGGGCCCACAAGTGGTGCGAAAGAAAGGGGGTTTGCGCCCAGATGAATAGGCGCGGGTCCTTGGGCCCCTGCCATACGGCCAACAAGCGAGTCCATGGTCAAGACGGGAAAATGTATAAGCTGATCGAGGTGGTTCAAGTCGCTCAGAGAGTGGGGATGAGAAGGATACTGGTTGATGATGCAAAGTGAGGGTATTGATATTGTCGTATGTTGTGGAAGAGAGCAACAGGACTGTCTTCCAAGCTTGGGGCCCCCCTGATATAAGGTCACAATAGGCCAGCAATCGGGTCGAAAGACCGCATGTGATGCCGTATCGGAAGAGGAAGGATCTTGCTCGCATGTTCTCCGTAGAATGGCAAGAGGCAAGAGAGAACCGGCAGTATTTGCCTAGGAGGCAATGCCCTCAGTTGAGGCAAGCTCAGTTGAGGCAAGTACTGTAGTGGGCTGGCATGTCACGCAGCAGGTACAGGTACTACCACCTTCTCTGGACCATTGCGAAGCAATGTAATCACTTCCTGCGTTCAGCGCCATCCAAGGCCATGGATTCTAGAGCTCCAGTCCCAATTCATCCGCCCTCCCCCAACGCCTGCACATCCTCGAAGCGCTCGTCAATCATCTTCATCTGCTCAAACGTGAACTCGTTCATCGGTGTTACCGTCTCCTTCGACTTGGCGACGCAGCGGCCCGAGATGTGGTGTGTCTCGCGGAAAGGGACACTCTTGCGGACCAGGTAGTCAGCAACGTCGCGGCTCTGCGCTCTCAACAAACGGCTGCAGGTATTGGCATGCTGTGCGCCGCGCGCGCACAGCGACTCACCAAGTCAACCCTTGGGTATTGGTCAATGTTGGAGTTGCCTTGGGGGCAAATCTGGCTTGAAAAGACATGTCCGGGGTGAAATCACATCTGGCAGGTAATGGATGGAAGCTGGAGCATTGGTGCCAATAACTGATCACGATGTGGGAGAGTGCCGACGCGGGCTGGCTCAAGGGCCCTCAGCGCCCACGTGACACAGGAGAAGAAGTCTGGGAAATCTGTATTTTTTTTTTGCAAACTGCACATGCACCCACGAGCTCGGATTGGAACATTACTTATAGAAAAACGCTGCAAGCGCGGCAAGAATCTCGGACACAGACTGGAGGCGCATATGCATCTCGCTGTGGTCAGTGCCCCCATTTCACGTGGGGAGCAAATAGGCTGAACCGCGGAGAGGACTGGAGCCGACCTCGGAGGTGGTGCAAACCCAGCCACCCACCAAAGGGGTGAGTGAGACCATGAGACAGCAAAAATATGGTTCAACATAGTGAATTCAAAGGAGACGCACTTTTGGGAGACCAATTGCAAAAATGCTGCTGAGCTGAAGGCCGAAATACTCCTTGAGATGCCTCGGTGTTTGTGCGTGTGTGTGTGTGTGTGTGTGTGTGCCTGTGTTCTCTGGGCTGCTGCACGATGCATGCACCAATCCATCGTCCATCAGGCCACGCAGCATCACCCGTGCAGCCGTGGCGTGACACTGGCCACACAACACGCCAGATTGTGATAGCAACTGCTCGTTACACAATCCATTCGACAGGTCCCCCGCGACTTTGCCCAACTAGACACGCCTGAGGCTGGATGCACTCCGCTCTCCGCGGCACGGGTGGGTGGGGTTGAAGCGACTTCGGCTTTAAGGCCTGCATTAGCAGATGCTGCTGCACGTTTCTGCTACCTCTGCTAGTGCTACTCCGTGCGCCAGGGAATTATTATTCGCGCTCCGTGGGTGGCCAAGGCCAGGTCCAGGAAGGCTCCCCAGATATCAAGGTACCATCTGCTCCTCGCACGCAAACCTTCCCAACCTTTTCTTCTCTCCTCTTTATCCATCGCTCAAATACCTATTTCACGCCCAAGTCTCGTCCCCCGTCTCAGGAAAAAAAAGAAAGAACAAAAGTGGCCAGCGCCTCTACAGATTCCCCGGTTGTTGCGTGAACGTCCAACATTTCCCGCAATCGCCCGCCTTGAGAAAAAAAAGCCCGTGCGCGCCCTGCCTGCCTGCCCGACTCGTACCGGCGCGCGTTTCTAACCACTACGAACAGTGATTGACGGCATCGTCATCAGCCTGCGCATCTACAGCCTCAATCCGTCTCGACAACACTCGCGCGCGACATCATGTTCACCACGCGTGCTCTCCGCCAGGCTGCTGCGCACGCCGAGCGCACCCCAATGATCAAGTTCCTCGGCCCTCGCTCGATTCCATGTGCGTTCCCTCACATGCCTCGTCAACATCAGCCCCGTGCTAACAACCTCAACAGCGTCCGTCGACCACACCCCCAAGCCGCACCCCGAGTCGCCCTCTGGCAAGCTGCCCGCCGACTTTGCAAAGAGCGGCAACTCGCACACCTCCTTCTCCACCTACCGCGACCACGCCCAGCAGCACGGTCCCCTCCAGAAGAGCATCCGCTCCGGCCAGGGCATTGGCTCTGTGCCCGCCGCCGCCTTGGGCGACATTACCCCCCCAAAGGGTGTCTTCTTCGATACCTCTGAGCTGCCGGCGCGCTTCCAGCGGGCGCCCATTGACTGGGCTGAGATTGAGGCCGTCGAGTCGGGGGGTGCGCCCGCCTGGAACTGAGGTTTCCCCTCCCTTGATTTCGGACATGACTACGGGGACGAGATGGGCATGAAAAGGACTTTGAGCGGCAGGAAAACGAGAGATGAGTTGTCATGGTACCACGTGAAGGTCAGGCGGCGCTCTGAAGAACTGCCGTCCTGCCTTCACTGGACATGTAGACAGACGGCACTGGGATAGTGCGTAGTCATCTAACCATACCTGACGCAGGCACGCTTTTGATGCCTGCTCATACTCTCGTCAACTGCATTTGAGCGTTCTATGGATAGACCGAGCGAGAACCAGGAGGTTCACATCGCCACGCTGATCTACGAGACATGTATGTATCAAGCACGTATAAACAATAAAAAAGACAAAACACTCGACAAACTGGCCTAGCTCGGTGATCACATGTCGCGCTGTATAGAGTGTAGTGAACCCTGACATACAATTGTGTTTCACGCTATTTCGGCGCGTTGCGTTGGGCTCATATTTTACAATAAGAGCACCGTAATCACAACAGCACATCTGGCCGAGTGGTCTAAGGCGCTGTGTTCAGGAGACGTTCATTCGTATCTTTCGCAGTCTCGTAAGAGGCCTGGGTTCGAGTCCCAGGGTGTGTAAATGCTTAAATTTTTTGTTTCTTTTGCTATCTTTTGTGGGCCTGTTGCTCACATTCTTTTCCAACACATCGTTGATAGAGAGCACTCAACCAACCGCCTTGCCCTGGTGTGTGAAAGAATGATTTTGTCAATCACACAGATGGAGGTGTGCTACAATCCGACAGCATGTACCCGACTGAGAGACTTGGAGACCGGTGAAATCATTGTGATGCACAGCGATAGTGGTGGTTCAAAGGTTAATGGATTTCGAAACGGTCCTTTGAAGATGCTAACACAGCCTAACAAGCCGCACTACATTTACGAACTGCTGATCAAAAATGAACGCAGAAGTTCTGCAACTGGTCGTGACGTGAACAGGTGCCTACGATATCGCATGATCATGCCAACGACTACATAGACCATCGCGTGCTCGTGTCCTGCCTGATCAGCATCTATCTCATCGAGCTACCCTGCGCCCGCCAGCTGCTTTCGGTCCGTTGGCAGCCTCGCGCACACAAAAGGCTCTCCTGCTCTTCTACATCTTGTCGCTCAAGAGCAGGAGGCTTTTGGCAGACCCGTCGCAACCACCACGAGACTCCATCGGGCGCTCGGGATTGGTATCTGACGTCCTAGACTGTGAATACGCTGCCCGTCGTCATTGACATGGTGTTCGGACCGCCACGATAGCTCGCATCATTGCACCCTCGGTCGGGGATCTGTCGAAGCTGGGAGTGGCGCCGCCTGGGGGTAGCCAGTCGGTTCGTGCGGAGGTTGTAGGTTAGCAGTGCGGTCGTCGTGAGCATCAAGTCTCAAGACTAGACTAGCATCTCAGGGTCCAATCGAGAATCTGACTTGGGCAATGCGACAATCACCCTCTCCTTTCGCCCTCGATTGCCTTGCCCGACGAACCCGGCGAAGGATGAGCCAAGGAAGAGATGGTCGCGCCGTCCGCTGGAGGGAGGCGTCGCTCTCACCGACAACGAAGGTCGCAGCAGGCGAGAAGATCCCTGAGGGGGCTGCAACGCCCTTCATTATCTCTCGCCTCCAGGCTCCAGCATTTTGACACCAGAGTCGTGGTCATCCACTGCAGCCGGTAGTGATAAGCGAAAAGTCAGGACATTGTCCTCTCATCACTGGGATCATTGGGATAGGATGCGAATGCCAGGATCGTGTCGGAAGGATTTCACATGCGCGCCTAGGCCCATTCTGAACGACTGTCCGTTGACGCAGAAGGGTCGCCCGCGCCAAGGCTAGTGATCGTGCACTGTGCGCGCTTGGCTTGAACCCCTTGGCAGTTGGTCAGCCAGCGGTGGAATCATTGCAGCAGATAAGTGTGTGGTCAGATCACAAAAGCATCCGTGCTCACGCGCTGACGACTGACGAGGGATCACCGCCTCCAGGTCGCAAAGTGAAGCACGCGACCACCTGCCCGCGCCTGAACAGTGGTGGCGACATGGAGTATACAGAAAATGTCAGACACGCGCGCAGTCAAGCGCTCAATGGCTTGTCGCCATGTTTGGCGGCTGGGTTTTCACGCCATCAATCGAACATGAAACCTCTTAACTTGTTGAGTCCAACCGGAGGCTTGAACTAATTACTCGACGCCGGACGGTGAACCCGTAACCCCTCACATTATTTAGACAGCCGCTGATTGGCCACTTCATTGCGGGTCCCTGCCGATAGGCCATCAGCCAGTCAAGAGGCCTCTCGCTATCAGGAAGAATCGAGTGCCGTAAATTAGAATGCTTCGAGAACTTCTCAGCATATGCAGAAGGCTCACTTCGGGCCGTCTGTGCTTGAGCCGGCTGTCATACCTTAATTCATCTGCCAAACTCGAATCTCCAAACCTCCTTTTTTGCCTCGACTGTCGTCAACAACTCCATGCGAGGCATCACCCGTTGACAGCAGTTTGCGGGGGAATTGACAAATATTAACTTCATGCCTGAAACTATTACGTACAAAGTCTGGGGAGCCGACTCTGGGGCAGGTCCGATGCGATGGAGCTGACAAAAAGAATCCAACATCACCTTATACTCTGGGGAAAGCGCTATTAGTGAATATACTGTACGTAATTCCTTGTAATTACTATGGAGCAGTGTTGGAGCTCAACACGACATAGGCATCTTGACCGTCTTCGCTGTTTCACCGTGAGCTTGGACATCTTTTACGAAGCTCTTGTTTCTGTCGATAAACTGGGAATTGGCCTTTGCTCATGTATTTCTGCCTATTTGGGCTTGCCAAGTGACATGGCGAATGCGTCCTGCAGGGCCCTGGGAAGCGCCGAGCGGCATATTCTGAAGATCTCGAATACGTTTAACAGATTCGTACGTAGTACAAGTAGATCACGCAGTGGTAAATAATCAAACACTCTGAGGAGAGTATGGGCCAATACAGCGCCATTCAGGCGCCAGCCGCGCGTGCACGCATAGTTTGCCCCGCTGGCTCACCGTTAGTCTTGCGCGTCTGAGCATGATACTACCCGCTCCTCAGGAGGCCGCCGTCTCGCGTGATAACGATGGGCATCGCCAAGGCGGCACAGTGACAGGAGCTGGTCGCTTGCTGAACCCTATCAGAGACTATCCGCTGCGCCGCATCCGAGACTCCATGCATAGTCCCTCAACGCATGCTTCTCGAAGCATGCGTGGCTTCTAGCGCCCGAGTTCTGTCACCACGGGGAACCTGGACTGGCAGGCTGGACCTGGACCTGGATCTGGACGAATCATCCCTTCAGGAACTACTCGTCACGACATTTGGGATGGCTTGGTCGAGACTCCCGACAGACAAATCAGATTGTGGCATGGAGAGCGCAACAAGTCCTTGTCTCAACCAACGAGTCCCGCTCGCTCGCCCAGCGGCTGACCGTTACGCAGTCGAGTCTTTGTGCAACTACGGACGTACGGAACGCTGCATGTATGTACCTTCGCGCCATGAACATTGAAGCTGGCCCCTAGCAGACTGCTGTCGCATTCGGTCCTGCGGTAAGCGCATGGCAACTTTAACTCTAATTGCCTGCACTGGTGACCGTGGCCAACCCAATTCTGGGAATTGATCACCATACTGCTCGTGTGCCTTGACGCCAGTCGTAGCCGTCGCCGTGTTCATGCCCATGGCAGGTACAGTAATAGCCGTCCCCTCGAGGGACATGTGCGACAAATTAGGCGAGGACACACCTCGGCGCCTCGAAGTCACCTAGTCGGGCAGGTGGCAAAAAAAGAAGCCCGGTGGAAGAAATGGAAGCCCCGCCAGACCACCCTCCCAGGTTGAGTTACCTCACGAGACGCGACAGCCACACTGATAAGCCTCCTGCTATTGGAGGGGGGAAGTGGCCTCCGCACCTGATAAGGCCTCGGCGAGAGCGACAAGACAGGCCACACAGACGGGTAGCGATCTCAGATCCATGCAGCCTCCTCAGCATGTGCTGACACTGTGGCGTCGGCCAAGGTTTGCAACGGGGAATGCAGCAGGCCTTGCGCTCACAACGAGATCGCACGCTTTATGGTTGATTTGGGTTCGACCAGCGCACTCCATGATGCGCGAATGCCAGTAATCATACCGTCACTCCTCTTTCCCCAGATTCCCCGTTTCTTCGCTGCATTTCTCTTACGTGACCAGAATTCCTCGAGTGACAGACATGTGGAGGCGGCCGACAGATTAATTAGCACGGCGCATTTGTCGTGAATAATAAGCTTCGCAGCGACGCAGCGGCCTCCGCACCTCTTCCAGTAAAGTGTTCTGGAAGTCTTCCCAGTTGGTGCACCGATACCGAGCTCCACCTCGACCGATAATCACCATTGGACAACCCTCGGAACAAGCGCGCAAACAGTGGCGCATCCTTGTACCGGGTCGGTAGCTGCTGACTCGAGTTTCGCCGAGAATTAGGACGGGGTCCTATGCGCCGGTACGTGGTGATACCTGACAGTTGCTGTCAGCAGCCTAGGAGTAGATTGCCAGGCAACTGGTTGGGTCCCCATCCTCCACAGGACCAACCTCCAACAACAAGCCACTCGAGAGGTGTGGAGGGTCCCAGCCGAATGTCTTATCTCTGTGGTCTGTATCCGTAGACGTATGGAGTCTATGGACTATGTGGGCTGGTCGGCACCGGATCCGGCCAGAGACATTGCGAGTCTTCATTGCTGTGGTGCTGATTGTTGACGAGGCCGACGGCACTCCTGGCACAATGTTCGTTGTCGTTTTGTTGGACGAGAATTGGGACAAATGCGCGTATGGAGTATTTGGGTCGTATCAACAGCTCGTTCAAGTACCCTATCTAGGTAGGCAGCACGCTCCTGTCCGTTGCAAAAGGCCCGCCCAAGAGAGGCAGCGTGCGGCAACCGCACTGTCCATATCCGCCCACCCAATCCAATCGCCAGTCCTGAGTCCTGACGGACCGGCTGCAAGGATTATGGATGCATGAGCGGGCTGCATGCACCATTTTGTCCCTCCAGGGTCTGGTCTGGCCTGGCCTGGCCCAGGGATTCCCGAACGCAAATCTCCTCCCCAATCTCTCGCGTTCCTCCAGCGCAGAGGCGGCAAGGACCCACCACACTACCCCGGCGCGGCGAACAGCGCTAGCCCACGCTCTATCGCACTTGCCATATGCGTGCGAGACGCAACTGCAATCGCCTGCGTTGCCTTGCTTCGAGGCAGGTAGGGAAGGTAGGTAGGCAGGTAGGAAGGAAGGCGCGCCTGGAGCCCTCTCTCCGTCTCGCTCTCTCTGGTTTATAATAAGACCAGCTCTTGCCCCCCTTCCCCCTCTCCCTCCCTCCTCTCTCCCAAGCTCATCTCTTCGACCATTCCCTTCATCCTTGGCAGGTTGACAAGACGTCCCCGTCTGAGCACACCACCAGCCACTCGACTCACCACCATGTCCTCCAAGGACTCTTTCCCCGTTCCCGATGGCGGCGAGAAGGGTGTCAGCCAGGTCGCCGGCGTCGCGGGCGCCGACACTGCCCCTATCGGCCCCGGCGAAGATATTCACAACTCGTACGCCGAGGAGAGCTGGGCCACCCGCAATGGTCTCAACCTCGAGTCGTTCAAGTGCAAGCACTATGGCCACGGCCTGGTCGAGCTCGATCGCTCCATGAAGAGCCGCCATCTTCACATGATTGCCATCGGTGGCTCCATCGGTGCTGGCTTCTTCGTCGGTTCCGGAGGTGCCCTCTACAAGGGCGTTAGTACTTGGCTGTCTTTGTTGTCGCCGTAGGCCAGCTCGTTAACCAATCTTAGGGACCCGGTTCTGTTCTTATTACCTTCATGATCGTCGGTGTCATGATGTTCAACACGGTCTTCGCCCTCGGTGAAATGGCCGTCATGTATCCTGTCTCTGGTGGCTTCTACACGTATTCGACCCGCTTCATCGACCCCTCGTGGGGTTTCGCCATGGGCTGGAACTATGTCTTCCAATGGGCCATTGTCCTGCCTCTCGAGCTCGTCGTCTGCGGTATCACCATTGGTTACTGGAACACCGACATCAGCCTGGCTGTGTGGGTCACCATTTTCCTCGTCGCCATCATCTTGATCAACATCTTCGGTGTCCTTGGGTACGCCGAAGAAGAATTCTTTGCCTCCATGTTCAAGCTGTGCGCCATTATCATCTTCATGATCGTGGCCCTGGTCCTGGTTCTCGGCGGAGGTCCCTCGGATGGTCGCTACAACGAGTACTGGGGTGCTCGCTACTGGTACGACCCTGGCGCGTTCAAGAACGGCTTCAAGGGTTTCTGCTCCGTCTTCGTCACGGCTGCCTTCTCCTTCTCCGGCACTGAGCTGGTCGGTCTGGCTGCTGCTGAGTCGCGCAACCCCGTCAAGTCTCTTCCTGGTGCCATCAAGCAGGTCTTCTGGCGTATCACCCTCTTCTACATCGTCGGCCTCTTCATGGTTGGTCTCCTCGTCAGCTCGACCGATCAATCCCTTCTCTCGGAGGCCGCTTATTCGGATGCCAAGGCCTCGCCTTTCGTCCTCGTCGGTAAATACGCCGGTCTCAACGGTTTCGACCACTTCATGAACGTGACCATCCTGGTCTCCGTCCTATCCCTGGGTGTCTCAAGTGTGTACGGTGGCTCGCGTACTCTCACTGCTCTCGCTCAGCAGGGCTACGCTCCCAAGATCTTCACTTACATTGACAAGTCGGGTCGCCCTCTGTACTCTGTCATCATCATCTCCGCATGCGGAGCGCTCGCCTACATTAACTTGACCGCTAGCGGTATCACCGTTTTCAACTGGCTGCTCGCCCTTTCGGGTCTTGCCGCGCTCTTCACCTGGGGCTCCATTTGCCTTGCCCACATCCGCTTCCGCAAGGCTTGGGCTTACCACGGACACACTGTCGACGAGATTCCGTTCCACGCTGTCGGCGGCGTGTACGGCTCCTGGCTTGGTCTCTCTCTCAACATCATCGTGTTGATTGCTCAGGTATGCTCTTGCTCTTCCGCTGCACGTCGTGTTCGACCGTACTAACATACTTGCGCAGACCTACACTGCCATCGTCGCTGCCCCTGGCGAGCCTGGCTTCGGTACCGCCGAATCCTTCTTCCAGTCATATCTTGCCGTCCCCGTCGTCATCGTCTTCTGGATCATCGGTTTCGCCTGGAAGCGCACTGGCTGGCTCCGCACCCACCAGATGGATGTCGACACGGGTCGCCGCGATCTCGACTGGGATGCCATGAACGCCTACCGCGCCAAGGTCGCCTCGTGGCCCGCATGGCGCCGCATCTTGCACAAGGTCTGGTAAGATCTTGTGCCTTTGGCGCGCTATGATATCTCATCTCATCGAGGGTTGGATACTCTCGAACGCTTCATGTACATGTATGAATGGTTGCCATGAGGCTCGTTCATGACGATGATATATTGCTGTACAATTTTTAGTACTAGATACCATTTGATATTATGTCATCTTACCAAAATCTTGTCATGGTTGTGCAGGCGGCTGTGAAAACGTTTGCTTGATTGATACAGTTGCGATGCGGGCATCTTGGGATTTTATTCAGTTCAGCCTCGCCGTGTCGTCCACGCCTTTAGTCACGCGTTCCCACTCGTCACGCCCTTTGCGAACAATTTGTGGGGCTTGTCATGTCAAGAAATCCATGATATTACCAAATTGAAGTGGGAATACAATTACATGATGCCCACAAAGGCCCTCCTTGCAAGGTCCTTTTGAGTTTTGATCCGTACGGGCCGATGTTAACCTCACCGCGGTTTGTTCTCGTCAAGGTTGTAGCATACCACGTGACATTGCCCAAGCTTCCAGAAGCCAGCCAGCCATCTAATGTCTAAGGTATACTAGCCAGATCGATACCTGGCTCGCCGCAGCTTGCGGACGTGGCTTTTCGGTTCTTTTGTAACTGGTGGGCTTGCATGCCACATGCGCGGCCCATCGTTGACGGAATGGAATGGTCACAGTGCTCGACACTTGGATAAGCATGACTTGTCGACATGATTGAACAGAAGGGTAAAATTCCTGGTACTCATCATCGCTCCACCATGGTGCGCGCGTCGCCTACTGCGGCGCGCGCCATCTTCTTCAACACCGTCCGTTCGTCTGCCTCGCGGTAGCGATCCCAAGTGTCCAGGCCCTCCTTGGCCTGGATGCTCAGCGTCTCGTAGCCCTGCTTGATGACGTCGGCGACCTGGACTGCCGTCAGGTTGCTGGGCCTCTTCTTGTTGCCGGCGTTGTCGACGAGCATCTGCTTGTAGTGCGCGCTGACGTTGATGAGCGTGTCGATGGAGTTGCTTCCCCGGTTGGCGAGGCGGTAGTTCTCCTTGAACTTGGTGAGGACGTCGCCGGACTCGACCACCTTGTAGAAGAGATCGTCGTAGGCGGCGGGCGTGGGCAGGAAAGCCTCGCCCGCGGACAGCGAGAGGGCTACCAGGTTGACGACATGGTCAAGAAGGGTCTCAATGTGCGTGAGGTCTTTCAGGTCGGCCGTGTACTGGGTGAGGAAGCGAATCATGGATAGCAGGGAGCGGAACAGCTCGGACCAGTGGTACCTTAGCCTCGTGCGCGAGCGGGACAGGTAGGATATGATGCGAAGCATGATGCCGACGCAGAGGGTGTATAAGTTCACGTCCAGGCGTTTGCGGAGGTTGTGGTTGACACCGTCCACCATGACATCCAGCAATGCCGCTGCGATGTTCCGGTCGCCCTTAACCAAGGGCAGAAACGGCTGGCGGTGACGACACAGGCGTACAGGTGTGCTCAGCTCGTCGCTGCATAGCTTCTTGCAGATGACGGGGTCCTCGACTAGGAGGCGGAACACCATCAGGTTGAGATGAGCGTACGACGTCGCCCGCGCCGAGAGGTGGGCGTGCTGTAGGAAGTAGGATGTGAGGGAGAGGTAGCTGGAGATCGGTTGCTCCTCGCCCTTTTCGCTCGTTAGCGTTACGAGGTTGAAGCAGAAGAGCTTGTTGGCATGGGCAAAGTCGTAGGCTGAGAGGAGCAGCGCAGCGTTGGGGCCGGGCAGCTGCGTGAACATGTGCTTGGCCGTCTCGGCATCGTATATGGGCTTCTTCTCCGGCTTCGGTCCTGGCGCAATGAACCCGAGGCCTATCAGGCTCAGCGTCCTGCTCAGTGTCCAGCCCTCGGGTATGTCATCCTGGACCTCGACATAGTCTGCCCTGACGGCCTGGCACGTGTACCCGACGCATCGTATAATTTTCTGTATCGTCGCCTCGTTGACAAAGTCGTTCAGGCGAAGCTGGTACGGATTTTGGAACTCGAACTTGTTGTAGTTGGCGAGCAGCCCGATGAGGGTGAAGGGCTCGAGCACGGGGCCTGGCTTCTCGGAATCGTGAACGAATTTCATGATGGACGGGAACAGGTCCCTGTGTATCATGTATGTGAGAAGCGTCGTCTGGTACGCTCCCGCCGTCGTCGCCAGGAGGACCTCGACGGCCTTGTGCCGCACGTCCACTGCTTCGTTAGTCGGAGTATTAGGGTGCTTCGCGGGCTCGTCATACGGTTCTTGCCATTTCTGATGATTCCATCTAGCGTTCCCACGAAATCTGTGAATATCGTATCGATGTAGTCGAGGCCGGCGAGGACTGCGATGGCGTCGGAGCTAGGTTGGGGGTATTTCTTCGAGAGCACACTCGAGAGGAATACGCTGAGCGTCTGTCCCTGTCAGATGTCTTCTTCCAGACTTTGTGTGGACTGCTTACATCTAGTGCATTGGAGGCCGCGCCAGCGTGCCCGCCTTTCAACGTCGCGACAGCGCGCGCAAACAGCTCCCTCGTCCTCCCCTCGAGCTGCAGCATGTCCGAGGGCGAGACCTCGTTCAGCGTGGCCCGAAACGCATGTCGATCCGGCTTGAGCAGAAAGAACTCTTTCCAAAATCCCTCTGACTTGTCCACGTCGTCGTCATCCTGGTGTCGCGTGCGCGGTCAGCGGCGGGCTTCGGTGGTCGTCGTGGCAGTTTCTGCGTACGTACCTGGGAAAGTCAGACGGGCGCGTGCCAGAGAGAGGGAGAGAGAGGCAGGCGAACCTTGAAGAGAGACTCGTAGAGACCGACGATTTTCGGTGTCAGGACCTCAGGCTGAGGCTGCCGCGTGAGAGGTGATGACTCCATAGGGAGTTGTGTTTAGGTTTGGGAATGCCCATGTGGTCGGACTGGATGGAGGCTGATGGCGTCGTCAATAGTCGTGGGGCGCAAGTGACGTGCGCCACGACGCTCAGCCCAGCAGCGGTCAGCGCATCGGTCGCGGTCGACACTCAGAGCTCGAATATGATCTGTGATCATGTCAATTCGAGGCAATCTAATAGGCAGGACCAGACTCATACTTGTTGTCACTCACATGCACATGTGGTTCGCAGATGCTTGCAAGCAAGCCCCGGGTTGTCAAGCCTAACCCACCTGATGAGCGCATAAAAGGGATCACCAGCGACACCACTCGATTGAACGAGCATTTTCCACCATCAATAAGAACTCACGCTGTAAAATCCATCATAGGGAACAAATTTCCATGGCTCACCTGTCCAAAGCTTCACAATTGTGGCCATGCTTCGCAGCCTGCCGTATAATACAGGGTAGATAGATAGCCTTGGGATTGAGCAGCGAGTGGCTGACCAAAATCCACAACCTTGGGCAACGCCATTAACTAGACTAGAATCAAACGATAAATATTGTTGTTGCTAGAGATTTGCTGTATTAAAGCTTAATTGTTGCCAGTCAGACCGACAGCAAGGGCCGGCTGTGCCCAGAAAGGTGCACTCGGACACACCCATCATGCCTTCGATGGCTCAACAATCCGAAAACTTGGCATTGTTCCCATTCACTGATCAACAAGCCCTCGGACCTGGAATACCGTCGATGGTTTTCCGCCTTACGAAATGCAACCGAACATGGCCGGCTCGCGAACATTGTACAGACAGTGTCATGCCAATTCCACATGTCGCCTGACCCTAATCCTTAGATCCGTGTTGACACTTCGGGGACTGGCACATCCCTGCCTGTCAGACGTGCTTTGACAGTAACAAGTGGACACCAATAATTGGCGTCGAGTCGCCGCGACTCGCGAGAGAGGAGGTGCAATGGCCGTCAGTTATCATTTTATCAATGAGCACTGGAGTCCTGAACAGCTTTGGCCAGCTCGTAAAATGGCCGGACATCATTTTCGCGTTCCTCCGCCCCGTATCGAATCTGGCCAGGACCCCCGACCAGGTGGGCTTGTCCACAGTCCATCCACTCTTTCTGGGGCGTGCTGGGGCCAGGATTGTTGCATCAATAGCAGGCTTGCAGGGAGCTGTCCATGGGTGACCGCAATCCGCCCAGTTCTGTGCTTGCATGTATACCTAGCTTGCGAGGTGGCAGGCTTCATCAGGGTGCCTCCAGATTTGCTATTATCTGGCTGCAGCCGGGCTGGGCTGTACCGATCGAAGCGAGACGATCTATCGCAAGCAGGTTGTGCTCTTCGAATATCTCAATTGTGATCTCGAAAGTGACGCTTTTGCTGAGAACCAATGCGGCAAATGGGTGCTTTGGTGCATTCATGTGCGTGCGCCAGTGTCGTCGGAGTCCAGGTACGTACTCGCGCCTCGAATGCATGTCTGATGGCTAATATGCTAGGCAGATAGGGTCTTGGACAACCGTTGACACACGTGTTGGCCGCGTGCGAGGGTAAGCATTTCGTTCACCTGGCGTCACATGATCGTTCGACCCTCTGCGCCGACAGCGTCCCCTGGTCGTTGATCCTCTTGGTCTGGCCTCGTCATTTCTTAACTGTCATCTGGCCTCGACAATGTTCAGCGTGGATCAACTGGGGGTCAACAAGTGTAAGCGGAGTCGCGGACCGCAGATCACAACAGACATTGACGCACACGTATCCATACGTATAACAGAACCGCTCGGGTATATGTCATCCACCGACAGATGCGTCAAAGGTGCGTCCAACGTAGCACGTGCAATCTCTCAGTCGTCGTAACAGCCAGCAATATGCCAATCTCACAGTTAACGCCGCTCTCGACTGGAGCTGTGGAACCCTGTCTTAATATGAGGTAGACCATGCCCTCACAATTCAGCCAACGTAGGGTTCTTCTCGGCCAACGTCTAGATCTCAAGCGGTCGACCCCAGCCCCCACGCTCAGCCAAGGGTCGAAGAGATGATCACGTTGAGAGCTGGCCTCGGCTTCCGACTTCTCATAATGGCCACTCACTGTCTGCTGCTCGCAGTCCGTATGTCAATCACCTACGAAAGGTCCGTTAAATTGGCCTCTCGGAAGACGGACCCGCATCATTCTGTCAGACCGAGTGTGATCGATCCCGACTGTGTGGTTACACATGGAGCAGAGTCCAACCGGTCCGGATCCGTTGTTCCAGGCACAGGGTCGCGCAGCCATCATGAGGGCCCAAGATGGTTAGGTGGCCATCCTTGAACAGACATTGCGAAGCTAATTAACAGACCACCAGCGTCGCAGCCGATCATTCTTGAACCCAGCAGCAAATTAGCAGGACTTGCGAGCAAGCCGCGTCGGCCCCAGTGGGAAGGGAACGATCCGGCCTTTGGGAATCCGCTGAACACCTTGTGCCGACAAGACACATGCTCCGCTCTATCACTAATTAGTGATCGCGCCGTCGTACTTGCTTTTCCTCAGCCTCAGGACGAATTGGCTTTGAAGGAACCGGAGCCGTTCGTTTCGTCAAGGCACTAAGAACTAATAATTAACATTGACGATTGCAGATCAGACCCCCATGAGCGGCTTCAATCTGCAACCTCAGCAAGGCTCCATCTTTCGAGGTACCGTCTGTCAGGACCACCAATGGGCTTCAATGCCGCCTGCAGTAGCTCCAGTCGCGACTGCCTAGCGCGCCACGCCGCCGGCACCAGCAAAGGTGCTCACGGCAGGGCTAAAAACCTCTCGACCGACTTCTCACTAAGGTAGGTAAGGTAACAAATACGCCGGCAGAGGAAAGAGGAGACATCTGGTTGCCACCGTCGCGGGCCAGTCCAAGGGCCGATGGCGACCCGACGAAGCATGGCGCAACAGCGAGAAGCTAGACTAGTTATTAGCAGCCAACGCGTGTCATCCACGGGCAACGCACGCGTCCTTGAGACAACTTCAAATAGGTCGTCGGCACGCAGTAGGCATATCCTGATCAGTACTCTTCTTGAGCGCAACGACCGACGCCGCCTTCATCTCATTCGAAGGCCTTTCCGCCTGCCTCAAGCTTCGTATTGTACCGGCCGTGCCTGAGCATCGAACGCACTTATCCAACAGTTTGAGATCAAATACACCATTGTGTAAAAAGGCCGTAGCCCACGAATGCATCTCGAAATCTCGGGTTCAGAGTGGGTCATAGCGGGAATCCGAGGGTAACATCGACAGACCCCATTCCAGTGCAGTACGCCGTCGTCAACCGGCAATGGTCGACGAATCAACTGCCCACAGCAGAAGCTTCCAGGTCCAGGATCGACACCACAGTCGCCGACCTCCTATGCGATGACTGGACGCACTCGAATGGGTCGAGAACAGCTTCGTTGTCTGGAAAGATCCGAACTTGCGTACGTAGTCAAGACACGATGGCTGATTGAATCGACCTGTCGCCGTGCGCTTGTCTCCATCGAACGCACAATGATTAGCAGGTCAAAGCTTCGAGAGCAGGCAGTGGCGGACCGAGCCCAGTGCCTCCGCGGTCCAGGTCTGGACGAACAGGTGGTGCAAGGCCGCAAGGCTGCAAGCCTGAAGGCTGCCTTGGTCCGTCGCAAGTAACGTGATGTACCAAGGATGCATTGTGCAACCAACAATAACGAGCCAACAATCCTTACGAACGATCTTCCCGCTCCGGCCAAATGGCAGACCGGACCAGGCGACTAGGCGAGAACTAGTGAATGCTGAGTGCCGGTCATTGCTGGAGCTCGCAGTAATTCGCTTGCGAGACCGACGCGGCGCTGAGATCGTCGCGAGAGCAGTGAATATGCACTTTGAGGACGCTGTCGCGTGTGCGCCAGGTCTTCGTATAGGAATGCGGCGCTAGCCCAAGCATACGGATACAGAATGGCCTTTGAGTTTGCGCGTGCCGTCGATAGTGGTTCGACTACCTCTCCTGAATAGGAATCGCGGAAGCCACCGGACACGCAGAGGAAAAGCTTTGAGTATCTGATGCTCACCTGTGTCTTCTAAACCCAGGGCGCGGCTCACGGTCTCTATGTGAAGATAGGGCGTACTTGTCGGTGCGTCATGTAACCGAACAGAGCTCTGTAACTGTCAACCGTCGGGTGAGTCGGTGACTGGCGATTCGTTACGTGGACGTTGTTGGGTGGGACGGGAACAGGGACAAGGTGCCGAACTGCTGATGTCACCCCGTCAGCCACCGCAAGCTCTCCTCTCTCGTGGGTCTGTGGGTGGAAAAAGTGGATGGGCGAGCATCGGGGACGCGGAGTGATCCAGAACACGACGCGGGTGAGGCGGACAAGGAGTCGAGGACGCCGGGCGAGCTGGTACAAGTAATTTGTCAGAGAGCAGCCCGCCTCAAATCTGACGATGGCTAAGGTAAGGTAAGGTATGATGCCTGGGAGAGGTGTGCTTCCTTCCTCCCAATTGTGTCTCCAGTCCTACCTGACCTACCTAATACGCACATGCTTCGAGACCATGCGACGAGAAGTGGGGCCTTGCAGCCTAAAAGGCGAGTGCCTGACATGCGAAATGCAGGTAGGTTCCCCGAGGCACACCACCTGGCGGCAAGAGCACCCACACAACCTCCTCACTTGGGTGATTGATGTTGGTGCCGCGACGACGCACTTTGCGTCGCCAGCAGTGTAACCATCAACCGGCAATGCTGTGAGTGGTACGGATAGAGCTTCACTCAACGGCAGCAGAGACGATTGATTGAGCTACATACAGCCTTTGCCTACGGTAGGCCGTGCTGCGAGACACGACACATCATTCGAGGCACACAAGCTGCGGATTGCCCTGGAAACGGGCTCATACTCCCCCCTCTTCACATAACTGTTCCAGAAGACCACCGTGTCGGCCATATCAATTGCCCGTGGCAGACATAGGTCAGACATGGCAGGAGATCGTGGTTGGGCCATGAGTTGTCCATTGTGATCGCCGCTGTCTCGACCTTTGTTACGTAGTCAAACCGGCTCGGACTCTCTTCGATTCGTGTCTGAAGCTACGTATATGCAAGCTACGTATACCTTATGCATCACACTCCGCCAGCTGTCACAGCCTTTTCAGACGTCAGTCAATCAATCAATCAGTCAGCAAGGGAGCAATATGATCCTACATCCTGAGTCCGACAGTCACTAGCGCTCAGCAAGTTCTGCGAGCCCAGCATGACGACGACAAGCTGCGCGGCTTTTACAGTACTATTAGGTCGAATGGACGATACCGCAGCTTTGGGTCCATTGGCGTCCAACATGAGTTATTATAATTTATCACCGGTTGGCTCTGGCAATTGATGCGCCGCGGAAGATGTGATGGGATCCGGGAGAAAGTGCCATGGTCCAATAGACCACGGCCCAGCCCATCCCTGCCAGGGCTTGCGAAGCTAGACATGGACAAGGGAAGCTGCCCCTGGAGCTAGCCACCCTTCAGTAGCGCACCCGCTAAGCAGCCCCTGCTCAAAGAACCTTTTGGTCCCACTCCACGTCTGCATCTGCGGCTTCATCACAACGACGGGGTGCTCGCATCACGACGACGGAGTGGGAGTGGGGGTGAGACCGCCAGGGACGGACTGAGAGTGAGAATCGACTCTTGGGTTGCTGCCGGGGGGGTTCATCCACACAACCACACTGCTGCGCCCGCCAAGTTTAAGGGCCCAGGTTCGAGAATAACACCTCGTCCATCCCCGGAAACCCGTCCTTGGGTGAGATTTTCTTCTGATCGATCTTCGTCTTCTTCTCCAGTCGCTTTTGCATGCCTTCGAGGGCGAACTACACCATTCTATCGGAAACTTGATTGCAGTATACGCTCGCTGTGCTTGGAGCATTCTTTCATTGCTCGCTCGTGTCGATTCCGCAGCTCCCTGGCGACTGCCCAACGCAACACATAGGGCGAGGCCGACCATCTCACGAGTCACGGCATCAATTGATCCCCCACCACAGTCTAAGTAGGTAAGCTTCAAGAAGATTCAACAGCTGGGATCGTAACGCGTGCGCTTTCCTGGAAAGAAGAAGGACCGGTCGTCGTGGGTCGAGGAACTGAACGTCATTCCTGCCATCTCCCATTCCTGGCCCCTCAACCCGTCAGGACCGCCTTCCTTCCATTCCAGCTCCAGCCCACCACAACAATCGACAGACACAGATCGCGTCGTTCCCCATCTACACATTGTCAATGGCAAGCGTTCTTCTTCTGACATTGCACAACTAGCGCTGCTGCAGCACTACAAACTCCCTCGACACAAGATACATGCCCCCGGCCGGGCCGCTGACGATTGCGAAGCCACTTAGTCTGGCTTCAGCTTACGCTTCGATGATCTGAACGATAAAAACCCTTTCATCCACAACATGCAGGACAGCGGATCGAATCGACCCAGCCTACAGGTCGCTCCTCTCGCGCTGAATCGACTCAACCACGGCGGGACTCAGCAGTACCCGTACATGCAATCCGAGATGACGCCCCCCCAAACACCAAGCTCCTCACAGGAGGATCTTTCGGAAGACCAGGGGCCTCCCACGTTCCACAACTTCCTGCGCGCTCACTATCCCTTCGACAACTCAGCATTGGATGATTCGAACATTACAATGCCTTTGGACCGAGGCGATATATTGATGGTACACTCGATACATACGACTGGCTGGGCGGATGGCACGCTGCTGGCGACCGGCTCTCGAGGATGGGTACCAACCAACTACTGTGAATCATATGAGCCGGAAGAAATTCGGAGTCTTCTTCACGCTCTCCTGAACTTCTGGGACTTGCTGCGAAGTCCATCAATCAATGACCGGGAGCTTTTTAGCTCCCAGGAGTACCTGCGAGGCATGATTGCTGGTATCCGTCACCTCCTACAACGCACAAACTGTCTGCACAAGGAATCAAGTACGGTGCAACGCAGTGACCTCTTGCGGAGATGTCGCAAGGACATCACCTCAGAGACATCTTCCCTCGTCCGCGCTGCCAGGAAAATGCAAGAATTGCAGGATGGGACACTGAACCCACCGCAAGACCCCAATGATATTTGCGACGAAATGGTTCTCAAGGCCTGCCAGATCGTACTCAAAGGTGTCCAGCTCATCGACACGTTGGAGGAGGAAAGGAGGAATCGCGCGCCCGCCTCCGTACGGGTCATGGACACTGTAACGGAGGAATCAGTCGCCTCTTCCTTCGACCTATCGCAGGCCTTCCCTCTGCCACTGAACAGACGTCTCTCGTCGTTCTCTCGCCCACCAACCCGCAACGAATCCTCCCCTCAAGGACACCGCGTATCGTCCAGCTTGTCGCACCGTGTCTCGTTGGCGGGGCCCTCCTCCTACACTAGGCCTCAGTTCCTCGTGTCCGAACGTCTGAGCCGCAGCCACGACGCCTTTCTATCTCACATTGGCTCGTTCATCGGGCGCTTATCTCTTCAATCTCAGTCCTGTCCCGAGCTGGCTTCGGCCATCAAGCAATGCGCGAGCAGTGGCAGTGAGCTTTTGGCAGTTGTCGATGCTGTCGGCACCCACAGCCACTCGAATTGCGCTGCTCTGGCGCTGGCTCGCTCTATCCTCTGCGAGAGAATCCATGAATTAGTGTATGCGGCACGGGACAGTCTGGTGCAAGCTGCTTCCGAGGAGGACCTTATCATGCCGAACGGAAACAAAGAGCTGCTCATGTCCGCCACAGGCTGTGTTCGCTCTGCCGGTGATTGCATTGCCAAGGTGCGGAATGCTATCGAGCGCCTGGGCGACTTTGAGCTCGTGGAGCTGGATAGCAGCGGACTCGACATGGATCTTAGCATCCTCGACGCAGCCGCCCGCATGCGCGAGCGGAAACAGTCCCACGCTGGTCTATCGGAGACTGCCAGCGCGGCAGAGTCAAGTGGTACGGCAGGCTCGCGAACACCTGGTCCTCGCCATGCACACACACCTTCACTGGACAAGCCGCTGCCCGAAATTCCGGCTATGGAACTTTCCCAGGAAGCGAACCCCTCACCGCCTCCCTCGCGCCCCGAATCCCAGCATAGCCAAGGGACGAGCAGACTCAATTTGCTGCCCAAGCTCTCCACTACTTTGCCATCGGCGGCCACGGAGAACCCTCATGATCATGAGTATCATCATTCGTCCCGCGTTGACAGTATGATCGCCTCCAGCGCCGGAAGCAGCGCCACCTACCTCAGCCGCGATTCTGAGACCAGTATCGTCTCGCAGGCGTCGACCCGTGCCACAACCCCTGACCACACTCTTGTACCCCGGCCGAAACCTTCCGTGTCGGAGCTGAGTGCTACCGCTAGCTCAACTCTCACTGAGGAGGTAGAAGAAGTAGAGTCACGGCTCATGGAGAAGACATATGTGCACGAGCTCATGTTCAACAAGGAAGGCCATGTGACGGGCGGCTCGTTGCCGGCTCTGGTCGAGCGTCTCACAACGCATGAAGCGGCGCCCGACACAGTTTTCCTGTCCACATTCTACTTGACGTTCCGTCTGTTCTGTACGCCCACGAAGCTAGCCGAGGCCCTGATTGACCGCTTCGACTATGTCGGCGACAGCCCCCGCATGTCCGGGCCCGTTCGTCTCCGCGTGTACAACTTTTTCAAGGGATGGCTCGAGACTCACTGGCGTGATGAGACAGACCGCGAGGCACTTGTCCTCATTCTGCCCTTCGCAGAGGGTCGCTTGAGCCACGTCCTCCCGGCTGCTACGGGTCGCCGTTTGGTCGAGCTGGCTAAACGGGTCTCGAGCGGCACCTGCTTAGTGCCCCGGCTCGTGTCGTCCATGGGCAAGACCAATACTGCTATTGCACAGCACATTGCCAGTGACACACCACTGCCGCCCCCAATCATGTCGAGGAGTCAGCAAAATGCCCTCAACGCCTTTAAGGCTGGAGGCAACACGCCTAGCATCTTGGATTTTGATCCTCTTGAGCTGGCGCGTCAACTTACGGTCAAGCAAATGAGCATCTTCAGCTCGATCATGCCCGAGGAGTTGTTGGCCCAGAAGTGGATGAAGAACGGAGGCGTCGAGACACCCCATGTCAAGGCCATGTCTTCCTTGACTACAGGCATTTCCAACTGGGTCGCGTGCACCATCCTGCACAACGAGGAGATCAAGAAGCGCGCCGCGGTCATCAAGCAGTGGATCAAGACCGCCAACCATTGCTACGAGCTGCACAACTACGACTGCCTCCTGGCCATCATGTGCACTATTCAGAGCACTACAATCAGCCGCCTGCGAAAGACGTGGGATCTCATCTCGACAAAGCGAAAGGACACCCTGACGCCTTTGCAGGAGGTGTCTGACACATCATTCAACTACAAAGCGCTCCGTGCTCGCCTGCATGACCATGTTTCACCGTGCCTCCCTTTCCTCGGCATGTACCTGACGGACCTGAGCTTTGTTGAGGTGGGCAATCCAGCGACAAGACAGATGGCCCACGGAAGCGAGACCGGGGATCAACGAGCCAGTGGGCTGACCGTCGTCAACTTTGACAAGCACTCCCTGACCGCCAAGATCATTGGCGAGCTGCAGCGCTTCCAGATACCTTACCGACTGGCAGAGCACGCAGACATGCAGGAGTGGTTGACGGTGCAGATCGACGGCGTGCGTGAAAGCGACAAGGTGAACGTGCAGCGCGAGAACTACCGCAAGAGTCTTGCTCTCGAGCCTCGCGAGACTGTACCTCGCACACCCCTTGAGCAGACGCCGATGCCGACACCCACGACATCCCGCGGTGACTTTTTTGGCTGGATGACGCGTGAGCGCAGCCAGACCAACACGCCAGCGCCTCTATAATCGGCATTTGCCGTCTGGCCTGGTGCTCGGCGTGTATCTTTGTGAACATATTTCGACCAGTTGCACATTCACGCACATTCTTACATGATACCCATTTTTAAACACTCTACGCGAGACGCACACACTTGTTCTTTTATCAATTTTTTTTTTCAATGGCACAGTTACCGGGGCAGGGAGACCAAGGCACTGCGCAAGCAGAATCGGCGTATTATGTTGTTTCAAGGCGTTATTTGAATTGGAGCGGGACTCTGGCGTTTGTACTGGTAACGCGCTACATTGGGCAGCATTGGGACAATGGAAATGGACATGGATGCAGGCTCTGGGCCTGGGGACACCAAAAAGGGAGTGTGCTATTTTGACGGAGTTGCTAGGGGATGCACATGAAGGCAGAGATGTAGCTTGCATAGGCGGCGAGGATGAAATGAAAGTGTATTCAATGTCAAGCGCTCTGATTCACGGCAAAGCGATTGTCCAGCACTCGGTGGTATTTGCATGATACAGCACTCACTCACTGTGTGGCTGCGCGTATCTGCTAGTAGTAGGCATATATGAGATTCCTAACTAGCCTAGGTAGTCCGAATTAACTACTCCCTCAACCCCCATGTCCGACTGATCAAGAACACCAAGTATTAAACGATGAATATTTACGCGGTCCCAGCCCTCTTGTCGTCGATGCCCACGACGACATCCTCAATGGTCTCGTCGGAGAACTTGAGGTCCTCCTCGACGCTGACGGTGTCCTTGATGCGGGTCAAGATGACGGGGGCACCGACGACCAGACTGGCGCCGAGTATGGCCCAGGTGATGGTGAAGAGGGTATCGTACGAGATCTTTTGGGAGTCGAGGGCGAAGAAGATGCAGGCACCGAGGGATTGGAGACTAGAGAAGCGCGTGTTAGCATACGGGTAAAAGAAAGAAAAGGACGTGAAGAGACCTACCCCTTGTAGAAGCCCGCGAGGTTGGCAGCCTTGCGACCCGAGTTGGAGAGGGCGCCCATGTACCAGTACATGCAGGTCTGCCAGACGGCGTCGTAGAAACCATAGAAGAAGTAGAGGAACATGGGGCCAATGTAATTCTCGCCGCCGTCGGTCCAGTCGACGAGGTGGTTGGCCTTGTACTCGTCGGTGGAGGCCTCGGCGCGGCTGACCTGCTTGGACTGCCAGGCGTAGCCGCCGCCCCAGATGCCCATGGTGAGGGCGACGAGGACGGCAAAGGAGATCTTGGCGCGCAGGCTGCGGCGGACGTTGGGAAAGTCAAGGGCGTAGCCAAAGACGATGGCGCCGACGATCTGGGAGAGCCAGTAGAGCAGGCCGTTGAGGGAGCGGGTGCGGATGTTGAACATGATGGCGTTGACGCCGTTGGTCTGGTAGGTGTAGAAGATGTTGGAGGCGAAGAACATGGGGAAGAGGAGGATGATCCAGGGGTCGCGGTAGAGGGTCTCCCAGAGGCCGATGAACTCTGTCTTCCACGAGGGGCTCTTCATGAGGATGACCTTTGTGCCGTCCTCGCGGATGACCTTGTCGGCGTTGACGAGGAACATGGCAAGGACAAGGCCGATGAACATGAGGACGATGAGGCCGGCGTAGGTGCCGTCGGTGACGGCGCCCGAGGTCTTGTTGATATTCTGGGCGAGGGGGATGAGCGAGCCGATGACGCCGCCCATGTTGAAGATGACCCAGAACCAGGAGATGTATCGGCCCTTGAGCTTCTCAGGGGGGTAGGACATCATAATGGCGCCCTGGGCGGTCCAGAGCAGGCCGGCGCAGACACCGAGGAAGCAGCCGGCGAAGACGACAAAGGCGAAGCTCTGGATGTGGTTGTAGGCGAGGAAGGAGGCGGCGTAGAGGGCGTAGCCGAGGCCGCCAAAGGACAGGGTGAGGCGCAGGCCGAGGACGTTGGCGATGGTGCCGGAGAAGAAGCCGACGACGGCGAAGACACCATAGAGGGCGGTGTTGGCGTACTGTTGGGCGCGGGCGTCGACCTGGCCGCCACCGCCGAGGCCGCTCAGGGCGTTGAACATGCCGGGGCACATGAAGCAGACGAGGGAGACCATGAGCAGCTGGATGGTGGGCGAGGCGTACCAGATCTCCTTGCCGCGGAATTTGAAGCCGCGGTAGATCCAGCCATTGGGGCGGTCAACGTAGACGTCCGAGTGGGCGTCGCTGTCACGCTGGACCTCTGTGGCCGGGCCGCTGGTGACCTCGTTTCTCTTCTCGTCGGCCATTGTGTGGTTGGAAAGTGGTGAGTGAGCGCGTGCGACGACGAGCAGGTGGTGGTTGATGGGAGGGTGAGAAGAGAGGGAGGCGGAGTTGGTTATTCCAATCAGGTAGTTGACTGTCGATCCTGGCTTGACTGGATTGTCTGTCGGCTCATGAATTAGTTGAGCGATCGAGCGCGTGCAGATCTAAAGAGTCGTCGTACCAGAGCCGGGGGAGGGGGGGAGGAAGAATGATATATAGAAGCAGTTTGGGTGGGAAGAAAAAAAAAAGGGTCGCGAGCAGGGGTCTCTGGCCCGTCTAGTGAGGTAGTATCTAGTGGCAGTGGCTTGAGACGGGGTGAGCCAGAGCTACGTGACAGCCGGCCGGTGGTGGTGAGGAGGAGGAGGAGGAGGAGGATGGCCAGTCGAGCTGGAACGAGCCATGGGCGAGGGACGCAACGAGCGTGCTCGTACAGAATGGCAGGTAATTAGGGAGCCAACCAACAAGGGGTTTGCAGCACACCTCAGTCGGGACGCATGCCAGATGTGTTGGTGAGATGGTGAGGACATGGAAGCAGAGTAGGCGAAGAGAGCACACTCACTTGAAGCCTCGAGTCGTTCATGAAGTTCAGTCTTGGAATGACGGATCTCGGTGATGCCTGGCTCTAGTCGCGCCTGCCTGTCTACGTGTATTGACAGATGAGGCTGATAAGGCAGGCACAATGGGGATTCACTGCAACGACTGCAACTGCGCGCACGCGACCCCGTGATACGGGTGGGTCCAGTCCCATCATCCATCCCACTGGCACTGCACCACCCGCCCAGAATCCGATTGTGCGTGCTGGTCCTGCTACTGTACAGTAGAAAACCGCCCGACAATTGCCGCTGCAGTGGCTGCAACCTCCAGTCCCTTGTCTGGCGTTACCCCAGATAAGGTGCTGCGAAGGACCGAATGCTGGGCGCTGTGATTGGCCGCCAAGACACGCCGATCGCCAGCCATCCGTCGGTGCGTGCAGCACTGGGGCCTCGTGTGGGCAAGAATCAGTTGCGCTCCTGCCTCCGAGGCACAGAAGGGCAAAATAGTCAACTCCATGTCCAGCTCAGTTTCTCATCCATCATCTACAGATACACCTGGCTCAGTCTGGGAGCAACATGGGCTGGAGCGCGCACAACCTCACCACAAGTTACAACGACCGTCCGAGCAATCTCCAGCCATCCCCTATCGCTCCACCATGCACGCAAGCAGGGCCCCATGCCGAGCCCCGACTCCCAGTCCCAGGACAGACGCGCACCTGTTGCACCCGCACCGCGCCCGCTCCCGCGTCTCTCACGGGGTCCACAATGTAACGTTTCGCCAACGTCCAGTCCAGCCCATCTCCCTCAGACCAGCCGACAACCCGTCGCTCGATTGACGGACACCAGCAAGTACGCACGATTGCCAACAACACATCACACTTCTCGCCGTCCGGGGTACGTGCCAGCGCAAGCGCCACATGTTGCAGACCGACCCCATCCCATCAATTACCTATCAATGGGCGTCCGCCTGCCCCTCCACTCTTCGTGATAGTCAACGGGCTGGCTGGCGTCTGTGATTAGCTCGCAGCGCCATGTTACATTGAGCCGCACCAGCAACCAAGTTGACACTGACAGCTATTGCGAGTACGTATACGTAGATCTCTGTGGTCTGGTCGAGTCTCGTTCTGCGCTCGACCGAGCTCCTGGGTTCTCGTTATCAACACTGCATCTGCACTTTGCATTGATAACCCATGCCACGTTGTCGAAACACCTGAAATGGACCCATATTTTATTTTAGGGACGACACAATACGGCGGACCCCACGCTCCACGATTTGCATTGAAACGTCCCTCTTCCCTCGACCCGGGCGAGCCGTCATCGGCAACTTACGTACTAGTCTAATCACATGAAACTTTGTTCATCTTTGCGATTGATGCTTGATGACGGCTGGTCTGAGGCCGAGCATCGACACCCCGAGTGACTTGCCAGGTGCACATGACGCCGAACTTTCCCTTGGCCACGCACAAAGAGGCTGCCTACGGGGACGAAATGGGGTGATCTCGAACCCAATAACTCGTTGCTTCATTCTTCATGAAGAGCAGCATCTCGCCAATGGCTACTTCGTCTCCGCCCTGACGCTGGGCTGGTGATGTCCAGATGAATGAGGAGTACTGCGTACACGTCGCTCATTGCGAGATCAGGCTCCCGACTTGGTGGCCACCACGAACAGCCGCGGGTACGGCAGCATGACCTTGCCGTCCGCCTGCGCCGGGTAGGCCTCCTTGACCCTTTCGAGATAGGCCGCGAGGTAGCCCTCCCTCTGGGCGTCGTCGAGGACGGTGAGGTAGGGGGCGAGGCCGGTGCCCCTGACCCACTCGACAATGGCCTCGTGGTTCTCGAGGACGTGGAAGTAGGTGGTGCACCAGATCTGCACGTCGGCGCACAGGGGCTGGAGGCCGTCGTACAGCTCGATGGGCGCGGGGAACTGGTCGCGCTTGATGCCGGCGCGACGCATGGTGTCCTCCCAGGGGGTGCCGGGGGCGTGGGCGACGTCGGCCATGGCGCGGTGGGAGGGCTCTGTCATGTTGAAGGGGACCTGGAAGGCGAGGACGCCGCCGGGGGCGAGGTGGCTGACGAGGCGCTGGAGGACCTCGAGGCGGGTGCCGTTGGGGAGCCACTGGAAGACGGCGTTGGAGAAGTAGAGGTCGACGGGGCCGGGGGGCTGAAAGGTGGTGACGTCGGCCAGGTCAAAGGGGACGCCGGGGAGGGTCTCCCTGGCCTTGCGGAGCATGTCCTGGGAGGTGTCGACGCCGGCGAGGTCGGCGGTGGGGTAGCGCGCGGCGACGACGGCGGTGGAGTTGCCGGGCCCGCAGCCCAGGTCGATGATGCGCCGGGGCTGGGCGAGGGGCACGCGGGCGAGGAGGTCGCGCGAGGGCTGTGTGCGCTCGCCGAGGAACTTGGAGTACTGGTTGGCGGACCATGTGTCTGCGGCGGCTGGGGAGGAGGAGGACATGGCGCGGGACGCGGTCTTGCGGCCGAGCTGGGCGATGGATGATCTTAAGAGGTGGGACATTTGCGTATGGTTGGGCGGAGCAGAGAGGTGAGGCGGATGGATGCTCATCGATAGCAGGTGAGTGAATGTCGTGATAGTTCGTTCATTGACATGTTATATATATATGGATGTGTTTATACGTGAATGTGCGCTTATGTGCATGAGACGGCAATAAGATGCCGGCGAAGCGGGGCCATATGCATGTACCGGGACTATTGCCTGGGGACGACTCGGCGCGAGGAGCGGCGACCGAGCTGCGACGCGAGGACTTTATGCTACTCGTTGTTCGGATATGCGAGTCACGAGGCAGAATCAATTCAGCAGATCATGGACACAGGACTATCAAGGGATAGGCCTCGGATATGCGGCGCTGTGATGGTGTTAATGGGCTCGCTGTACGAGCGGCAGGCGAGAAAGAGAACTAAGCAAGTCCCAGTTTGTATCTGTAAAATCCGACGGGAGTCCGAGCTCGGCCGAGCAAGGCCGCTTCTAACTGTAAGAGACAAATTTCCTTTTATACTATCAAGCTAGAATGAAGGTGTATTGAATTGAGTTCACTCACTGGATCTGGGGTAACCGATTCCCCAGATCGAGCCTCCCCAGACACTTACTTGTAAAACAGCGCGGTGGGGCGTCTTTCCCAATATGGCAGGATTTCGACGCATGCGCGGCGCTGATTGGCGGAGCCGCAGGGCCCTGGACCGCTGGGCCACAGCGCTCTCACAGCGGCTTTCACAGCTACAAGCGCTACAGTTTATACTCTTATGCTCAGCCCAGTCTCCAGTCTCATCCCTCTCCTTACACACCTTCGCCGCCTTGTTATACATCGACTGGCGCTTTGGATGGTGCACCTGTCTCGTGTTGTGGCAACCGTCGCAGCTGTCGGCTGACAATCGACATGCTACGCCATCCAACTGCATGCTGCCGCCAGGATGGCTGACAAGTCGCGCCCTACAGTTGACAAGACTAGGTTGACAGCTTGGCGCGTTTGCTTGGCAGATCCGTCCAACTATTACGGATATAATACATATATATATATATCTACATAAATGCAGCTTCTCACAAACCTTTGACAGCACCCGTGGCCGACATGGCCGCCCACGACAGCCCCTTCACCATCCGCACCCACCGCCCGGGCGACATGTGCATGATCGCCCACCGCTTCAGCGCCGAGTTCTGCGCGCCCCCTTGGAACTACGACGAGCGCTTCGAGGCCCTCCTCGGTCGCTCCATCGCCGACTTTCTCGACCACTTTCACCCGGCGCGCGACAGGTGCTGGATCGCCGAGAGGGACGGCGTCTTCATGGGCTGCGTCGCCCTCGTACAGGACCGCGACGACGTCCGCGCCGCCAAGCTCCGTCTGCTCTTCACGGATGACAAGGCTCGTGGGACAGGCGTTGGCACGGCCCTTCTGAACGTTCTTGTTGCTTTTGCCACAGAGGCGGTCTACGAGTCCGTCTCCCTCTGGACGCAGGCTGCCCTGCTTGGCGCGCGACGTCTCTACCAGCGGGCTGGCTTCGAGGTTGTCGAGACGGAGGAGCACGATCTTTGGGGGCCCAAGATCATGGGGGAGATATGGAGGCTGGAATTGAAAGACGCGGGCCCAAATTAGTACTCAATGAACATTACACAGGGTCTATATTCCTGAACGAGAGACGGAACCTTTTATATCTTCTTCTCCTCCTCCTCCACTCGAGCCATAGGACTAACTAAAGGAGCGCTTAGCCATAGGATTACAAGTACTCCGTACGTACACACTCATCAGTCTAGATGCGACTTGTCATCCTCGTGCTCCTCGCCAGCCCCGACTCCCCGACACGCCCTGATCAGGCTCAGCCCAGCCGTCGTGCTCGCCCCGTGCTCCATCTGGCGCGTAAAGAAGGCCTCGCCGCCCATGATACGAACCGACTTTCTACGCTCCTTCTCGGTCACGCTCAGCTGCGCGCCGCCGCCTCCACGTCGCCTCTGCTCCTCCGCCTCGCCGGCCTCCATCTCGCGCAGGTACCGGGCCCGCAGGGCGTACCGCTCGTCCCTCTCGCGGCGAATGTGCGCGGACCCGACGCGCTGGAGGGCGTACCGCACCAGCGACCGGAATCCCGTAAAGATGTGCTCGCTGATAAAGATGGTGATGGGCAGCGCCCACCAGGCGCCGGCCCCGATGCTGCTCGCCCCAAAGAGGTGCACAATGGCCCCCGTCGACAGGCTGCCGGCCCAGGTCAGAAAGTCGAGCGAGCTGATCCACGGCCCGATGCCGTCGCTCCGCACGGGCGCCGGTCGCTGGTGCTCCATGGCGATCTTGAGCAGGTCGGTGCGCAGCTCGACAATGTTGTTGACCAGGAAGCCGATGCTGATCAGCGGCCAGACGGGCGAGAAGAGCGCGAGGTAGCCAAACTGCAGCACAATCTCGGCAATGTCCTCCTGCACGTCGTACGGCGCCCGCGTCGCCTGGTCCCGCGCCGACCGCAGGAAGCGCGCCTCCTCTTGCTCAAAGGGCTGGACGTCGTCTGTCGTTGGTATGGCTGTTGTTGGCGCGCGGTATGTACGGTACCAGTCGTGCAGCTTGCGCTTCGCCACAGGTAGCACGTTCTCCTCGAAAAAGGACGATACCTGGCCCGTGAGCGCGAGGGCAATGACCTCGTCCCGCAGTCGTGTCGCGTCGACGACGCCTCCCACGGCGTGCGCGCTGCCATCGCTCTCCGCGAGGAACCGATGCCCAAACTGGCCCAGGAGACTCCTCGTGTGGGCGCTCAGCCAGGGCACAATCTCGTCGCCAAAGGGCACGTAGACAAAGGCCGTGATGAGGATGGGCAGGTAGTTTGTGATGATGCTGAGGACAAAGTTCTTCTGCGTCAGGGACATTTCGTAGTGGTCCGCGGTCCGGTGGTTCTCGTAGTCGGTGATGGCCTCGGCGACGCGCTCGAGCAGGCCGTTGATGCGCGGCAGGACGAGGGCCAGCATGATGGTCGGGACGTACTCGACGGCGCCCTGGTAGCCGCCCGTGTAGCTCTCGGACAGGAGGATCTCGAGCGCAAAGACGGCCACGATGAGCGCGCCCAGGAGGACCGCCGACAGCGCGATAAAGGGGATCTGCAGCAGGTGGCGCAGGACCTGCTTGTGACGGGGGAAGTGATGCCGCGGCTCGCCTGCGCCGTCGACGACAATGGTCTCCCACTGAAACTGCGGCCGGTTCACCTTGACCGAGGCCACGTTGCGGACCCGCCAGCGGATGCTGAGGTCAATCTCCTGCACCTTCCAGTACTCGAGCGTCACCGTGCACCAGATGCAGGTGAGGATGGCGTAGGTCAGCGAGTAGCGGCCGCCGAGGTACCAGGTGAGGACGCCCGTGACGGCGGGAAAGGTGAGGCACACGAGGTACGTCTGGATAAAGGCAAAGTAAAAGGCTACCTTGGACCCGTGGAGGTCGCGGATGCGGTCCAGGTCCTCGTTGGTCAGGAACAGACGGCGGCTGACGTGCTTGAGGAGGGCTTGGTTGGCCGCCTCGTTGTGCAGCGGGAAGATGGACGTGACGTTCTCCCACTGTCCGAGCCCGGGCGTGATGCCGGCGCCACCGCGGTCCTTGGGCCAGTTCACCAGGTGGTAGACGGAGAGGAGGTCCTCGGCCTCAAAGTCGCCGTCTACTATCGAGTCCTTGGTGCCGCCAGGGTGCGTCTGGACGATTCCGTAGAGCCAGTCCTTGACCCTGGGCAAGACTTAGCATGGTACCAGCAGAGGGGGAGATGGCCAACCGTACCTCGAGCGGTAGACGTATTTGCCCAGCAGCTCGCGTGGCGCCTTGACAAAGACGAGCAGAGTCTGCTCATAGCCAGCGCGCGCCTCCGTCAGGAGACCAGCCGTCTCGAGGTCGTCGATCATGGCGGTGACCTCGCGCTCGGCTGTCTCGGTGTCTGGATGCGGTCAGCGTGTGCTTGACTGGCTGGCTGGCTGGCTGACAGGACGTACCGACGTTCTTGAAATCGTACACAATCACGTACTTGTCGTTGTACCGTTCCATGTGCCCTGTTGCTGCCGGGACCGCAGGGAGGCTCGTCCCTGTCGAGCCGGTGCCCACTCGCCAGATGGCCATGCCAGTCTTCAGTATGTATATGATGAGAGTCTGTGAGAACCGCTGAGGTGAAAAGCCTACATGTAAGCTAGAAAGGCCTCCTGAAATGGAGCCGCATGACGTCCAGCGGCTCCAGCCCTACGGAGCGTGTACGCGTAAGCTGCTCCACGCAGCACAACCGCCAAGCCAAATTCGACGAGCCGTGTCCAGTCTACCATCGCCCTTTTTATATTGCAGTGCACATTCATGCTTACTGTTCTCACTCTGTACGTAGTTGTGTCCCTTCTAAACCGCAGTGTCCCAGCTGCACGCTCAACGTCCTCCCCGTGCCACTCGACACCATCAGCCCTGGGACGTGTCCCTGTCGATCACGGGCGCGACGCACGTCAAGTCCAGCAGCGACTCGTCCACGTGCAAGCAGTCGTAGACGGGCGACTCGCCGCTCGGGACGGTGACCGTCACGTTCTCTACCCGGATGTTGCTGCATCGCTGCACACGATCAGTACATCAAATCACATGGAGTGACAAGGACACAACTCACATCGTCCGCGCTGCACACGAGCGTGCCGGCACGGGGATCGTACGCACCCGACGTGGTACCCCACATGTTCTTCATAGTAATGTCCTCGATGGTGAGGTTCGCCTAGTTCATCTGTCAGCATCATCCGTCCTTCGTCAAGCGCAGAGGCCAAACGCACTGGAAACTCGTTGCACAGCGTCTGGTTCTTCTGCCCGTAGCACTGCGTAATGGTGATGGCGCGGTCATTGTTCTCGTGGTGGAACAGGTCGTACGTCACGTTGCGCACCCACCCGAGGCCGCCGCCGCCGTTGAGGTTGTCCTGAAAGTCCGTCTCGATGCCGGGCCAGACCTTGATGCGCGCGCCGTCGCTGGCGTTGCTCATGGAGATGTTGTAAATGTGCAGGTTCTCGACAATGTCCGTCAGCCCCTTGTACTGCCCCAGCGAGCCGATGCTGATGCCGTGCGAGCCGTGGCACACGAGGCCCTGCACGACCACGTTGGTGCTGTTGGGCTTGAACGAGACGCAGTCTGGTCAGTGTCAGTGGACTGTACGTGTCTCAGAAGGCAGGACGCTCTCTCGTACCGTCAGTGTTGTTGATGACAGAGTCTTGGATGACCACGCGGTTGGAGCGGTACGTGTCCCAGCCGTCCGAGTTGGCAATCTTGACGCCATCTGTGGCCTGTCCAGCATGAGCATCAAGTCTGTCCCCGCCAGCACTCAGGAGTGACTCACCACAGCCTCCAGATCCATGTTGCTGACGATAATGTCGGTGCTGTTGGCGATAAGGTTGAACCACTGTCCACACAGTCAGCCATGATCCACCCCTATACGAAGCATCAACTCACAAAAGGGGGATTGCGCATCCTCAAGTTGGACATGGAGCCGCCCTCGAGGCCCTCAAAGACGAATAGAAGGGGTCGGCGTAGCTACACATGGAATTGTCAGAGAAAGGCAACCCCTCATAGCATAGCATGCCCACGCACCGTCGTGTTGGTCTCAATCTCCTTCCAGTACGCCTGACCATGCCCGTCGATCAGGGACTGGTCGTTGCTTAGGTCGCCGTAAATGTTGACGTCCTCGCCGCCAATCTGCCAAAACGCACTCGTGTTCTGGTAGGGGTACTTGAAGCTGTGGTCCGCCCAGTAGTACACGTCCGTGTCGTCAAAGTGCACCTCGCCCGTGATGACCACGTCGACGTGCTTCAGGAAGGTGAGGTCCAGCGGCGACCCGATCCAGTATACCTGGTCGAGCACGACGGTGCCGCCATCGTTGCACACCTCAAAGGCCTTGAGGATGCGTGGCGCGGCGTCGTCGCGTGGGTGACAGCCCGCCCGGACGTGGCAGAAGCGGTCGTCGTCACGGGGCGGCGAGACGGGCAGGGCCTGGCCAGCGTGGTAGGGGGATGGCTCGAGGATGGGCCGCTCGGGGAGGCCCTCGGGGCGAGCGGCGTGGGACTGGGGAGAGAGCAGCGCCACAGCGGCTGCTGCTATCGATTGAACACGCATGATGAGTGTGTGTTGCGATCAATGGATGCTGCGACTGATTCATCCTGACGCTCGACTTGCTGCCAATTGGGTCTTATATGAGCCGCGTCTGCTAACAAGTGAGTACGTAGGCCTGTCATCCAGCTGGCCTGCGCCATACGTGGAAGAATATTATCACGTCTCGTCCTTCGGGCCATCGTCAACCGGCATCAAAGTGCCGTGGCCCATGTCAATGGGCACGGAGAAGATGTGCAGCGTGCGGAGAACCAGACATGCCCCGGATTCGCCATGTAACCCCGGATGCATGAGGGGGGGGGATCCCCAACTTCAAGCGACGATTCAGCCGCCCAATCAGGCCCGGAAGATATGCATGATCGGTGAGGAGAAATCCGCGTATCGGAGAGGCTCTGGGAGATTCGTGGGAAAAGGTGAAATAAATCTTGTTTGTGGCTGTATGTACACGTATGCCCCGGCTGATGCTGTGCCAAAAATCCAATGTCGAAATCTATCCTGAACGCCTTGAAGTGCAATGTCCCCTTGGAAGTGCACTGTCTCTTCTAGTGCCCCAGGATGTTGAACAGGCTCGTCCTCGGGTCGAGGTGCGTGTTGCCCTCAAAGGTTCTGCGACGCTGCGCCTCGCTCTGGGTGCTGTTGTACTGCGCGAAGCGGCTGTCCATGACGTTCCGCGACCGGCTCAGCTGGGAGCCGACGTAGTGGGCGACGATGGAGACTGTCGTCTGTTGTTAGTGAGTTGTAGGCGTGTCCCTGGGGGGAGGGAGGACTCACCAGAGCCGGCGACGACGAGAAAGGGAACGACTCTGGCCGCGGCGCCAGAAGGACGGATGTGTGCTGCGGTTGGTGCTGCCATTGTGTTTGTGACTTGGGTACTTGGTGTACTTGTAGTGTGTGTGTGTGCGTGTGTGTGACTGTGATGCTCAACTTGTTGTGTTGCTCGTGTTGGTCATCATCACCAGCACACCGTCACACAGGCTTATATACTCGCATGCCGTGAGGTCGTGATCCTACCTCATCCGAAGCCATCATGGTCACATCCTGCCCTGTCCGACGCGTGGTGTGATTCTCGTCTGGCCATGATGCTGGGTCGGGCGTGAGTGGCGTGATGTGACAAGGCGATGAAATGGCGGGCAGTCGAAAACAAGTCCCGAAACGGTAGCAGGATCATGCGCCCACGGGATCGCACGGAAGCAAGCCAGGAGACGGTAAAGTCAATTGACGTCCTGCATTCCACACGGCGCGGGATTGTGCGTGCGTGGCGCACGGGACTCGCCGCATGTCGTAGGAATATTAAAGGGTGGCTTCGGCTGGGGCCGAATGACGGGTGGCTGTCACGTGCTTGGCTCGATGAATCGGGTTAGCGGCCTTTGGCTTCATCAGCCTTAGTTCAGCCACATCTGAAGCTCGGCCACACCTTTTGATCTTTCTTAACGCAATTCTTGACGCGGATTTAATACACGAACTCTCCATTCGAAAAGTCATTTGAAATCTCGGAATAATCTTATCGTTAGCGCGACTCTGCACTCTAGTAGACAACTCTCGCTTCCGCTGAGCTGGGATCCGTGAACCAGCTGTGCGGCGTGGAAACGCCGTAGTGTCCAATCTCCCGCTGGTACTTATTATAGTCAATAGGAACAGAACATGAAACGAATGTCGACCTCCATGCACGCGATTGCTATACTAGACTCTTTCCCGGCGCATGCTCTATACAACCATTTATGATCGTATACGACGGTTCAAGATCCCTCAACTCAAGCAAATCCTGATTTGCCAGCGGATCAATTGGCCAGATGGTCAAGTCAGCCAATTTACCGGGTGTGAGAGTTCCACGAAGACTTGTCTCATTGAGCAGTTCGGCCGCCTGCGTAGTATGTAATGCCACCGCCTCATCGCATGTGATGGCGTGCTCGATACCCATAACTCCGGCAACAGTTGTTCGAGTGGTCATACCCCATATCGAACGCATCGCGCCAAACCGACCGATAGGGTAGTCAGAGCCTCCCCCAACGAGCGCACCGGCATCGAGCCAACTGCGAGCTGGAAAAAGCCGAGCGGTTCGCTCTTTTCCAAAGTAGAGCGACTGGATGGCGGCGACATCGTGAAGTAGAGGTTGCTGAATTGTTACAGGTATCCCCATCCGAACAGCTCGTGCCTGCGTGGCTGGGTCGACGAGAGCTCCATGCTCCATGACCAGACTGTGGGGTGGCAAGCTAGGATGTCTCTCCTGAAGCCGGCCGTAGACATCGAGCAGTGTTTCGACGGCCCTGTCCCCGTATGCATGGGTTCCAATCCTCCAACCTCTTCGAAGCACGACATCCATGGCTTCAACCATCTTGCTGACATCCCATGATAGAATGCCGCGAAAGTCAGTTGGGCCACAGCAGCCCTCGTCAGGTCGGCCTTCATAAGGCTCCTTGGTCGCGCCAGCTTCAATGCCCCCGTCCATGGTGAACTTGACACCCCATATGGACAACATGCTGTCGTGCTGCAAATGTCGATATTCTTCCATCTGATCTAGAAGACCAGTAACGGCAACGGACGACGTCATGCCAATGGATGAAACTAGAGCCCGCACCCGGATGTGTAGTTTGCCAGCTTCACGTGCCGCCATCAACACAGGAACATCGGAAATGGGGACAGCACAGTCTCGAACACAACCAATGCCCTTGGCTGCATACGCCGCCGAAGCAGCATCGAGGCCAATGATTCGTTGCTCAAGAGTCTGCTGAGGCAGCAGGCGAAGGATTGGCATCATTCCTTGATCCTGCAGATGGCCATTGAGACTACCGTCGTTTGTACGACCGATTTTACCGCCAGGCGGGCTCGTACTCGCGGTTGTTATGCCCCCGAGCTTGAGGGCAAGCGAGTTGACGACAATATTGTGCCCGCCTCGCCGCAGAACGATCGGATGTGTCCTTGAAGCGCCGTCAAGCTCGAGAGCGGTTGGAAATCTCCGCTCCTTGAGATTATACTCTTGCCAGTTGGCGGTCGTGGTGATCCATGAGCCTGGTTCGGTCTTTGAGGCATGTTGGCGCAGGAGTGCTAGAAGATCATCAATGCAGGTGGCTTGGTGTACGGGGACGCTGAAGTGACCGAGCCCAGCGAAAATCAAGTGAGTGTGGGTATCGTCGAAGGCAGGCAGCGCGGTGTGTTCTGGCTCATTGATAACCTGAGTCTCGGTATCGATATAGCCATCCAGGCCGTTCAAGTCCTCAGACACCGCCACAATACGCCCGTCTCGCAATGCGATGGATTTGTAGATCGGAGCACCTGTATCTAGAGAGTGGACAGTGCCGGCGCGAATGACTAGGTCGGTCTTTGCAGAGTGCGCAGCAGTCATGTTGAAAGTGCGGGTGAGATGACGCGCAAGCGAGTGGCTGCTCTGGTTGTTCTGATCTGGGATTGAAGCTAAAGTGATGAGTTTGGGAAAGATCAATTGATTGCAGACCAGGACCCTGATGATAATATAAGGGATCCAACAGTCGGGATGGGCGGCTTGACTTGAGCAAAATCGTCGGGTATGGCGTCGGGTAAGGCCCATGTCCTTCGGGGAATAAAGTTCAGGCTATCTAAGCGGGTTCTTCTAACTTACAATCCACAGTCCCTTGAATACATGTAGCGTTGAAGCGATAGAGGTTAAACGAAATAGTGAAGCGGATGCGTACGATGCCGGGTAACCGGGTTCCGCCTCCTCGTGATACTTGACGTTTGTCATAGCATTGGGGGTGCAGGCAACAATGCATTGACAGACCAAAGGCTACGAGATCGGATGTGGCTACATACGTAGATAGGTGGCAGCTGATCTGCAGGTACCTGATAAGAGGAACGTAAAGGAGCGGTAAGGGTCTTCTCATTGTACCTTCCAATGGTCTGAGCCACTCCGCGAGAGTCTATCCTTCGGCCAAGCTGGTCTAGGCTTCCCAGCAAACAACTCGGCACTCGAAAGCGGCACTCGAAAGCGGCACTCGAAAGCGGCACTCGAAAGCGGCTACCACCATTGGCATCTTGACGAGTGACCATGCATGACACATATAACAAGGGTCGCTCTGGACTACTCGTGCCGTTATTCCCGGCGCGCATCTCATAGACCAGTCTTTCCAACTATCGCCTTCAGCCATTTATTCACATCCAACATTTCTTCAAGTCTGCTCGTGACTCTATCACTCGCCATGACATTGGCGGAAACAAAAGCTGTAGTGCGCATTGAAAAGTCTAGCCTGAAGGATGACCGCAGCAGCGCATCCGCGATTGCATTTGATATATTCATTCCATGTGGTATGCTATATTTCAATGAGTCCCTACCTCAGTCCAGCCAAGCTGTCCCCTTCATGGCAGCGGTATCCCAGACGCCAAAGTCCTCCGCCGCCGCTTTTTGATACCCGTCGACGACCTCCACAAAGTCCGTGCCCCTGAGAAGCAGCCTGGGCCCGAGCTGGCGCTCATCCGAGAGCGTCGTCAGGTCAATCTGCCGGATCTTCCCTTCCTTGTTGAAGTAGTACTGCAGATAGGCCGTATACACGATGACGTCGCCCCGTTTCAGATCCTTCAGCCCCATGAGCTCGGGGACGTCCTGGCGGAGCCGGAAGATGGTCCGCTTGGGCACAATGAAGGTGCGCCCATTGTAGACAATGTCCATGGGAATGACCGCCTCGTCGGCGATGGGGTGGATCTGGGCGTACTGCGCCGTGATGGCGTCTTTGCCCACGAGGGGCTCGACATAGGGAAGGTTGAGGGTGATATCGTCGGCGTAGAATGCGTGTTGCGTGTCGTAGTCGCGGGCATTGAACGCGCGCAGATATTTGACGAATGAGGGCAAGGAGACGGCAGCCATGTTGGATGTAGTACGGGGTACAAAGTATGTTCTCGTGAAAGACGGAGAGTGTAGGGTCCCGGGACGGACGGTGAAGCGGGAGCTCCAAGTATTATATCAGGTCTCGACAGAGCCCGGCATGATGAGCCCACGTTCCGCGCTCGGTCTGCTTTTGCCTTGGGCAGCCGCTTCTATCCTTGACTTTCGTGACGGTCTCTTTCCGCTCTGGCTTCTCGTGGCTATGCTGCGCATGTTTTGGCAGCATGAAGTCGTCGCGAGTCAAACCGGTGGCATCTTCAAGTCCGAGTCGGACGGTCCCCGACACCCCACTTCCCCGCAAAATGATGGGTATATTGTGGGGCCCCGCGGATGCCGCGTCGGTCGACCCAAGAGCCCGTCGGCCCGATCCCCGACTCGGCCGCGAGAGCGGACAATGTATAAGACAGACGCAGGACCAGGGCTTCACTACGTGTAGCAGACAAGACCCAATAGCAGAGCTGAAAAGAACAGCACGACCTTGACTTCATTACCGACAATGCCGGAGACGCACACCAAGGACTTTAACCCACCATGGCGCACAAGCCACCATCCCACCCAAGTGAGAGCAACGTGACAGCCTCGACCGTGATGCGTGTCCACATGAACTGACGCTCGTCCTTGCGCAGCCCATGCCACCTCTCAAGCCCGCGCCGCCGCTTCAGTATGAGAAAAGCACGCTCCGAGACGGCAAGACCCTCCTCGAGAAGGACCTCACGATCCCCATGCGCGATGGCGTCAAGATCTACGCCGACGTGTTTCGACCGGCCGACGAGTCTATCCGGTCTCCGTCCATCGTCCTCTTTGCGCCCTTTGGAAAGCACGGGGCGACGCCAGTCGACCTCATGTCCAACATGGGCGTGGACTTTAGTACGATGAGCGAGCATACCCATTGGGAACTGCCCGATCCCCTGAGGTGGTGCGGTGAGTGGGGGTACGCCCTGGTGATAGTCGATCCCCGTGGGACGTGGTGGAGCGAGGGCGACGGTGCGTGCTTCCTGTCCCCTGAGGAAGGACGAGATGGCTACGACGTTGTCGAATGGACTGCGCAGCAGAGCTGGTCCAACGGCAGCGTCGGCTGGGGCGCCGTGTCGTACTACGCCATGTCGGCGTACCAGACAGCTGTCTTGAGACCGCCGCATCTGAAAGCCCTCCTCATCTGGGAGGGGATATCGGACGTGTACCGTGAGGTGAACGGCCAGGGCGGCATCCCCTGTGTTCCACTCCAGCAATTCTGGATGATCTTGACCGGCAACGGGCTCGGCAAGAGCGAGGACCATGGCGCGCTCATGCTGGAGCATCCACTCTTCGACGAGCTGTGGCAGTCCAAGGTGGCCGACTGGACGCGAATCGACATTCCCACGTGGTCCATCAAGGCTCCTGTGTCGTCTTTGCCCATCATTTCACGGACACCACGGAGATCACCGGCCACGCTTCTCTCAAGGTATGGATCCAGGCCATGGATTTCCCCGACACGGATCTGTTTGTGGCCGTGGAGAAGATCGACGCGGCCGGCGCCGTCGTCGACTTCTGGAGCAGCACCCAGGACGCCGATGCGCCCGCGGCCCTGGGCTGGCTGCGGATCTCGCACAGGGCCCTGGACGAGGACAAGAGCCGGCCAGAGCTGCCCGTCCACACCCACTCTGCGCGTCAATGGCTCCGGCAGAGCGACATTGTGGAGGCAAACGTGGAGCTGTGGCCGTCGGCGACGATCTGGGACAAGGGCGAGACTCTCCGGCTTGTCTTGCAAGGGCGGCCCTATGGAGGGAATGCGGCGGCGGCCAGGAGGAGGGCCCCCTCGCATAGCGTGGGAAAGGTCAACGTCTGGTTTGGGGGCCGGTTCGACAGCCACCTGCTTCTACCTGTCATGCGCGACGTTGCTCAGAAGTAGGCTAGAATAGGTCAAATCCAGTGTATTCGTAGCTTGGGCCTTTCCGTTGGCACGCCTTCTATGAGCCCTGAAGGCATGATGATGATGCGCGTTCTGTCGATACGGTACATGTGTCGTGCGATGCTCGGAACATGCGCGGAGGGAGACGAAGGAGAGTCAATGGGGAGGGTTCGGATCTATTAGGCTGTGTAAAGTTTGGAGACGCGAGAATAACGACACGGTTGGGTGTCTGAGCGCGTATTCCCAGGTGCGAAGTTTCTCCAAGGCCAAATGAATGATCGCAAGCGGGTTGGTCAAAGTAGGCTAGATGATAAATACTCAATGGTTATTGGTTAGTATCACCACCGACCCACTATTACGCGCTGGGGCAGCAGCCTAATTAGCGGGTCTCCCTCTCTATTAATTACTGCGCTCTTCATCTGCTTCTTATCATGAAACAAACCGCCCGCACAATTCAATGTCGCCCTCGATTATTCTATCTGCAACGACCTGTATCTTGTACTTACTCTAATAATCATGGCTATCTATATAAAAGATCTCATCCAAGAGTCTGGCGGCGGAAAATAACGACCCCTTCGACAAAGGAGAACTTCCATCGCGTGCCAGATGCGACACCTATCGAAGAGGAGCTTCTTCCCGGGTACAAGGCAGAGAACTATTATCCTATCACGACAGACACGACCTTGCAATCTCGGTACCACATTATCTGCAAACTTGGACGTGGAGTCGGGTCAACGGTGTGGCTGGCCTAAGACGTAAAGTACGACAGCCCCGAGTCTCATTTCAATATACATCATCTCTTTGCACACTTGGCTCATCGAGTATCCAGAACCTCTCAATATCGAGCTGTAAAAGTATGCACTCGGACTACAGAGGGTGCGGTTCCCGCACAAGCCAGTCAAGAGATCGCTGTTGCGGAATTCCTCAAGACAAGCCCTGTCCAAGAGCACCCGGGCAGACGGAGTGTCCGCATAGCTCTGGACTCGTTCACCCTCAACGGTCCTCATGGGACGCATACTTGTCTTGTCTATGCGCCTCAGGGAATGACTTTGACCGAACTTCGCGACTACCTACCGAACAACAGGCTACCGAAGCAGATGCTGCAGTCGACCGTCCAACTTCTTCTGATCGCGTTGGACTATCTTCATAAAAATAGCGTTGTTCATACCGGTGAGTTCATACTCACTGTGTCTGGCGCTTGGAACGTTTTAGTCGTTTCTTGCTAACTTGAGTGCTAGACATTTCTCCAAATAATCTCCTTGTTGGCGCAACGGATGAAGATGACACGGCATTCTCTCAACTAGAGAAGGACGAGCAGACGTGCCCTGTCGCAAGGAAGGTCCTCTCCGACAGAACAATTTACATGTCGCGCCCCGTACCTCGAACTAAAGGCAAGCTTATACTCTCTGATATGGGCTCAGCCAGATTTGGCCACGAGACTTTCAAAGGCGACATTATGCCTGATGTCTATAGAGCCCCGGAGGTTATTCTAGGTATGGAGTGGTCGTCTAAAGTCGACCTGTGGTCGGTGGGGGTTATGGTGAGTTTCTATCCTTTAAGCGCAGTGGTGACCTGCTAATATCAGTATAGATTTGGGATCTTTTGGAAGGCAAACGACTGTTTCATGCCAAGAAGGACGGTGTTCTGGATGATGAACAGCACTTGGCGGAAATGGTATCTCTGATGGGCAACCCGCCACCCGAATTTGTGCGGCGCAGTCCAATCTGCGCCAGATTCTTCGACGAAGAGGGTAATTTTTGCCCCATCGCAGCATCACCTGCATGATGAACTAACACACCGTGATAGGCAATTGGAAAGGCTCTATTCCTATCCCCAGCCAGTCCTTCGAAGATCGAATCACCCAGGTGCAAGGCGAGGACAAAGAGCTACTGCTTGTGTTTGTGCGCAGTCTGCTTTGCTGGCTACCCGAGGAGAGGCCGACAGCCGAGGAGATGGCATATGATGATTTCCTCATGCAAGCATACTTTGCCTCTCAGTCTAAACATGAAGGCTGATACTTGGAGTTTGCGAGAAGATGGGCGCGAAGATGGAAGAAAAGCGTTGTTAGACTTCCGGGTATTCACGGAATCACGGATAGTGCCTGACTTATAGCTGAGACGTGATTAGTCAGAACAACGTCAGACCATATTAGAGTGGAGCAGGTCTGATTTAGTCACGATTGATTGAATTGTCATCGTGAACACTGGGCCGAACTCCCACTTCCAGGGCCCCAGGACTTCGTCAATACATCTTCTGCATAACCACGCTTCCGATGAACGCCAGCCGCAGTCCGACGAGTCTTTCTTTGCTCCCCGCCTGATCGCACGAGATGAACGCACCTCGTTTCCTCGCCCGCGTGGCCGCGCGCGCACCCTGCTGCCGCCGTCCACTCTTCGCCACACCCATCTCGTCCTTCCACAGCTACCCGCTCCCTGCGCAGACGACCACGCCACCCCGCAACGACGACGTGCCCGAGACGTCCATCTCGTCGCCCTCCCAGCAGCAGCAGCCGCCGTCGCAGCAATCGCCACCTCTCCCCAAAGTCCACGAGACACGGCCTCTCAAGCAGCAGCCGCCCGCACCCACGTCCAAGACAGAGACCGAGACGGAGGCACAGAAGCCCAAGCCCCGGAAGCGACCCACGCTGCGCCCGCGAAAGGCCGCCATGACGCTGACGCCCTCGGCGGTGGAGCACCTGCGCGAGCTGCTCGACCAGCCGGAGCCCAAGCTGATCAAGGTCGGCGTGCGCAACCGGGGCTGCAGCGGGCTCGCGTACCACCTCGAGTACGTGGACAAGCCGGGCGCCTTTGACGAGGCCGTCGAGCAGGACGGCGTCAAGGTGCTGATCGACAGCAAGGCCCTCTTTAGCATCATCGGCAGCGAGATGGATTGGGCCGAGGACAAGCTGAACCAGCGCTTTGTGTTCCGGAACCCGAATATCAGTAGGTCAAGGTACACTCCTGGAGATACATCGTTGCTAACATTGCGCAGAGGAGGAATGCGGGTGCGGCGAGTCTTTCATGGTGTAGACGGGTGCTGGACTGGCATACATCATCAGCATGGAGAGCAAGCGAGCATCGACCATGACTACATTGAACCATGACCACATTGATTGCATTGTACGGCGTTAGGCTGGGAGCGGCACAGATCCGCGCGTGGGTATATCACGATTTGTCCACTGATTGTATTACTCGTTATATATTCGATGATATATAGACTTGGTGCACCACTTTTCAGCCCGATGAATACATGCGGGCCGACAGTCACTGCGTAGCTGTATTTTGTAAAACGCAACATGTACAGACTATAGTATACTGCTGGCAATTGCGGCAAGCAATCACTCGGATCTGGGCCGTATCTGTTGCGAGCAAAGTGACCAATAGCGTCACATGACACCGCGTATAGTGTTGCGTGCAATGTCGCGAACCTACCTTTACATCTTGAGCCAACTCCGTGAATCAAGCTTTTGATCTACGCTCACAGTTTCATACCAGCGCTCGAAGCTATCATACTTTCGCACGTCACACGATTCACTAGATCTCAGAATGGCGACAGTCAGCACAACGATGACGTCAAGCCCAGAGCTCGTCGTATACAAGGCGCCCTCATCACAGAAACGCACGCGCAAAGCACACGTCGACATGACAGAGACCATTCACAAGATCGCATCCTCACCACGCGGCACGCCCTTTGAGAAGCGCGTCTGGACAGCCCTGTGCCACATCCCCGAGGGGTCCTTCACGACGTACGCGCTCCTGTCCAAGCATCTGGCCACATCGCCCCGCGCAGTGGGCAATGCGCTGCGGCGGAATCCATACGCACCAGAGGTCCCGTGCCATCGGGTCGTCGCAACGGGCGGGAATCTGGGCGGCTTCAAGGGCAAGTGGCCGCGCAACGGGGAGGGCATCACGTTGGACGAGAAGAGGGCGCTGCTGCGAGGCGAGGGCGTCAAGTTTGATGCGAGCGGCAAAGTGCTCGGCACGCCATGGGTGTTTGGGAGGTGAATTGAATATCTGGTACGGAATAGTAATTATGCATTTACATATTTTATGCGCCTGTAATTGTGAACCTGCCAGCCGGCTATCACGTCGGCGCAGCATTGATCCGCGCCGGACAGCCACGGACCGGCGAATCCCGGAAGCCGAGCTCGACGGCCGAGCAACGCTCGCTGATTCGATCGTCTCGTGGAGCTGATACTGATACTGCCGTGCTGGACAGCTTCACTGTAGTAACCATCGTCATTTGCGCGTCCTCCCCCCCCTTCCTCCATCTCTTTCATCCTCTCCGCTCTCTTTTTCAGTCCCCAGGGACCTCTAGACAGCCCACCATGTTCAGATTTGCCTCGAGCCGCACCGTGGCGTCGGCGTTGAACGCCTCCAAGGTAAGGAGAAACGCGCGACCCGCCCTAGGGGCATGGAACGAAAAATGCGAATACTGACGAACAAACTCAATTAGATTGCGCCCTCTGCCCGCTTTGGCGCTGCCCAACAGAAGCGTAACCTTTCCATCCACGAGTACCTCTCCGCCGACCTCCTGAGACAGGTAAATTGAAGCCCAGAAAAATATATACGCGCATCGACGGCAGGACGAGACGACTGATCAAGAACACTAGTATGGCGTGGGCGTCCCCAATGGCTCCGTGGCCAAGAACGCCGCCGAGGCCAAAAAGGTCGCGCAGAGCATCGGCAACGACGACATGGTCATCAAGGCCCAGGTCCTCGCCGGTGGGCGTGGAAAGGGCACGTTCGACAACGGCCTCAAGGGCGGTGTCCGTGTCATCTACTCGCCGCACGAGGCCGAGATGTTCGCGGAGCAGATGATTGGGCACAAGCTCGTCACCAAGCAGACGGGGGCTGCCGGCCGCCTCTGCAACAGCGTCTACATCTGCGAGCGCAAGTTTGCCCGTCGCGAGTTCTACCTGGCCATCCTCATGGACCGCCAGTCGCAGACGCCCGTCATCGTGTCGTCGTCGCAGGGCGGCATGGACATTGAGACGGTGGCAAAGGAGAGCCCCGACGCCATCAACACGACGTACATTGACATCAACGTCGGCGTGACGGACGAGATGGCGCGCGACATTGCCACCAAGCTCGGCTTCAGCGAGCAGTGCATCGAGGACGCCAAGGACACGATCCAGCGCCTGTACAAGATCTTCCGCGAGAAGGACTCGACGCAGATTGAGATCAACCCGCTGTCCGAGACGTCGGACCACCAGGTGCTCTGCATGGACGCCAAGTTTGGCTTTGACGACAATGCCGACTTTCGCCAAAAGGACGTCTTTGAGTGGCGCGACGAGACGCAGGAGGACGCCGACGAGGTGCGCGCCGCCAAGTCCGGGCTCAACTTTATCAAGCTCGACGGCGACATTGGCTGCCTCGTCAACGGCGCCGGCCTTGCCATGGCCACCATGGACATTATCAAGCTCAACGGCGGCCAGCCCGCCAACTTCCTCGACGTCGGCGGCGGCGCCACGCCCGCCGCCATCCAGGAGGCCTTTGAGCTCATCACCAGCGACCCCAAGGTCTCGGCCATCTTTGTCAACATCTTTGGCGGCATCGTCCGCTGCGACCACATTGCCCAGGGCCTCATCAACACGGTCGAGAACCTGAACCTCAAGATCCCCATCATCGCCCGCCTCCAAGGCACCAACGTCGAGGCCGCCCGCGAGCTCATTGACAAGTCAGGCATGAAGATCTTCTCCATTGACGACCTCCAGAACGCCTCCGAGAAGGCCGTGCAGCTGTCCAAGATGGTCAAGCTGGGTGAGTCGCCTTAAACCTTCCTCTTCACTAAGATCATGCTAACGCCGCACAGCCCGCGACATTGACGTCGGCGTGGAGTTCTCCTTGGGTATTTAAGCAAAGCACATATAGACTGGCTGGCCGGGACGCGTTCCGTGTAATATATTCTCCCTGCGGCGGGCACGAGCAGGGCGCTCCGCCTGCTGAACTGGTGGATGGATAGATGGATCAAGGGAATCCGGGGGTACCGTTAGTGTTGTTTGAGCATCGAATCGACATGATATGCATATGAGGTAGTCTGTGTACGTATCTGCTTTGACGTGAGCCGCGCTACGTCCTTGTCCGATGAGCCGCAATTCCCGCTCCGGCTGTCTGAGGTCAACGTCCCACAAATCTCGGAAGACTGTCGCCGCATTGCATTGCTGTGAAAGATTGAATCATGGAAGCGCAATGATGCTGCCGCTGGACGTCACCCGAAGCGGTAAGGCCACTTCCTCCGACGGGGTTCATGTCTTCCTCCGAGCCAATGGCGAATACCGACACAGCGCCGTGACAGCAGGCTAACGATCGGCAGTCTCTTTCAAGATTTTCCATCTTGAATACCGAGGGCTTCGCGGATTCATGAAGCATTGTAAGCCTTTCTAACCCCATCACAGCAGCGCCTCACCTACTTGGGATGACGCTGCTGTTATTGACGCATGACGACTCGTGGGAGAAAACATGGGAGGTGCCGGACTGTAAGTGCTTTGTAGGCTGTAGTGTGCCCTTCAACTCCGCTATACCCGTCGTTTGTCCCGCGTAAATCGAGTCTACCCGACGCAACGAGCCACGGCAGGGACCTGGGTAGAGTTATCCTCCCAATTAATTCCGCAATACCCATCCGTGTCAATGTCAAGTCAGTCAGTCAGAGCACAAAATCCCTGCGTTGACCGAAACTATAAGTAGCCAGGCTGACCTCCCTCATCTCCCCTGATCTTGACTCGTTCAGCATTCCTCTGTATCCTCGTCGTACCAACTACACACACTCAAACCACCCATACCATCACATACCAACAACACACTCACAATACAACAAGATGCCTTCTCAACGCCAAAGCTGGTTCGCGCGCCACTGCACACCTGCTCCTCCCCAGACATCGACGCCGACCTGCCCCTGCGCAAACTGCTACTCTGCCTTCAACAACGCTTCGCCAGTGTCTGCTGCTCCTTCTCGAGTCAACAGGACACAGTATAGCCTCGGGGAGGCCACCGGCTCGACGAGACACCTCCTCGACGCAGACAACGCTTCGCTGCAGAGCTTCACCACCAGTACCCATGTCGAGAACGCGCAGTAATCCTGGGGCAAGGACAGTCATGCATGCAAGCAGCAGGGGTCCGGTCTTGTGATCGATAACCTTGATAAGAAGCTTGTTGCCAAATGCAACACTACAACGTTGGGTTCTCCAGGGTCCTTGCATGGGCGCGCGGCGCCCGTGTTGGAAGAGGAAGGTGGTACGCGCTGCAGAGACACGCCTAGACCACGAATTATTGGTGCAGCGCATTCACCCGCGGGATGGAGGCTTGGGCTTGGTGAGGGGGAGCAAAAGAGACGGGATGCTGAGTCGGGGACGAACTTAGCCGAGGGCTGGGCATGCCTGTCGGTCGAGCCTGGCGGTTAGCCAGGGCTGGACTCGACTCGCACATGGACCTGCAGATAATGGGAAGGTGATCAGGGGCGAGGGAAAGTTTGGTTCATGTTTCTTTCAACATTGCTGGCAGCACTTTTCCGCGAGTGCTGCTCGGCAATAGACAAGTGGGGCCGACTCCGGGCCCGGCCTGGACGGAAACTATGGGGCCGTATCACCGGACGCTCTGGGCTCAAGCCGGTTCTTTAGACTACCTTACTCAGTTTGGCGTTTTGTATTTGCAGCAGCGAGAATGATACCAGATTGATTGATATTCCTCAAGTTGAAAATCAAGAATAGCGACCATTGATCTTCCTTGATCATGCTCAAGAGCGCATGCCCACACATTTGATAACTGGCCCACCTCATTCTACCGTAAGAGCGAGCAACCGATTGACGTCACTCACAAGATGATGGATGAACATCAACCTCCACGTCCCAGCCTCATCTCGAGGCAGTGTTCTTGCCTCTTCAACCCTCATACATGCACCGCTTCATTTCCAGCCTGTCCAGACGCAAAATGCCATCCACAGTCGACGCGGCCATCCTCACCGCGCTCTCGTTGTCACCCGAGTCCACAAAGATCTCATCACACGGTGCTTCGGGCTTTGCGTCCTCCTACAAGATCACATCGACACACAATGGCCAGCCCATCAGCTACTTTGTCAAAACAGGCAACGGCACCTCTTCAGAGACCATGTTCAAGGGGGAGTACGCATCCCTCAACGCCATCCACGACGCGGTTCCCAACCTCTGCCCCAGAGCCCATGCGCACGGAGCCATGACCAGTGGGGGCAAGTACTTTCTCGCGACAGATTTCTTGGACCTGGGTTCGAACGCCAGCGGCGGATCAGGCGAATCCCTGGCGAGCAAGATCGCCAAGATGCACACGACGACCGCGCCGACCCCGCAAGGCCACGACAAGCCCATGTTTGGGTTCCCCGTGACGACGTGCTGTGGTGAGACACCTCAGGACAACTCGTGGAAGGAGAGCTGGGTGGAATTCTATGCAGAGAATCGGTTGAGGAGCATATACCGCGCAGGCGTGAAGAATCAAGGCCCGGACAAGGAACTGGAAGACGCCGTCGAGCAGACAGTCAGCAAGGTAACGCCCAGATTGCTGGGCCAGGTCCAAGACATCAAGCCCGTCGTCATCCACGGCGATCTCTGGAGCGGCAACCACGGAAGAGGTCAGATTGGCGGCGTCGGCGGGGCAGAAGAGGTCGTCTACGATCCCTCCTCGGTGTACGGCCACTCCGAGTATGAGCTGGGCATCATGAAGATGTTTGGCGGATTCGGGGCCAGTTTTTTCAAGGAGTACGAGAAGTTGGTGCCCAAGGCGGAGCCAAGGGACGAGTGGGACGACCGCATCATGCTATACGAACTGTAAGCCGTCCCCAGCGCACGTACGTACGTACGCACGCACCACGACAGAGACTGACCTACTGTGTGCAGATATCACCACCTCAACCACTATGTCATGTTTGGAGGCGGGTACCGCGGGGGCGCCATGTCCATCATGCAGAAGCTCATTCGGAAGTATGGTAAATAGACAAGACGCCCTGTATACAAGTCCATGATGCTATATCTCCATCCAAAAACAAAAACTCCACAAGGGGTATCTCACGCCGCCAAGGGCTGCTCCTGCTTCTGTGCTTGCGCCTGGGCCTCGCGTGCCGCCTGCTGCTCGCGCTCGCGTTCGGGGAGATTCGCGTCCGGCACACTCGGTAGCTCGTCGACCGTCTTGTCACCACCGGCCATCTCCCTCTCTAGGGCCTCGAGCTCCTCGTCGACCTCCTCATCGTCCTGGGCCGTGAGCTTGCCGCCGAGCATGTCGCTGATCTCCTGCTGGTAGGCGATGGCGTCGGCCGTCTCGCCCATGAGCTTCTCGACCTGCTCGATGCCGCCCATCTCGGCGTGGATCTGAGTCAGGACCTTTGTGCCCTGCTGCAGGCCAAAGACGACGTCCTTCTGGATCTGAGCAAACTCGACCTTGGACGTCAGCTGCTCGAGCTGGGCGAGCTGGGCGTCCGTCTGCGACAGCAGCGTCTCCTGGTACTTTTTGCGCCGCAGCGCGAGCAGGGCGCGGCGCTTGTCGCCCTTGGCGAGCATCTGGCGGGCGACATCGGTCTCCTTGTCGGTGAGCACGGTGATCTGGCGCTGGTAGCGGTGCAGGCGGTCGCGCTGGAGCTTGAGGTCGAGGATGGCCCTAGATGGGGCGCGGGTCAGTCAGGGTGTACTACTGGGTCATTGATTGGGGCACGTGAGGGGATGGAGCTGACTTGTCCTGCTCAGTGACCTGGCCTCTGGGTTTACTGCTGCTGTTCCCCATGGTGCGTGGGTGCGACGCGCCGCCTCGGAGTATGGGAGGTGCGTCTCGTAGGAAGCGTGGTGTGGATGTGGGAGGAGGAAGTGGTGGTCGAATTGTTAATTGCGAGCATGTCCCTGTAGGCGGTAGCTATCAGCCGACGCTCGGGGCGATGACGAACGACGCCTTGGCTTTCGGCGTGCCAAAAGACCGGTATCTTTGGCACTGCGTTGATCGCCACAGCCGCAGCCATCGAAGTCTCGCTGCACTCATAATGGCAAAGACGGACCCTGATCACTGGGGTATTTCACACAATTATTCGACTTTGCCATTGCAATGATTTTGGCCGAATTGCTTAGTATAGGATCAACCTGAGGAAGCGTTCTTATCGATAAGCTGTGACGCTCAGTGGTACGTGGGGGTGTTGGACCCACTGAAACTTTTTGGCACCAAGTGATTCAAGTCGAACCTGTACAGCAGCGTCTACTAGCTCACATTCCTTCAAGAACTGCTGGTCTGCCTTCCGTCGTCGGCGCGATGCCTCGCCTCAACTTGCGCCAAGGTCTCGATCGCGATGTATACGCCGTCATCGCCAAGCTGGAAGAGACCAACGGTGGACCCTTCAAGTCGGCCTGGAAAGCCTACGATGCGATCAAGCACTCCAACTCCCACCTGAGCCGCTCAAAGAAGCGGCCTTTGGAGGACTCGATCGAGCGCGTTCTCGAGTTTCGTAAGGAGGAGCTCGAGGACGACGATGACGACTCGGACGCCGCCATCGAGGAGGCCGAAGAACGCATGCTGCCCATGAAGACAGAGGATGAGCGCTTCTTGCTCAATCGCCAGATGACAAAGCATTGGAATACGACGCGCAACACGCCAAAGACGACCGACGGGCAACCCGACGCGAAGAAGAGGAGGCTGCACGAGGATGGTGCCGAGCGCAGTGGGACGGAGAGCGTGGCGGCCACAACGCCAAAGACAAATGGCAACAAGGACGGGGAAGAGTCGGCCCAGAAGCCGAAGAAGGCGTCGAGGCCAAATCGATTCAATGTGGAGCAGCCTCAAGCGATCATCGGCCTAGGCGGAATGGCTGATGTCGAGAAAGAGTTGACGGACCATCTGCTGTACTCGCTCAAGCCACTCGAGTCGTGGACACAACCAACATGGGAGCCGTCGGACGGTGTTCTCCTGACGGGGCCAGTAGGCGTGGGGAAGCGAACGCTGGTCAGAAAGGTGGCAGCGGACCACTCGCTACCGATTGTCTCCATCGCCCATTGTCTCAACGAGACGGACCGTCTCGACAAGTCGCTCACCGAGGCTTTCGATGAAGCCATGCGTCTCGCGCCGAGCATCGTCCTGCTGGAGGACGTCCACTTCTATCTGGTCAAGCCCGGCAGCTCTGCGCACAATGAGCAGCACAACCGCATCGTCATGGCCCTGGAGAAGCAGAGGAAGCGCATGGCGCAAGAATCACAACCGGGCTCCTGGGTCTGCATCATCGGAACGTGCCCTACCGCTGAAGACATTGCGCCGGCTGCCTTTCCGCACGGCGTCTTCTCCGACGAAATCAAGGTGAAGATACCTGATCTGGCGGCGCGGGAGGATATTTTCAGAGTGCGCCTCGAGAACAGGAACCTGGACGACGATGTGGACCTGCACGAGCTGGCCCGGATGACACACGGCCATGTTGGCGACGATATACGACGCGTCATTGTGCGTGCATTGCGTCTTGCCGGTGCAAGGCAGCGTGGTTCCCGACAGTCACTGGCCAATCTACAGGAGGAAGAAAACGACGACGACGACGACATGGTCGACGGTGACCAGCCGTCAGATCTTTGCGCCACAATGGAAGACTTCAGGCAGGTCATCAAGACATTTGTGCCCTCACTGCGCAAGGAAGGGTTCACGGTGATCCCCAGCGTGAGCTGGGACCAAGTCGGTGCCATGGAGGTGGCGCGGAAACAACTACAAATATCCATCATTGGCCCCATCAAGAACCCCGACCTCTACGAGACCTGGGGCCTCAACAGACCAGGCGGTGTCATCCTTTGGGGACCACCGGGGTGCGGGAAGACGCTGGTCGCCCAGGCCGTCGCCAACGAGGCGCAGGCGAGCTTCATCCTCATCAACGGGCCGGAACTGCTCAACAAGTACGTGGGCGAGTCCGAGAGGGCGGTCAGAGAGCTCTTTCAGCGCGCCCGGTCGTCCAAGCCCTGCATCCTCTTCTTCGACGAGATGGACTCGCTGGTGCCTCGACGCAGCGGCGGCTCGTCAGACGCGGGTGTCCGCGTCGTGAACGCGCTGCTCACGGAGCTGGACGGCGTGCAGGACCGCTCGGGCGTCTATGTCATCGGCACGACGAACCGTCCCGACATGATCGACCCAGCCATGCTCCGTCCCGGCCGTCTCAGTGTGCGCATCATGGTGGACCTGCCCACGGAGGACGAGAGGGTCGACATCCTCCACACCATCTACCGCAACCGACACAGCGCCCAGGCGGAGGACCATCGTGCTCGCATCGAACGGGTCGCTCGTGACCGTCGCTGCAAGAACTTTAGCGGCGCCGACTTGATGGGTTTGCACCAGAAGGCGGCCGAGCACGGTTTGATGAGGACGACCGTCGAGCAGGGACGGTACCCCGAGGCGCAGCAGGCCTCCAAGATCAAGGCAGAAGTCACAGAGGAGGACTGGGAATACGCCTTGAAGAATTCAAAGCCCAGTGTTACGGACCACGAGTCCTACCGAAAGCTGGCGCGGGAGCTGGGGAGAGATGCCTAGTTGTGATCCAGACGTTGATACCCATTTCTTCCATTGATGAAACATGAAATCACCAATCGATGCATACTGCATTCATAATCGTGACGAGTCAATCTTACGTATATTCTGCGCACGCAGGACAAATACAAGGTACTAAGGCTGCCCCCGTTCGGAGTCAGGCAACCGACACGGCCGCCGGAGCGGGTCTCATTGCCATGTTTCTGGGAATCAACGAGTCACACATGTTTTAAATCGGATGGCACGGAAGTTTGGAATCGTATCGTATTTCCAAATGCGCCGAATCCTCATCCAGGATCAACGGCGCTCTCATACTGTAGAAGAGGAGTTGTGAAAAAAGGGGGACACGATGCACGGCGCTGATGCTCCCTCACGGTAAGAGAGAAAAGTCTATAATACACATTCCGCCATGCCCACGTTCTATCATTGTGATATCATTACACGCGACCACGAATTCGTCGCTTAAGCAGTGGACTCCTTGAGGAAGCTGGTGACAAGTCAGTAAATGGTTCGCACATCGGGAACAGCAGATCAGGGAGACGTACGCAATCAGGTCCTTCCTGTCCTTCTCCTTCTTGAGACCGCCAAAGGCCATCTTGGTGCCAGGAATGTACTTCTTGGGGTTCTCGAGGTAGGCGAACAGGGTGTCGTCGTTCCACTCGATGCCCTTCTGCTTGTTGGCATCGGTGTAGGAGTAGCCCTCGACGGAGCCGGTCTTGCGGCCCCAGAGACCGTGCAGGGCAGGGCCGATCTTGTTGCCGCCGTCCTTCTCGACGGTGTGGCACTGCGCACAGCGGGTCTTGAAAAGGTTGGCACCCTTCTTAGCGTCGCCTGCGGATGAAGTCAGTCATGCTTATTCGCGAAATTGGTGCTCGCGATTCGAGTGTCAAGGTGACTTTGAGATGCGCCAGGCGGAGGGAGGATGCTGACGAGGCTTGGCTCGCAGGGGCAAAATGGCGCAAGCGTCACCGCGCACTGCGCAGCTGGCCCTGCTTCTCAGAAAACACCATCTCAACTTGTCGAATGGTCCTCCTTTCGAGAGCCTCCCGTCGCCAGTCTCGCCGACACTTGGCGCAGTCTCAATGGCATCCGGACACCTTGTTCGCGTGAATTTCGGAAGCCGTCGGGTAACTCACCACCAGCCATTTTGTAGGATATTAAGAGGAAAGTGAATAAGGTCTATTAGATTCTCGAAGAGAAAGGTCGTGAATCCAAACGCTGGATTTCTTGAAAGGTCGTGAGTCGTGGATTTGTTGGGTGGATGGGGAGGGAAGAGAAGAGAGAATTGGAACCAAGGCAAAGGGGAAAACTTTATCATGACAGCATCGAGCAAGAAAATCGACAGGGATACGCGAACGGAGCCACCTGTGGCTGGAGCCTGGCTGCACCAATCAAGGGCCCCGAATTACGCAGTTGCGGGAGGCTTGGTCCGGTCCGGGAGAAGTCGGATTCCGCTCTCAGAGAAACGGGGAAAGTTCGGACATTCACACGGGATTATGTAATAACCACGCAAGAAGCATCTCGTGATGGGCCAGATTTTCAATCATCATCGCCAACAAACACGCGCAAACGGCTCATCACCATTCGCCACCGACGCGAAGATGGCGTCCCGGGCGGTCATCCCGCGGTTTCTGCTGCCACTGCAGGGCCCGCTATGGCGTGGCCTGCGTATCCCACTCTCACAGAGTCTCATCATCCGATTCGCGACGACAGACGCCAAGGGCAAGGACAAGGACAAGCAGATTGTGCTGGAGAAGCCTCTCAAGTTCAACCCGCCCTCCCACGGATCGAGGCTGAAGAGGAACACGTTGCCCAAGTACTATGGCGCTCAATTGACGGATGCTGAGCTGGCCGCGCAGAGGGTCAAGAGCTACCCGGGGATGATGGCACCTGAAGGTACCTGGGCGCATTGGTTCTGGCACAGCAAGACGCTCCATCTGTGCATCACCATGGTGAGTTTGACGGCACTGATCCATCGCATCGCCGAGTCTGACCACATACAGGGCACCCTCCTATCCATGTGCGTCTTCACATTCTTCATGGACTACGCCATGAACTCGCCGTTCAAGGACCTTCTCCCGCCCATCTCCGACCTCTGGAAGCATCCCATCAACTTCTTCTACGGATGGTGGGACGTCATTGTCATGCACGAGCGCGACAAGTCGATCAAAGCCCGCGAGTCGCGCGATCAGCACCAGGCCGATGTCCACAAACGACGCTACTTTATGAAGATGCATGGCATCGAGCCAAAGAACCCCATCACCATGGTCTTTGGCAAGGATGAGAAGGAGATGAGCGAGGAGGAGCTGGAGGCCAAGGCACTCGGCAAGGAGATGCCCGAGACGCCCAAGACGGAGGGGGATACGCCGGCTGGGCGCAAGAAGCTGTTTGGCCTCTTTTAGATGTGTCTGGTATTGTACATCCACCTGTGCTATCATAGTTATTGTACCATGTTCGTCGTCGTGCTCATGAATCATTCTCACACTATTACGCCAACTCGACGTCCTTCAGACCATCCAGCACCTCGTCGGCGACCCCGCCCTTCTCCAAGACCGCCTGTATTATCCCGTCCAGTATGGCGAACTTTGTGCCGCCCACCGGTGCCTTCCACACGCCTTCAACAGACTCGCCCTCCTTCCCTGCCGGCGCGGCCCCGGTGCCCGAACTCGTGCCGTTGGGTATGCCGGGTGGTGTCAGTCTTGACGGCGGATCCACCATCCTGACTGACACGAGCTTCAATTTGCGTCTCTGGTCCTGTGCTGCCTTCTCTGATGCTGCCGCGGCCACTGACACTGCGAGTGCCGACTCGGCCACGGCCAGCTCCTCCTTTGAAGGGTCGAAAATGACATTGCCCCCGATCGCGACCACTAGGAGTGTGATGGGTGGTCGTGCGCTTTCACTCTGCGAGTAGAGGAACTGGGAAGCCTGCCAGTCGTCGTCGAACATGGGGTCCTCGTCGCCTTCGGATTTTAATCGTGGCAGGCGCGTAGCGAGCAGGGCGAGGTGTGTAGTTAACGAGAGCAGCGGGAGGGGGTATGACAGAGGAGGCGATATGAGCAGAATCTGATCACATATTGTCAGTATATATCCAGCTTGGATCGAGGGATGGTGCGTTGGCTTACATCAAGGTATAAACGCCAGTGAAACCGTCGGTTGATCCAGAGTTTTCTGGCGAAATCTCCGTCTCCAAGAAGTGCCTCCCGTAGCATCTCGCCCAAAAAGACCGTACTAGCATCGTCGTCCCTCAAGCCGGGGATCTCGACCGCAATCTCGACCCAATCGCCCCGGACTTGCCGTTGTGCGGCACCATCCTCTTGATCCTCTTGCTCATTGTCGGCACGCGTGCGCTCAATCTCTGCTTTCACCCCGACAATCGCCTCCGTGCCGTCGGAGAAACAGACACGCGCACTGCCATTCGTTCCAGGCAGCACACCGGTCTCGGCTGTGAGCGGTCGGAACTGTGTTGACGTGCGCCCGTCGCTGCGGATGGGTGGACGCAGGGATAGCGAAGAATGAATGTAGGCAAGCTCAGCAGGGGACAAGAGAACTTGTGATGTTGCCATGACGGCGTCGTGTCGAGAAGCAGTGCCTGCCTCTCGTTCTGGGGCCTGCTTTCGGTTTGTTGGTGGTTTAGGCAAAGGGTATCAAAGTGTTGTGGTCCAGTCTGAATCAAGAAATTTTGGAGCGCAAGCTTGGAGGTGAGTCGGTCGCATCGAGAAAGGTGCATTCACCGCATGAGGTGAAGGTGGGGCAACTTTAACGTGGGGCAAGGTAACGTCAAGCCATACCCTGGAGCAGAAGGTTATTTTGTGCCCAAGTTTGTCTAATACGGTAATCTCATGTGAATGGTGCCTGATGAACGACGTTCATCTCTGTGCCATTTTATCCTAGGAGCCGGCAAATATCGGTATCAGGCGTGGGAGGAAGTTCACTCAATCTCACAAGAGCCAAAGCTTGTGACATGTGGCCATCTCTTTATGAGAAGATGGTATGTATGTACAATTCCTCTTTACAGCCTTAAACCTGCGCATTTACCCTATGAAGCTCGTGTCAGATCCACACACAACACGTCCACGCAGTCTATCCCCAGGGCTGCTACGAGCTCGGCCACTGCCGCCTTGATCCCCGGCCACTGATCGACCCTCGTTCGTTCCCATGCCACAAGAGCAGACGTAGTGTACAACGGCCCGGCCACGCTGACTTTGATAGCGATGTTGTCCAGGTTCAACCACTTCATCTCTGCAAGAGGAGCGATTCCAGGCATGCGAGACAGGAACAAGGATGTGTCAGAGTCGTCTTCACCTTCCTCATCCTTTGATCCCCTTTTCAAAGTAACCGGGCGCTTGGACACACTGTCGAGTCCTTCAGAAACAGGCTCGCCAGCCTTGCTCTTTTGTTGTTGCTCCAGGAACAGACTGACGAATGGCTTTTGATCTAGAAGTGCCAGCATCTCCTCGTCGAGGGGACTCCACTTCAAGGACACTGGGTCCAGAATGTTCTGGGGCGCATAGTCGATCTTGTACCTCATCTTGGGGCAGCTGTGGATGTAGAACCCAGCGTACCACCACCTGTACCCTTTCTCATGCGCAAGGGAGATTTCGTGTAACGCACCGAGCTTTCCAGGGTAGTGCATGTGAATACTCTCATCGTAGAGAAAGTAGACCGAGCTGACACAGTCAGGCAACAGGTCCAACACCCCAATAGCTACGAGCTTCCCATCTAGCCGGTAGCATTGATGGTACGAGCCTAGCTGCCGCACTCGACCATCCGGGTCGACATACTTCTCGCGTCGCAAGGGTGAGCTGCACAGGAAGCGCTTGAAGCCTCTCCTTGTGCGGTCCTCGGGTGGATCCTTATGGACGACCTGTTGGTAGTTGCTGTACACAGCAAACTTCTCCTCTGTGAAATTGTCTTCTTCCAGAGTCACCACCAGCTTATGGGCTGGTTCTGGCGGCGTCGCGAGGCGCTCGTACTCTGCTTCATGGATGCGATCTGCCAAGACATACTCATTATCTCTCTTCTTGGCCTCAGCCTTGCTTCGGGGATGAAGCCTGGCGCTTTCTTTGATGTAATTGTCGCCTAGAACAAACTTGTTAAAGCGGTTGGCGGTCTGCCTCTGCGTCCTCGACGGTTTGAACTCGTTTGAGTCAAGGCGAATTGTATAATGAGGACAGCACGACTCGCGCTGGTTCGGTCGGTATAAGAGAGTCCCTGACCGTCTCCAGCATCTGTTGAGAAGTGTCTGGTAAAACGCAGCACTCAGAGAGGAGGCGCTTGCGTAGTACGAGAAGCCTGCACAGGTGAAGTAAGATTATCGGTCCAGGTGAGCGAGGGTGAGGGAGTATGTACGCTTGGACTGACTTCTATCGCCACAGTAGCCGCAACGAGTCGACCGAGAGTACCCTGCAGGGCGAAGTCAGAAGAGGCCTTTCCATTCTGCAGTGACACCACTGTCATTAGTAGGACTACTTGTCATTGCCGTGGGGGTGCTGTGCGTAGATCGCACGGTGGCAGATATCGGGTCGTATCGTGACAGCAGGCAACGGGCAGATCGACAAGACCCGAATATAGCTAAACGGAGACGAGCCAACGACGATAGGAGAACACAGCACGTGTTTATATGCAGTGACGAAGTTGTCGCAGGCAAGTGAGGAGACCCAGGTTGCAGGGCGGGGGAAGTGCTTACCAATTGGGGTCAGGTACTCAAAGTCCGAGCCTCCTGAAGACTGTCGTGTGCTCTGTGTTGCGGCCATCCTCAGAAACAGCGATAAATGGCTGGCGGCTGGTGATACGCTTCAGGTTTTGATGCCTTTCCGGGCTGCCGTGCGTACGTCGTTGCAAGGCCGAGCTAAGCTCCGAGATTGGCGAACACTGATGCTAGTAGTGAGGCCGAGCATGAGGGTGGATGGCTCGATGGAGTTGTTCACGATGGTCCAGTGACTCCAGTCGGGGTTGCAAGGTCCAGTCACTCCTGATGATGCAGGCTGCTGCCGAACAAGGATGTGTCCTAGCGGTGTACAGCAGACAATGATAGTTGCTTCAGTGAGGGATATCTGTTAGAAGGTCAGGCGGTCAAACCAACAAAGCGCCATGAAGCCAACGGCCGACACGTACTACGCAACAAGTGGTCAAGGGGCAAACAAGCGGGTATGGCAACTCCCATGTTGAAGCTGCCTGTGGCAGCTTGGAGGCGGCTGTGGGGTCAATTCCGACGGAGGAAGACGCTCAGGCAAGGTAGCAGACAATAAGCATGGGTTCGGGTTCTATGGTATTTCTAACCTTTGGACGTGTAGCTTATTATGACGCCCAAGTTGTATTCCCCCACCTCGGAGGTCTAGCCCCCCGCCAGATACAGCGCTCATGAGGGGTGCTTCTTCCTGACGCAGGCGCCGATGCCTTGTTCGTATAAAATTCACCTAGTGCCATTTGCTAACACGGAAAGGTCGCCCTTCAACAAATGTCCCTACCTGGTAGTATTCAATAACTACGTGCTTACAAAGGAGTACGCTCCCGACTCCTGTGACCGGTCCAACGCTTTGTGCGAGAACCTATCGAAAGTATTTAGCTGATTATCACGCGCACGCAAGCTGCATCGCTCGCAGTTCAAATCCACTAATCCACTATGCTAAATACCACCTTGAACAGACGAGAGGAAACGCTTTGCGAGCACGTGCTCATGACAGCCGCAGCTTGACGTGGGATCTGGAACAGGACCCTTCATCTGTACAAGCTTGAATATTACGCCGGAGCGCCAACAACAACAAATTACAACCTGCCAGATGTAGCGGGCCTGCCCCTCCTGTGGCACCTGAAGAACCCGGGCTCTTCCACCGACCATCATCTGCGACTGCACTCGATCGTCCCAAACGCGCTCAGCATGTCCATAGAGCTTGTGACGAAACACCGCAACAGCCACGCATGTTGGCGTGGGCCAGGCCACAGTAGTGGCATCCATGCCGTGGTTATGTTGCTGGCTCCAGCAGGCTTTGTTCTACGTACTAATAAACGGGCTTCAGTCCCCTCCTGCCGATGAAGGCACAGGTCATCATCGTAGAGCCGGGCCAAAGGCCAGCCACCATTCTGCTTGTACCACTCCACCATTTTTTTTGTGAAATGCACTCCCGTCGGCAGGCTTATTTGCGCCTAGCTCTTGAACAACACCGCAAGCAGCGCGACCATTGCATCGGCGGACTGAAACCTAAAAACCAGGCCCTATAATTAATAGTAACAAGGCCAGAACGGAACGGAAAAGCAGGAGCGGGAACTTGGGAGAAAAAACCTCAGACACTGGCCTTTTTTATCTCCGGCTTGGTATCTCTTTCATTGCTCCCAGCTCTCCACTATAGTGCCAGCTAAAAGAGTAGCATTGTGTGTTCCCACTTCTCGCCCGGCACACAGCGAAAACGGCTGTCCGTCATCTCGGTTCGATCTGACTCAGGCAAAAAACCCTTGCGGGCTGTTCTAAACCAAAAAGGCCCCTCAACCTCGTCAAAAGCCCGGACAGCTGGAAGTGTGTGGAAGCAGCCAAAGGCAGCGGGAACTTTGGGTGTCAAGTACCTGCACCGACGCTGGGCGCCCCCCTCCCGAAAAGGTTCCAACAAACCCAAATCGCCCGCCAACTCCTCGCTGCGACGCTTTCCGGTCAACTTTCTCTCCTTATTTTTCTTCGCCTCCCCAGGCTGGCCTGCGCGCCTGGGCCATTCACCACACGCCCTGCAACAACCTCATTTATCTGAGGAGAGAGAAGCTTCTCTTATTATTAATTCTCTTCACTTCTCTCCTACTGCCCTTTCTTTTGCTCCAAACTATACCAGAACAACGACCTTACGATGGCGCTTTGACCAGCCTGCCGCATAACGCACCCCACGTGGATAGCACTTGGGGAAACTCGCTCGCAGCGACAGCTGGATTTCACAGCGTCTTGGACGACAAAATACTGTCAAAGACAGGCTCCCCGAGCTATTTTAGGAGAGACGCAGCTCAGGCCAGGCAACCCGTTGAATCGGGCTTCTATTCCGCATCACACGACCCTCTGATCTGTCAAAATGGGCGGGTCCGCATCTAACAGCAACGGCTCGAGCAGTCGGTCGATGCACTCTCGAGTTGGCAGGAATAATCAACGTGAGTCGTTCATGCGCATTGAGACTCGACGTGGTGTCATATGATCTGACCCGCCGCCTCTCAGGTTACAACTCAGGCGGCGAGCGACTTGTCGCCGGCGTGGTGCCTCTGACGGCCGATCAGAACTACGTTCTTCTCATCCAGTCGACCCGTCGCAAGGGCTGGGTCCTACCCAAGGGCGGCTGGGAATCTGACGAGACATGCGAGGAGGCAGCACAGCGCGAAGCGTGGGAGGAGGGCGGCATCAGCATACAGGTCGACTACACGCTGCCCAAGATCGAGGAGAAGCGAGCGGCCAAGCCCTCCAAGGAGCGAGCCATCTACCACTTCTACCAGGCCACCGTCCTGAAGGAGCACGCCGACTGGCCGGAGAAACATAAGCGTGAGCGGAAATGGTTCACGTACTCCCAAGCACGCGCGGCTCTCGAAGCGAGACCAGAATTGCAGGCGGCCCTCGACGCATCGACCATGAACCGACTATAGAAGATGTGAGAAAAAAAATGCATCTGCAAAGGCGTCCCGCAAGCGACGCCTAAACCAGCTAACATTGTGGTTGGAAGGTGGTATCACTTATTGCATATTGGTCCGGCGTTTGTGAGAATGGATCTGATTTTTACCCAACATAGAAAACGCCTGGGCTTGGCTACTATCGCGCAGAGGTGCGAGACACGCAAGATAAACTCTGCTTTCACATGTGTATCCTTGCATGCTGATGAGCTCGCCGTAGTGTGATGCCATCACGAAAATCCATAGCGTAGATGTTCAGGTGAATGTACGTATGACATAGTCGAACTTCAATTGAGATGCACAGTCATCATTGCAACCTGCTTTTTATCACGTCCGTCATCGTTTCGCCTCGTGAGTTTCTGTGATGTTCTCCGCGCGCAACGATTGCCCCTCCATTCGTGACTTTTTGCGCGCCTGCCCCGCCATCCCATCCAACACTGCGGCACCTGCTCTGACGTACTGACAAAGTCACGTGGTGCGGCTTTGCCATCTACAGGCCACCAATTCCGGCGGAGCGACGACGCATGACAAGGGCGGCAAACGCAACGCGCGAGCGACAACCATTACGAGCAGCGATGAATCTGTGATCACAGCCACAGCTCGCTCATACACACACACACACACACACACACACACGACAATGGAAAATCTTTCCATAGCCGACAATGCGCCCCCTCCGCAGGGTGGGCAACCGCCAATGGGGCCCGGAGGACCGGCGCAACCACCACCTCAACTTCCTCCACAAATGTTCACTACTGCTGCCCAACTGCTGGACTTGACAGACAGTACGACTGACGATCTTTCACGGGTGCATATGACTGGCTGACGCGGGGGGCTATGTACAGAGAAGCTGATGCTGTCGTTGCGAGATGGGCGGAAGTTGATTGGCATCTTGCGAAGTTGGGACCAGTTTGGTAAGCCTAACATGAGCGCCCGGCTTCCACCGTACGAGAGGGCTGATGAATGATCAAACAGCCAACTTGGCTCTGCAATCCACCACCGAACGAATCTTTGCGCCACAGCCAGATGCCCCGGCCGACCAACCGCGCGGCTATTTCGCCGACGTGCCCCACGGTCTCTTCCTCGTCCGAGGCGAGAATGTCCTGCTGCTGGGCGAGATCGACCTGGACAAGGACGACGACCCGCCGCCAGGCTACGAGAGGGGCGAGTTGGCCATGGTGAAGAAACTGGCGGAAGAGAGGAAGACCCTTGACAAGGCCAGGGAGAAGAGGCGATTAAAGAAGCTCACAAGCATAGGTTTCGAGGGGGAGAACCTGGGGGATATTGTATGAGGACCGGGATCAACGTTGCAAAGGGCTGGTGTGAGGCAGAATATTGTGAAATGCCTCTCACCTATGGATAGCCGGCTACGGCACCTCGAGGCGAGTGAGAATCTCGCTGGCCCCGCCTGACAGAAAGAATCAGGAATTTTTTTTTTTTTTTTGCACGATCCAGTTTCATTTGCTTGCATGCTTGCATGCTTGCATGATTGAGACTTGTCGTGTGTAGAGTTACAAGATTAAGTGGTATCATTAAGTACACGGGGCCCTCGCCCCTAGAAAATACACGGCTCTGCAACAAAAACTGCAGGCGGCCCAGGCACCCCAACGCCAGCATATCCGTACATGATCTTGTCATCGTCTATCAACTCTTTGGAACATCGGCACGGGGGCGGCCCCCGGATCTCGGATTCCCCCCAGCAGCCAGTCAGTCAACCCCACGAATCGGGCGCCCATACCCTTTTCTCTGTTGTTGCTGTCGCCTTGCGCCGTTTCAATTGTGTGGCTCAAGATACGCCCCTCTTGGTCAAAGTCGAAGATGAACAGGCCGGTGAATGCCTTGCTGGCATCCACGCCGCGTCCCATTCGCAATGACTTGGCAATACTGCTGCCGCCTACTTCGTCCTTGTCCGTTTTGGTTTTCTCGCACCATCGCACCACGAGCTGTTCGGCCATCGCGCCTTGTCGCCTTGGCAGAAACGTCAATGGTTCGGACGTCATCCGTTCCGCAAGGACTTCAATCTTCACGTTGCCTATTATGGGGACCCTATTCCAAGCGATCGGTGATGTCCACAGCGCAGCATTATAGGCGACGCGACCGGACACTGTGGGGAGATGAGGATGCGTCGAGGGGAAAAGGTGTAGTGATATATTAGGGGCGAGGATATCTTGGGGTAGCGGCGATTGTAAAAGTGTCGGCATGCGTTCTTGGAGAATCCGCAAGGCTAGCAATCATCAGCACCAGTCGCAACGCTTGGCTCAGGTGAGATTCAGAAACATACTCTTTCCGAGCTTCGCCTTGTTGGGGTCGGGAGGCTTGTCACCGCCCGTGCCTACCCATAGAATCCCGGTCGTGTCGAAGAAAGCTCTTGCGTCCCGTCGCTTCGGCGGTGGTATCGACTCGGTCACAATATCTGGTGGAGGAAGGGTGTCGGCAACGGGATGGTTTATAGGCTGAACCTGCGCTTTCGCAGGGCTGAAGATGGTCAGACCGCGACACAGCGACGGTGCAGAGCGGCCAGCGCCCTTCACAGCTATACGGAGCGGCGCAGCCATTGGGAGTTGCGGTTCCTCAGCTTCGTAAATCGAAGTGCATCAGCACAGGTGAGGCCGCGGGTCGCGGAAGGATGGGCGAGACGGTCATGAGATGGGCGAGACGGTCATGAGATGGGCGAAGGAACTCTGGCGTCACTGGCTGGGGTTCGTCGAATTTCGTGGTGGGGCCGGTTCCTGGACAGTGAAATCAAGTTTGGTCGGGCTGTTTCACGGGTAGGCTGATCCAATTCTGAGGCAGTGCTTCACGTGACCCGCCTGTCAGCTGCACCTTTGGGTGCTGGCGCTGTACCTAGGTAGCAGCCAAGGAAGGCACCTGGCCAGGCGCCCACCGCCTATCGATCAGCAGCCAGAGCAGCCTGACGTACTCCAGTCTTTAGTCGATTGTCCCGTCAATCGCCCATCCAACCTACCTTCACCATCCACCATCTCCACAGGCCATCCTCCAGTCTCCCTCCATCGTCGCATCCAACGCACCGCGCGCATCGTACCCGCTACAAGTGCACTCGCTTGAACGCCCGACGACTACACCAGCCGGCCCTAAAGCAACCGCCATCATGAATCCCGAGTGGTGCGTACCGATCCCCTATTGCGAAACGGACCCCTGATACCGAGTGAATGGTTCGTTTGCTGACTCTTGACCTGCCAGAGTTCTTCCCCAACGCCGACATTCCTTCCTCGATCCAACTCCCGCAACGACACGCGTCTGCTTGCAACATGTCTGACATTCGGCTAGATACGACTACCTCTTCAAGCTTCTCCTGATCGGTGACTCCGGTGTTGGAAAGTCTTGCTTGCTGTTGCGTTTCGCCGACGATACCTACACCGAGTCCTACATTTCCACAATCGGTGTCGACTTTGTTCGTTCCCCCGTTACCCCTCTATCTCTCTGCGCGTCCGCAGGCTGACATGCCCAGAAAATCCGCACCATCGAGCTCGACGGCAAGACTGTCAAGCTCCAGATCTGGGATACCGCCGGCCAGGAGCGCTTCAGGACCATCACCTCGTCCTACTACCGTGGCGCCCACGGCATCTGCGTCGTGTACGATGTGACCGACATGGACTCTTTCAACAACGTCAAGCAATGGCTCCAGGAGATTGACCGGTACGCCACAGAGGGTGTCAACAAGCTCTTGGTCGGCAACAAGAGCGATATGTCTGACAAGAAGGTGGTCGAGTACACAGTGGCAAAGGTAGGTTTATGTTCTCTGGATGCAGCGTGTTGTGTCCCATGCTGATGACTCCCCTCGTAGGAGTTCGCCGACAGCCTGAACATCCCCTTCCTCGAAACCTCAGCCAAGAACGCAAGCAACGTCGAGCAGGCTTTCTTGACCATGGCCCGCCAAATCAAGGAGCGCATGGGCACAACGACCGCAAACAACACCAAGCCCAGCGTGCAGGTCGGCCAGGGCCAGGGCGTCGGCAACTCGAACAACAGCTCTTGCTGCTAGATCAGCAGCCGGTGTGGTTTCAGCGTTGACAGATCTTGGGAACAGCTGTTTTTGATGGAGTCTGGTTGGTGCAAACGTTTGCGGACGATTCAAGGATTACAACACGCCGGGGAGCAGAGAGAGGTGGTGAGGGCGGTTCGGGCCTGGACGCGCATAGAATCGGAATTGCTGTCATTTGGATGTGAATGGCACAACTTGGCCACTCTCTTTTTTTTCACCTGGGAGGAACACGGTCCGCGGGATTTCCTTGTGAATGAGATTCACAAGGGCGATGCATCTTTGGCCACCGACAGGAAGCGAGACGAGCGGGCTTTCAACTTGCGCACGCGGTGCTCTTTGTCTACTTTGTCTTCCCCCTTCCCTTTCCACGCGGTATTATGGTAATCAAGAATTCGGGTCACTCCTATCAAGTCACGGCCGCAAGGTCATGTACAATCATTGCCAACGCGACATGCCTTGTTGAAACATTGCCTGACGTTCTCGCCATCAAGGCGTCAGTCACCTGGAGCGCATGAACATAGCTTCTTGAGCAAAAGTATTGATTAGTCTACGCTATGCCTGCATGGTACACCGTCCGCAACGCGCCGCATGAAAAGACAGACTGCATTTGCCGCAGTTGGGTATCGATTAGATCCGGTCCTTTGCAGTACCCAATGTACCTCCTACTTCCCCCTCCCTCCCGATTTTTTAAGACCGTCATCAACATTGTCGCTAAAATTAGTCCCACGGAGGACAGGAAAATGCAGTGAATAATGTACTACTATAAAGAAAACATGCCAGTGTTTGGCTGGGTTGTATCTCATCCGAGCAAAGCTCCGTTGTGATAAGGAGAGACGAGATTTCAAGCGAGGCCAAGGAACTTCAAGGCCTTGCGACTGTTTGGTTTCTGCATCTGCGAGCGCTTCTGGATGAAGATGGGCATGAGCCTTCGTTCCTCTTCGTCATAGTCGCTATCGCCGGCAGGATCATAGGTCATGATCGATTCCGCCCCATCGGTCATGGCGAGACCACGCTTCGACTTTGGGTTCTTGGTGCTCTTGCCTGTCCGAGACGTCTTGAATGTGCGCACAGTCTCGGCGATGGAGGCTGCTCGGGTCGACGGCGCGTTTGACGGTTTGGCAGACTTGTTGAATCCAGGTGTGATAGGACTGGTCGGCCCTGTCGACCTTGGAAAGGGGGAAAAGCTGCCCAAAAGTGGTGTCGGTTTTTGCTTCGCGGCGGAGGGCTTCTTTGGAGGCGCAGGGGGCTGCAGAGGCTCTTCTGGGGCATAATACTGTGATATGCTCATAAGAATCTTCCTGATTGTAGCAATGAAAGTGGCAATCTCGGTGTCACTTGCATTCGACGTGAGTAGAAAGTTGGCGTGTGACACAGCAATGTCGGTCTCCGATGTCGAGCCAACAGGCTTGCCCAAGGGACCTTGGGGTTTGACCTGGTTACTGATCGATGCACCCCGTAGATGCATGAATCGTGCCATGTCAGAGCTCTCTGAGTCGATGAGCTGGGCCACTTTCATGAGGTCCACTCCGACCAGCTTCTGTAAAGCTAGAATAGTCGAAAGATGTTCTGGCGGATACTCCAGCAGAAGGTACCTAACCTCTGCGTGCATCGCCAGGTACGTTTCGAGATGGGGGACAATGAGGGTGGCGAGTAGGTATGCGTTGTTGAAAGGGTTATCAGATGTTTGGTTCGCCAGGGGCTGGTTTGTGAAGGATTGCATGGCGTTGGCGAGGAGATACCTAAAATCCAGGCGGCCACTTCGGCTCATGCCACTCCGTTTCGTGCCGAGCTTATCCAACAGGCCGACGACGGCAGACGAGTATTCCTTCTTGACGCCCTTTTGGGACCCGATGGCCAGGATCTGGTCCATTCTTCGGTTGTCGGCTCTCGGACTGCTAGGCTCGGCCTCACGGAAGATGGGTTTCCAAAGGCCTTCCAGTTCCGGTAGAAGAGAGAAGCTGAATTGCTTGTAACCGTCGCTTTCAGGAGGAAAGTAGCTCTCCAGCACTGCGCGGAGTGCATTCTGTATCGCAACGGCGGTGTGTGACGTGCAGACCTTGAACTCATAGAAGCTACTGTCCCTCTCTGTCGACACTGATGGCGTAGGAGTCTTCCGGGGCGTGGGGGGCCGGTGCACCTTTACACCAATCTTTTTGGTCTTTGATGTCGGCCAAGTGTCCTGTATGTAGGCAAATGGGTCATATTCTCCCTGGTCTATCAATGGCGACTTGACAATGCTGGGCTCCTCAGTAGCTTTAGGCGTCTCATCTCCACCGCGTATGCTGTGTGACTCTGGCGTTGACGGGAGCTCATCGTTTATGGTAGCAGTGTCTGAGCCGGCAGTGCTACTTGCGAGGATGGGGTAGAGCCCATCACGGAAGGCTCTGATGACTGTATCCAGAAGGGCGTCCGGCGCATCGTCCTTCATATACAGAACAAGGTGCTCCGTCAAGGGGTGTACTGGAACAAACACCTCGACTGGTTCCTCAATAACCTCGGCATTGGTTCCTCTATCGACATAGGACAATCGCTTTATCCTGCGCTTTCTCTCCGGAGGCACAGGCGAGAGGCTCACCACACTCGCATGCCTGGTCCTGACAGAGATTGTCCGGGAAGTATCGGCAAATCTCGACCGCAACGACGGCAAGGGTTGCTGTTCCGTGGCAGTGCTGCGGGAAAGTGGACGTAGCGCGGAGGTCGAGTCCTCATTGCTGGTTGGTGGCGATGAGCAAAGTCCATCGAGGGAGCGTACCCTTGTGACGGGGGCAATCGTGTGTCTCACATCGACAACCGAGGCCTCACCGAAAGTGACCTCGCCAGGTGACCTGATATCAAAGACTTCGGAGCGCGACGTTGGCAGGGCGTCCAAGAGCGGTGAGTGAAGAAAGGTTGGGCCGTAGCTCTCACCGACGCAGCTTGGCGACAGCTTGGGGTCGAGAACAGGCGAGTCTATTGGCTGGTCAAAGGCCCCTTGCTCGAAATGAGTGACTGAAAACCTCGGGGGGCCGACTTTGGGATAGTCATCCTCCACGGCTTCGTCGGCGACGGAGGTGTCGCTATTGGCTCTCTTGCGAGCACCGAACACATAGAAGGGTGCAGCGTCTCCAAAATTGTCGGAGTAGCCGTACATGGGCAGGCTGTGACTTCGCAGACGACTCGTCAGGGTCAGGTCCAGCTCCGTAGAGGGTTGAAGGTTGGCTGTCTCGCGATCCAAGGCCTCGGCTGCTCGCATCGCCCTTGTTATGGGATCTTCACTCAGAGCCTCCAGTGTCTCGTCCTCCGGAATAGTAGTGTCCATCGTAAACGGCGATGAGCGTGACCCGCTGTCCGCCTGTCCGTTAACCCATATGCGTGCCTGTCTCTGCAAGCTACCCAAGCCTTCCTTGACCAAGTGGTGAAACATGGACTCGGCTTCGACATGGTCGCCCTGGGTCTCGTATCGCATGATCTGGCGTATGCACAAGGCTTGGGCGCTAGGAGTTCCGCCATTCATGAAAACGAGTCGTTTGCTGGACGCAGTCGATCCCTCCAGGAAGGTCTGCGCCACATTATAGCGGGCGTTGGCGGCATGGTGAACTTTGCGAATGTATTCGGGGGCCGTAAAGGCATCGCCATCGGTTGACGTTGGCAGATAACACTGGACACTGGGTAATATGAGGATGTGAGGTGAGGTGGGTAAGAGTCGCAGCTGTGTTGATACGGTCTCGGGATGTCCTTCGAACGCGACGATACTGCCCATGGACTTGGGCATGCTGGAGGAAGCCATGATTCTAGAGAGTGAGTTGTGCTGTCCAACGAGGTGCGAAGGCAAATGCGCCACTCATGGCAGGACTGCCAGGGTGTTGCTGAAGTGATGATGAGAAGTGTTCATGAAGAAGAACCAAGGGCAAGGGTTCCGAAGCATGTAGAGAGTGGGGAGACAAGATCTGAGAGGCCTGGAAGAGAAAAGCGAGGAAAGTGTTCTTGCTATAGCAGCTCTGAGGGGGATCATTCGCGGGTGCTTGAGCGCCTTACGTGAGTGACGCTCAGGGACTGGACTAGCACGCCGCCGGTAAGTGCCATGCCTGCCCTGCTTGTGTGGGTCCAGGATATGTCGATAGCTGCTGTTAATCGGGTCAGAGCGACTGGAACAGCGCGGATGTTTCGACGGGGCGCCTGCCTGCTACTGATCAGTGTGGGATGAGGTCCACAGAACGGACGGGGCAGGCGCGACTGGATGTTCGAAGGGCCCAAGCCAAATTGTTTCATTCATGTTGGTCGCCGAGGTGCATGGATTGACCGAATGAAGGAAGAATGAATGTGATGTGATTGTTGGCTGGCTGGCCCTTGGGCCTTCACTTTGCCTCTACTAACCTGCAGGTACCCTCAGGCCGCTCGGACACCTTGGCCAACCCCAGCATCCATCCTTCTCAGCCCCTGCTCTCCAATTTGCGCGCCCATTCATTCATTGCTGAATCCAGTCAATCCACGCGGCGCTTGCGCGATCGACGGGTGCAACCCCCCAACTCCAAGCCGGGCCAGAGCTGGCAGCCTGCAGGCATGTCCGTGCCCGGAGCTCTGGACACCCGAATGAGTGGCTCACGCAACCAACGGACAGGGGTCGTGGCGAGGGTCAGACAAACATGCTCACTTGTTGGCTTCTTCCGTCGCGTTCGTACAGTGCTCAGAGCTTGGTCGCTTTCCGAGCGCAATCGTCAGTCAGCCTGCCCACGCGTCCCATGCGAGAAATCGATGGCACCCGGCGGCTCTGCGGTGTGCACAAAGGAATTGGAAACGTTCCTACGTAGTTGTATGTCAGAGTCCACCTCGAAATACCCTGATCGTGGTCCAATACCCGCCGGCAGTCCTTAGCCTCGAGCGGCCTGCAAGGCCTACGCCAGATCCAGGCTAGCCTCCTTCTTCCGTCTGCCAGCCTCCAGCCAGCGAGATCAACAAGACGCAATGTAAAAAGGGGGGCCAGTCCGTGCACAGAGCACGAACTTGGCCTGCGCGTGCGTTCCTGTTCACACTTCACAGACTTCATTGTTTCTGTTTGGCGCTTATGCAGCACGTTGTAATGGGTTAAGATGTCCGGAGTGGGTTGTGTGACCCGATGCGAATCGCGGCCTCGATGGCCATGCAAATCGCTCTTTGCTCTCGGAAACAAGCATTGACATGCACCAGGTTGGACCCATCGACCATCCATCGCAGCCCTTGGCCCCTTGCTTCGAATTCATGGCTCAGAGGCACCGGAGTACGTAACTTGGCACAATCATCAATGCACACATCGTGCTCCACACGTTATCGCATGGCCAGTGGGTTGTTCTTCAACCATGTCTCACACCGCATGGTGTCTCACGGGTCGCGGCCACGAAAGCTGTTTCGTCTTTGTCGAGGACCGTGCATCGCATAATATCGATAGCAGTGCGACGAGCACAGACAGAAGCTGTGATCGGTCCGGCGTCGTGTTGCAAATGAGCAGCCTGCCGGCTCCACGCCTGGCTATTTGCCGTGGGGCGGGACGGCTGGGGTCACGTTAGCGTATCGGTGATCGACATGACGATTTCCTCAAGATTACAAGACCGGGAAGCTGCCCGTCAAGGTCTCCAAACTCATCACCGCACTCGGTCCGCAGCATCTTCAGCCGTAGATTGCCTGGGCTGCGCACATGCAAGCTACGTGCACAGCCTTTGGAGGCCGTGACGCACGCGATGCTGTTCACTTGGCGTACTCACCGCGAGGATAGCAGCTGGCTACAATCGAGAAAACGGCATGATCCGTAGATCCCAGCGCCATATACAAGTAAAGGGGGAGCCTGGGAAGTCCATGCCGCCGGCTCTCCGCAGCCTCCTAGGAAGCAAAAGTGCTTTAGACTTCCAAGGGACCCTGGGCTTTCACCATTGCGGAGACCCCATTCAGTAATTAATGATATCCTCTAGGCTCTAATTAGCACTTGTATAGGTACCCTGGTAAGTACTAATCTCTCATCTACGTACTCCGTAGTAATACAAGTATTGCGAGCATGTAATTAAGATGGGGCAAGCTTCGATTTTGCAGCGATCTCGGCACGAACAGTAACATCTACGTACTAGTACACTCTCCAGTCTCCATGATTTCCTTAATACCTGTCATATAGGGTGATCACTCACAGCATGTGTGACCAGTCGTCTCATTCTCAGATCTAAGTTCTAACTCGGTGGATCTACCTTACGTTCTGTATGCGTGGCACCTCGCGATCGACTGATAGTACATACATATATCCGGGATGGCGGCGTTGTTTGGCTCGACGGTTGGGTCTGGGGCGTACGTAGTAGCAAACCACCTACTCCTCATTCATCCAGGTTCCAACAAACAGGATAAGTTCAACGCTAGAAGTTTAGCGTTTTCGGTACTGTATCAAGAACTGGGAAGACTTGTTTCGCTGCAGATCGACAGTCAACCTTGGCTCCTGGGCCACTCCCCGCGTGTTGCCCAGCCCTCAGATCGAGAAGTATATCAATAGCAACGTTATCCCAGATGTGTACACGCATATTCCTGGGGGTGGACTGTTGCGAGGGATCAAGCATGAATGTACATGGACAACCCCTTCTCGGTTGTGTGAATTACATGTACTGGGGAGTTTGCCACTTTCTCGCAGAGCACTCTGGATATCTAATTGACCTGCCGCCCCATGCAGGCGTCGAGCACATTGATGAGACCAGTGAGGAATATGTGGAAGAGGAAGGGGGCGGCAAATACTAGGCAAAGATGGTAAAGTGACTGATCCACATGTGCGCAGATTTTGGTCAGCACGGCAGCTACCAGCCGCCACTGGAAGATGCCGCGAATCAAGAAGGCAGCCAAATCAAGGCAACTGTGGATTCCATGGCCAAAAGAGCACAACATATGGACTGTGGCAGTACCAGGGGCTCATGTTCCTTTGGTAGTTCATGTTGATCCGCATGTGGCTGTCTGGTCCAACCGGGTAAGTCGTGATAGGTATCCCGTTAGCGTAAAGGGGCTTCCTCTGGATGGTCAAAGGTGTATTCGCCCATTGCTTGATGCAGGGCTTGTTCGTATTCTTTTGCTTTCGCTGGAAACTCATTGGGTTGTAATTCGATGTTGAACCGGAAGAGACCTTTGGGTTCTCATCAATAGTTGTCACCTTGCTCAAGCAGGGCTGTTCAAGCCTCGGATGTCGACAAAGACACGCGTCTGAAGAGGGATCTCTTCGTCCATTAGACATGTGACAACCAATGCAGACAAGTATTTCTCTCCACGTTGAGAGAACGCTCGCTGGCGTAGATCACTTGACAAGTTGTCGGAGACTCGAAACAACGGGCACTGTACACAATCGTTGTCCCACAGGAGGCTTCGAGACATGCCTCCGATGTGTTTTGATGTCAAGTCACTTAATTCACGGCCTAATCATCCATGAGCTCGGCTAGCTCGGCCTCCTCTTCAGCCGTGAGCATGCCATCACCCGCCTTGTCCTCCTCCTGTGGCTTGGCAGCTGCGGCAGTCCTCATCTTTTCCACCGTCTCGTCCAGATCCTTTCTCGCAAGCGGCCACGTCCGAATGGTGCCGTCGATGCTCACGCTGGCGATTTTGGGCGACGTGTCGTCCCTGAGCAGGACCAGGTCTGTCACCTCCTCGAAGTGACCCTCGAGGGTGCAGTATAATTTACCCGACGACCTATCCCATATCTTGACGTCCTCGTTCCGCCCGGCCGTGATGGCCCATTCTTCAGTCACGACCACGGCACGAACGTAGTCTCCGTGGTCAAAGGAGTCGTCGGCGACAAAGCCCCGCGACCGAGCCAGACATTTGGCCGTGCCGTCGGCACTCGCGGTCCAGAGGTTGGCTTCCTCGTCGGTCGCATCGTAAACAAGTCGGTACACGCTCGTCTCGTGCTCCTCGATGGTAAGTCGCTCGGCATCGGGACGGTCAACAAAGGTCTCTGGCAGCTGTTCCGCGGACGAGAGTGTGATTTTCCAACGTCGAATGTGAGGGTCACTGCTGGCACTGGCGAAGACGATCTCTTCATCGGTGCTGAGGATGGGGTCAACAGCTATGTGTTGCACGGCTAGCATGGTCGTCGTCGCATCTTGAAGGGTGTGGATCCGCTTGCCCGACTCGATATCCCACACCAAGATCTTCTTGTCAGCTCCGCCGCTGATGAGGACGTCTTTGCCGGCCAGCTTGACGCAGACCAATGCCTTGACAAAATCGCTGTGGCCGCTCAGCTTGCGCCCTGGCGCAGCAGTCCCAATGTCCCACGTCCAGATATCCTTGTCCCACGAGCCGGCAAAGACGGTTTTGGAGTTGAGAGCAAGACAGGTGACGGGGGCTTTGGGGCCACGATATGTAGTTTTGGGCTCGGAAGACTGATCACCATGTTAGCAACAGCGCTACCAGTAAGAGTACACATCACGTACCCCGAGCGCTACGCGCCGCACGTAGCCCGCTGACTCTGCGATGAACAGCCTATCTGAGGGAGCCGCCGGGTCTAGGACAGCCGCGAGAATCTTGCTCTTAAAAGTCACCGGATCGCCATTCTTGTTCGAGGACTTTGCCTCCTTCCGCGCCTGCTGTGCTTGCGCTATGCTATCTGACGGTCAGCCACGGTAGGTCTCAGGGGGGTTGTGTTTTTGGAGGGGGTACTCTGAATGGAAGAAATTGTCACGATCGGCAGACTGCATGTTGTCTCGCTTGGTTTGACGTGAGAGCAGTGAGCGGCAGAATTTGGGACTTAAAAATAAGAATTCAAGGATTTTTTTCTGGTATGCTTGTGTGAGCATGGAGGTGATCAATCTGAGTGTTGAGCTGGTCGAAGCCCGCGAGTTATTTGTGGCAACCCCACCAGGCATTATCAATCAATCGACTGGGATGCGCGAGACTTCCTTCACCGCATGGAATACCCCAGCACAAGCAGGCTCGTCATGAAAAATCCCGATGAGCTTTTCGAAAGGCCAGCAAGACTGGCTGAACTCATATTCATGTACTCTGGAGCCACGTAGCTGGTGGATGAACAGTCACCATAGTCTACAGGGTACCCAGAACGCCATGACGCGAAAATTGGCGGGGCACTGAACGACAGCTGGATGGACCCCCTGTTTAATTAATGGCGACGCGAGTCTCATCCGTCCCACGCGTCGACACGCGACGGTCACGTATTTCATCCGCACAACGTCAACATCGCCCAGCTCGCAACGGACCAAGCTCTGCGTGGGCGAGAGGACACATCATGGACCCGACAGCAGCACTTCGAATCCAGCCACGGGCTGGCCACACCAGTGGCACAACGCGCTGCGCGTACACCGCCGATGGCAGCCGCCTGGTCACCGCCGGCTCCAACAACCTGATCCGCATGTACAAGACCGGATCCGATGGCGAGCCGACCAACATTGATGACTGTCAGGAGAACAATATCGCCCTGGCCGCAGCAAGCAGCACCTTTGTCGTGGCGGCCGAGGATGGGACCGTGAGCTTGTACAACATTGCCGATGCCAGCTTCGACAAGTTTGTCACGCGCTCGACACTTCCGGTCAGGGACGTAGCCATGTCACCCGATGGGAAATACGTCGCTGTGGCGGGCGACGAGCTCAGCGTTAAGGTGGTGGATACAGAGGACATCACCCAGGTGCGATACCTGAGGGAGCATGCTCGCGCAACGAGAGGCGTCAGCTTTGACCCCGCGGGGCGTCTCCTCACACTGTCCGGGACAGATGGTATTATCTATGTCTACTCGCTGACATCAGAGTCTCCCGAGCTCATTCGAAAGGTGGATGGGGTCATTGCTGCCATTGACGGCGACTCGGACGTTTCGACCAAAGCAGTCTGGCACCCCGACGGACGAGCGTTCGCTGCCGTCACGGCGACCAAGGATATCCAGGTGGTGTCGAAGAATGACTGGGAGAAGCAGAGGGTGTTTGCGAATGGCCACTTGTCCGATATCACAGCTTTGGCATGGTCACCCAATGGCGCACTGCTGGCATCGGCGAGCAAGGACGGCAAGCTGCTCGTTTGGGAGACCAAGACACAGAGCGTCGTGGCACGGTACGACTATTCCAACGTCGTTGATCTGGCGTGGCACCCCACCAGGAACATTGCCTCCTTCACAACCACGGACGGCGAGGTCTACATCCATACAGACTTTGTGAACGACCAGTTTGCGTCTTTGCTCAGGCTCCCGAAACAACCTGCCCCCTTCATTCACGACCCCCTCGCAGAGACCTCGGCCAACAGAAGGCCTGCACCGGTCAATGGGAAGAGGCAAGAAATCCCCTCGAGACCAAGACGCGAGTCCCTCGGAAGCCTCGATTCCTTTCTGGGCGGCGCAGACGGAGAAGATGATGACTTTGTGGTCGACGATGACGGCGCCGGCTACACCACCGCAGGCTTGAAAAGGGGTCACGAGGGTGATGAGAATGGCGAGCATACACGCAAGCGCCAGCACATTGAACCCATATACCACGAAGCGTTCCAACCAGGATCAACGCCCTGGCGAGGCAATCGAAAGTACCTCTGCCTGAACCTAATTGGCTTCGTGTGGACCATAGACCAAGACTCGCACCACACCGTCACAGTCGAGTTTTACGACCATGATTTCCAGCGCGACTTCCATTTCACCGACACCTTCCTCTACGACAAGGCCTGTCTCAACGAGCACGGCACACTCTTCTCATGTCCACCAAAGGGCGATAAGCCAGCCACCATCTTTTACCGCCCCCATGAAACATGGACGCAACGCTCGGACTGGAGGACGGAGTTGCCCGCGGGAGAAGCCATCACCGCCATGTCACTGAGCGAATCGTTCATCACAGTCACGACCAATGCAAACTACGTTCGCGTATTCACGCTCTTCGGAATGCCTTATCGCGTCTACCGTCCAAAGAGCTCACCCATGGTGACCTGCGCGAGCTACAGGGACTATGTCCTCACGATGGGCAACGGGCCTGTTGGGGCTGATGGCAGCGCGAGGTTGCTATACACCATTGAGAACGTCAAACGAGACGAGATCTGCCAGAACGAAGACACGGTAGCGCTGCCCGAGGGCGCAACGGTGAAGAGTGTCTTCTTCTCCGACAGTGGGGACCCTTGCATATACGACTCGACAGGCACGCTGCTCACGCTGCTGCATTGGCGGAAACCCTCGCGCGCCTGCTGGGTGCCTCTGCTCGACACGAAGCTCCTGTCCCGCCTGGCGTCGGGTCGAAAGAGCGAGAACTACTACCCCGTGGCGGTGGCTGACGACAAGTTCCACTGCATCATTCTCAAGGGCGGCGACCAGTACCCCTACTTCCCACGACCACTGCTGTCCGAGTTTGACTTTTCGATCCCCATCGCATCGGCACCAAAGCCAAAGGAGAAGAAACGGCGCAATCCGGACGACGAGGATGCTGAGATGGAGGATTCCCCATCCGACGAGGACGACGACGGAGACGATAGCGCCGCGGCGGAATTGCGGAAGCTTGAGCAGGCGTATATGCTCAAGGGCGTCCAGGCCGCCCAACTACGTGATCTCATCGACGGCACGTCGAGTACCCACACGCAGCGCTCTGCACTCTCGCGACTGGAGCTCGAGATTGACAAGACCCTCCTGCAGCTCCTGGCAGGCGAGTGTCGCGAGGGCGAAGAGCGCGGGATGCGCGCCCTGGAGATGGTGCAGTTGATGCGCGACCGCACTGGACGAATGTTTGAGGCCGCAGGCAAGGTCGCCGACCGGTATGGACGCACCATCCTCGGGGACAAGATTCGCGAGGTGGCAGAGAGGAAGGCCGAGGGCCGCGATGAGGATGATTTCTAGGCTACGGTAGGATATCATATGTGTCAGTCAGCTGGAGTCATGTGTATAAATGCTGGAATGCTGGGAAGTATTAACGAATTGATGACCGCATGGCTGGCCGTGCACGGGTGAGAGTCTAGACCTGCCTGGCTATCCTTCAGTCAGTTGAGGCTTGTGACAGTCACATGTTCATTGTCGCCGTGGATTTTGACTTTCCAACGGTTCGTTCATGGTGAGGAACAATTCCAGATTCACGTCCATGTTCTCGATTCATGTGCCTACCTGGTACCTACCAGTCTCCCTGCCTGCCTGTTTATTACCCCTATTGTCGAGGTCGGGGAATCCTTGCCTTGTGAGACACGTCGGCAGTTGGACATACTGTCTCACGTTCAGGCCCACGGTTGATAAAATGTCGGCCGGCCAACTGCGATGGAGGACGGACTGGAGGCCGTCGTGCGCTGCAGCACCAGCACCGTGAGTGCTACCTAACAGAGGAACCCCCACTCTTGTTGGGATGTGAGTGAAGCTGTGCTGCCAAGTGCGATGTCGGCGTGCGCATCGTGCCTGATGAGGGCACCATGATGGGGACTGACTGGGCTGTATTATCTCGGACTGGACGGGAGCGCGGGGCGAAAGGGAATTCACATGACAGGCTCTAGTAGAGTACTAGACCGCGAGTCTGATGCTGGTTATTAGTGAATTAGGTAACTTAGTTGAGGTTTGGGCGGCCTGGCGTGGTGCGCTGAAGAATGATGGATGGGACTGCAGTCGGATAAGCTAGTCTACTACGGATAGTTTGTATAGAAAGGAACGACCAACGGCTGGAGGCTGCCCCTTCCCTGCCTTGTTGGGTCAACAGGAGAACCCCCATATGCTCCATGTCTCTCAATCTGCACCTCACATTCTGTTAGATCACACCACTAGGCAGTCAAGCAGCCCGAGCCCGAACCCTTTTGCACCTGAATCACTTGCTTCAGCGGACGGGGACGCCTCATCGCCGTCCACATTCCATCTTCCACGACCCACTCATCGCTGTCCAGTGACTCCAGTCCACCCGTGAGGGGTGATGGCCAGGCGAGCTGCCCCGACGTTCTAGAAGCCGACAGCTTCACCTTGCGCTGCATGTGGCAGACCCTCAAAACGCTGGAAGCTTAGCACCATCCATCTTGTTGCGTGTGCGTCTGCATTACAGCGACGACGGCGAATTGGCCCAGTTGACGATTCCTCTCTTCCCATCCTCGAGGGGGACATAACTACAGTAATTAGAGCTTCGACGCACCTGTGCGCTCGATACATAGCAGAGCACTAACTGACCCCTGCAGCACCGCGCACCACCTGCGTCCCTCGTCCGCGACAGACAGACATCTCGCGTCGCGTGAAGCTTCTCTGCTTAATTCGTCCGCCGCAGTACAATTATTACTGCGTCCGTGTCAAGCCTGGCCTGACTTTGGCAATGAGGCAGGTAAGTACGTACAATTACAACACAACAAAGTCACCCCAGACAGGCGGCCAGTTGCCCTACTTGACCCCCCGGCCCAGGAATAGAGTTCCGCGGCCTCAAACTTCGGAGGGCCTGCGTCTACCCGCTACATCCCTCCGGCTTCCACAAGCGCCGCCGTCTTCGACTTCTAGACCCAAAGACTCTCGGCCATTCTGCTGTGGAAATGCCAGCGCTGACCATCCTTGGCCTCGAGCAGGGCGCATCTCTACGACGACAAAAGGGGACCCCGGCGTAGCCCCCGAAACCGACGAAACCTTGCATCGCGAACAAGCAACATCTCGATCCCCTTCCATGCGCGCCACAGTCATCTCGCGAGGCTGACCGCAGGAACGACTGATAACCCATAATCGAAAGCTCTGTACAGCTTCCACGGCCGTTCGCCAGTTCCGTTGCCTCCGCAAGCGCCGCTATGGCTTCCACAGCCGTTGCCGGCGAGCCCATGGACATTGCTTCGCCCACGTCTAGCTCTCGTCGACCAGACGCGCGCTCTGCAATTGATAAGTCCAAGGCGGAAGCAACCAGTCAAGGCGCAGACAGCGAAGAGCACGAGAACGAACGCGCCGGAAAGAACACGAACATTGGCAACATGGCAGCACCACCTCCCGCCGCGGCGGCTCTGCACCAGCCAAAGATTGTGCAGACGGCGTTTATTCACAAACTGTACAACATGCTGGAGGACCAAAATATCCAGCATCTGATATCGTGGTCGTCCAGTGCCGACAGCTTCGTCATGGCCCCGACGCCGGACTTTTCGAAAGTCTTATCGTGAGTATTCCGCGATGGGTGGATGGCTATGGGGCGTCAGACTCACCAATCCAGACAATATTTCAAGCATACAAACATCTCATCGTTTGTGCGGCAGCTCAACATGTATGGATTCCACAAAGGTACGACCAATCTGCGAGGCACGAAGCGACTGAACTGAACGGCCGACTGACGCAACTGCAGAGCGCGACGTTTTTCACACCAGCAGCCCCGAGTCGACCCTCTGGGAGTTTAAGCACGGCGGTGGCAACTTCAAGCGCGGCGACCTGGTGGGACTGCGGGAGATAAAAAGACGCGCCAGTCGACACGCGCTCGTGCACCGAGAGAACAACTACACAAAGCCAGCAGTATCACAGCCAGGCACACCGGCCGAACCACTGCACCTGGCGCCCGAGAACACGGACATGCGCTTGGCGAACTTGGAGTACTCGCTGAATGACTTGAGCGCGCGGTTACAGCGGAGCGACGAGGCGGCGCATTACATGCACGTCAAGTACCAGTTGGCTTCTGATACGATCGGACGGCTGCTGCATTTCAACCAGGAGCTGGCGAGGAGTGTCATGTCCCTGGTACCTCCGGAGAGCCAGGTCCATCGAGACGGTGGGTCCATATTTGACGAGGAACGGTCAAGGCTGGATGCTAATATTGAACAGTTTCTACTCTACAGCACGAGATGCAGCGCCAGGTCGACGTGCTGCGTGGCATGGATGATGGGGCCGACCCCGGATATGTAGGGAGGCAGCCGTACTATGGGGGGATGGAAAACCAACCCGTCTCGCCCAGACAGCCACAGCCAGACGAGGCGCGCCGGGGCAACCTGACGGTCCCTCAACGACAACTGTTCCACCAGCCCGCCGTGCCTTCGCGGCTCGGCGCCAATGCGAGGCGCCCCTACGGATCGATAGGCGGCGGGACAACAACGCAGTCCTCGCCATCGCGGCAGCCGAACCCGGCTGCGCCGCCGGCACCGCACCCGTTGTCGAATGTCGAGCAGGCGCCTCCCGGGGGCCTGGGTAGGAGGCACACGTCTGCGGACATTCGAGCGCACGGCTGGCTGCCTGGCATGGAGCCGCAATATCAAGGGGGAGCACCACCAGCATATCCGCAGTCCCCCAATCGCGTTCCGAACGAGGATCAGCGGATACGAGAATCCTTTTCCACGTACTCGCTACAACAAGCCGCCTCCCAACAGCAGCAACAACAGCCACAGCCACAGCCGGGATCCAGTTCCAGGCCTTGCACACCACCCTTTGCTAGCAACGGCCACAACGGGGCGGATACCTTTGGAAACTGGTCGTGGGGCTCCGCGGCAAGCCGGGGGCTTAAGGACTCGTCTGCGCCGCCGACACGACGGGGGAGCATGGCACATATTTTGAACCCAAGCGACACCGCCGAGCGGTCGGATGAAGATGAAGGCGACGAGGATCCGAAGGGAGGAGAGGAGGACGCGCGCAAGCGCAAGCGGGTGCAGTAACCAGCAGGAACTGAAGGTGAGAGGGCGGGGCGGGGCGGGCGGCCCTTTGTAGATATGAACGGGCAGGAGTTTGGGCGTTGGCGTGGGCCTGAGGGGAGAGAAACTTGGTAGCATACTGGATATCCGGGTAGTTGACCAGCTTGATCTGATCTGGCGGGGAACAGAGTATCATTCCGAAGTCTTCTTGGCCTTGTTCTTCTTGCTCTTCTTCTTCTTTTTCTTTGCCGGCGGTTGCTGTGATTCCGCGTCCCTGTCCGTGACGTCCTCTGTTACGGTGGCCGCTGGTGCTGATGTGTGCTCCTCGTCGTTGGGCGGCGTCTCCTCGCGACGCGGCCTCTTGGTCTTGTTCTTCTTCTCCCTGCCTAGACTGCCCCGCCCTTCATTGTCCTCGTCGCTCTCGGCCTCCTCCTTGGCCTTGCGCTCCCGCTCGGCCCGCTTCCCTAGGACCTTCCTCCTCAGCTCCTCATTCTCATCCCACTTTTTCGCCTTGGGCTTGACGTAGCCGACGCCGCCGAGGTCCATGCCCCAGTCGTCCTCTTCGTTTCCGAGAGCGGACTGCGCAGGCGGTGTCGGGGCGTTGGATGGAGGTTCACTGGCATCGGCTGGGGGTCGAGCAGAAGATGAGGAGGGGATGGTGCGTGTGAAGTTGAGGTTTGTGAAGAGGCTGTCTGTCCGGCTCCGAAGCATGGACAGCTTGTTGTGGAAAGATGTCGGGAGCGGCTTCACCGATGCGTCATGTTCGTCGGGGGCCATTTTCACGCTTGACCTGGGAGTGATTGTTTGGAGGAGAAGTAAAAGGTGGTGTGTGAACGAAGGTGATGAAGTGAGTTCAAGCTCGAGTCGACTTTTTTATGGGGCCCTTAGGTCGCGCTGGCGAATCCCCATCGAGGACCAGTGAGTCTGTCATACGTGTATTGAGTGAAGGTCAAAGACCTGTTCCCTTTTGTGTACTCCATAAATTACATATCCAATGCAATAGTATTACCCGTGAAGCAGTACCCATACTCCAAGCCATGCATCATAACGTTACATCATAACCCAGTGCACCTATATGCTTTCTGCCGTGCCCATCAAATTCAGTACATACGGCAGGTCCTCATCGTCCTCCCGTGTCGCCAGTCGAATCACCGACCACGACCGACCGGAGCGTATGCTACTAGAGCTCGAGGCATCGTACGGGCGTCTGGTCTGCGCAAAACTATTGCCGCTACTACTGGAGGGCCGCGAGGCCAGGTGCGGCCGGCTACGCGGGGTGGTCGGCGCTGTGCGGAACGTGCCGCCCCAGGAAGCCGAGCGAGGTGCAGGTCGACGGATGGAGGACGTGTCTGAGCTGTCAGGCCGGTTCGCGAGGGCGTGGAGATATTCGTTGCGTGAGTCATCACCATCACCACCACCATAGGCACTCTCCGATGGCGCTGTCTCGTCGTCATGGAGGATGGCCAGGTCAAGGGGCTGCATGCTGCGGAGGACCTCGGCGAAGAGATGCATGAGTTCGCGGAACTGGGCATTGGATATGGGCTGCGTCGAGAAGCGCGCGTATTCGTACAGCGCGAGGAAATCGGTGACTGTCTCGTCTGGCGAGAGGACGTCCAAGCTGGCCAAGTGATCCGCATAACCACGTAGACTAAGATTGGCAGACCGCTGCAGAAGAGACACGGCCTCAGAGTCCGGGGCAGCAACGTCGCTCCCCGTCGCGGGCCCTCTCTGCGCCAGCGTCATGGCTTTGGCCTCGATCAGGTTGGGCAGCTCGGCGAGGACGGTCCCATAATGCAAATTTGGTAGATCGGGCGACTTTGGCGAAGACCAGCCCTTGTGTTCAATGCCGTCCCACAGCTCGTGCTGCAAAGCCTTGGAGATACCCAGCCCTTCAGCCGCCGCAATTGTGACCTTGACGCCGTCCGGTTCCGTCCTCGGCCGTGCCTCGTAGGCAATTGCTGCGCTCCTGTCGAGCCCGTCCTGAATCATCTGGTGCACCGCCTTTGTCACATCGCCCACGTCGATCGGCACCCATGGCTTGGGGATGTTGTTGAGGACCGTCTTGTTCACGTACAGGCGGATAAAGTAGATGACGCTGACGACGAGGATGGTGAGGACATAGGTAAAGGCCAGAAGCCATATGTTGTACACTTGATTGTTGCGGAGCGAGCGCCCGATGGCGTCGGCCGGCGTGATCAGGAGCAGACCAGCGAGAAGAATGTAGAGGAGGAAGTAGACAGATGTGTAGGCGACGCGAAAGAAGTCCCACGCGCGACCCATGTTGGCGGCGGGAACGCGCGCGCACACGCCGGGCGCGGTCAGTATGGAGCTAGGGTTCTTCGATAGCAAGCTGCTCGATGTATACAGAGGTGTCGCATGTTTATGGCGGATGAAGATGCATGGGCGATTGTTGATGGTTGATGGAGGATCGAGGTCGATGATGTCTTGTTGGGTAAGGTAAGGTCATTACCGGGTAAGGTAATTACATGCAATTAGAAGCCTGCAAGTTCCAGCCAACAGCCGCTGAACTTAGAAGGGACAGGGAGGGGGGGGGGAGTGGAGACATGACGAACGTGGATCTCATATCCATCCACGTCCTGACTCCTGATAACAGGACATATCATTTGTTGTTTCTGACCACTTCATATCCAGTTGACTGCCCATTTATTCAACATTCAACCAGAAAGCTTACCCTGGCGGTATTTGCGTTGGAATTGACGCTGATGAAGAACATCGCCAAAGCGTGACCTATGCGATGCAGAGCAGATGGTGTTCCCATCATCCAAGTGGTCTTTCTCCTCGTGTGAATGGAGACGGTCATCATGCTCAAGAGGGGGCAGTCCAGGCGCACTACATACACATCGAGCCAGGCTTGGCGAGGAAGAATCGCTGCTATGCCCGCTTTAGGCATGTGGAATTCCCAAGGCCCCGAATGGACAGACGGTGCGTGGCTGGCCTAGGGCGGATCTACCATACCGTCTTGCAGTAGTGGCATCTCATCACCACCGACACTAGAGAAGTGCGTGTGGTACAACTTTACCGTGACTGACATGAGTCTCAAGCCACTCGACTCGAGAATCCTATAGGTATATGGGCATGGACAATGCTTCCTCCTGTATTCTCAGTTGTGACAGTAGAGAGGCTCAGTATCAGATACGACGATCTCTCACAGCACGCGGCAGATGACCCTGCAGAGACATACCACGCGGGAACTGCCGATCACGAGTCCAAGGTCGATCAAGTTGAAACACTCTCCGTTCTAGACTTTGGTTGTGCCGTTGCCTAGTCCTCACTTTTGACCACGCGTGGCTTCTAGTCTAAGTTCTGCAGGCGCAAGCCAGTCTTGGCATTGGACTACAGCCGAGGCAGTATCTTCCAAAAAGTAAGCATGTCCCCTAGCAACTGTGGTCTTGTACGCTAATCGACGAAGCACGCGCTTTCGAAACATCCTATTCCGATTCCCAGGAGCCGAGGCGAGGGGACTTGGCTTCTCATGCACCCCGCATATGCACTCCAGGAACTCCCACAAGGTTGCTGCACGTCTGCGTATCATCCTGGGCATCATGCATACCGCGATCCCCCTTAGAAGACATCTTGCGAAACTTTGCGGGGGTCTCCATTCTGCCAGTGTTGCGATTGGAACGCGGCCGCCTCACATCAACCACATCACTCGCGTCCGTGGCCGGATTCGTGTTAGGCGGTATCCCCATACTCTGTGCTATCTACTCCATACACGTGGCACGCCAGTCTTCTACAACGTCCGCCTTTTCAACTGCGACTGACAGTGGATGGGTGATGGTCGTCGGCGGGGAAAAGGCCTCGTCGGCCGATGCTGGCAAGGAGCCAGCTCGAAAAGGCCGGTCAGACATGGTCCATCCTTCCAACGTCCATCAGCTTCGGGCTGCCAGCCAGACTGGAGTATCTATAAGAAGACGAGGTTTTCCCTCCCTTTGAGGAGGAAATCAGCACAAGCCAGCCAGCCATAACAGCTACAGAGTCAAGGTTCACTTCCTGAGTTCAGAACACATACACCTGATCTATCCATCCATCCACCAGTCAACATGAAGTTCCTCGCTCTCACAGCTGCCCTGGCCGCCATGGCCGTCGCCCTTCCCATCGAAGACTCCTTCACCGCTGTCGAGATCCGCAACGCGGACCTCGAGCTCGAGACCGTCCAGCTCGAGACCCGTCAGTCCACCACCAGGAACGACCTGCAGAGTGGCTCCGCCTCCTCCTGCCCCGACGCCATCCTCATCTTCGCCCGCGGCTCCACCGAGCCCGGCAACATGGGCCTCTCCGCCGGGCCCATCCTCGCGTCCGCCCTCGAGCGTCAGATCGGCAACATCTGGATCCAGGGCGTCGGCGGTCCTTACAACGCCGGCCTGTCCCCCAACTTCCTCCCCGCCGGTACCAACCGCGCCTCCATCGACGAGGCCAAGCGTCTCTTCCAGCTCGCCCACTCCAAGTGCCCCAACACCCCCGTCGTCACCGGCGGCTACTCCCAGGGCACCGCCGTCGTCGGCAACGCCCTGACCGAGCTCACCGGCGCCGTCCAGGACCAGGTCGTCGGTGCCGTCCTCTTTGGCTACACCAAGAACCTCCAGAACCGCGGCCGCATCCCCAACTACCCGACCGACCGCACCAAGGTCTACTGCGCCTTCACCGACGCCGTCTGCTGTGGCTCCCTGTTTATTCTACCCGCGCACTTTTCGTACAACGACGAGGCCGCGTTCGAGGCGCCCAGGTTCCTGACCAGCCAGATCAACGCTGCCTGAGCGATGTGGCAAGACGCAAGGGGCCACTGGTGTTCGCAGGGCGACATCAGGAAGACCGGACCGATGGGATTGCGCGCAAAAGGAGCGGGGAGACGGGATCTGTCGCTGTTTTCTTTCTTTCTTGGCCATTCTTTACCGTATATAGTCGTCAATGAACAAACAAACCTTCAGCTGGAGACGCACATGTGCCAGAATGTCTTGTCGTACGTATAATTCTCTACAATCGTACCCTACCGGGGTATCATGCCCATAAATGCCTTTTCGCCGATCCATGCATCTCTTTTTTGTTCATCCTCGCACCTGCTCCATCTCTGGTTTGCTGGCCAACCTCCTTCGAGGCACCTCTTCCGCCCTTGAAATGCGCCTCTCGACACGGGGCTTGGCCTCCTGCACCGGCTTGGGTGCGGCGGGCGCCTGCTGCTTGGGCGCGACTGGCTCTGGCTTGGCGGCGGCCTCCTTGGCCAGTCTCAGTTCGGTCCTGGTCAGACCTAGCTCACTGCTGAACGACTCAAAGCTGGCCACCACCTGGCCAAGCCCCTTTCGCAGAGCGTCAACAACCTCGTCGACCTCGGGACACGTGGCACTCCCTTGGATATCCGTCCAGTGAACGGGGAAACGCTGCTTCATGGACTCAATCTGGCCAATGACCGACGTGAGCGTGCAAATGATGCTGGCCACGTCGCGGTGCACATGGCCGAATGGATCCTCCGTGAGACTGTGGACAGCGAGCTGGCACAGCGCATTCGAAGCGTGGACGTAGAGCATGGGCTCGGCAAACGGGGTGCCCAGGACCGCACCTGCGAATTCGGTACGGAATTGTTGCTGGAACAAGGCCCGGACAAACCCAGACCTCATCGACCAGAGCACAGCCCTCTTCCAGTGACTCCGCACGTTCTCTGCTGTCAAGGCATCTCGTTGCTCTTTGGTGAGCACATTGTCCTTGGTCTGCTCCCACGTCTTCTTCGCAATGGGCCTGAGCTCGTTCAGGGCGGACTTGTGAGGCTGTCCGTCGCCACGTAGCAGCTCTTTGACTTCAGCTTGGGCGTAGTCGCGCAATCTGCTTCGGGTAGTGCTCGGCCGTTCGGGAGAGAAGATGTTGTCCGTCTTGATCGGTGCCGCTGTCCGTTCTCGCGGCTCTTCGACGGGTGCGGGAGGCGGTGGTGCGGGTGGTTTTCCCCATGCCTCCGCGCGCACCTCAATGGACTTGATCACGTCGATGCACACGCCGTAGACCTGCGTCCACATGGGCCCCTGTGGGCGGTCAATGTCTGCGTAGATGGCCTTTCTGCGCGTTTCAAGGTTCTCGGCAATGTGTGCTAGCTCCCACATGGCAAAGCTCTGCACAGAGGGCTTCTTGCTCTTGAGACCGTTCAGCAAGCTGCCATTGGGGTCCTTGGATTCGGACGATAGGGGCTGCCCATTCTTGAGTGGGGTCTTGACCATGAAGATGGAAAAGGCAGTGTTGCCCGCCGTCCACACGACGAACAACAGCGAGCCCGCCATGACACATCGTACGCACAGCCAAAAGTCGAGCGGGTGTGTGGGCGGGAGGATGTTGGACCGGGGCATGTTGTAGAATGGCCGCAAGAACATCAGTGTCCAGCCGTAGGCAATTGACCGAATAGGCGTGACCAGATGCGCCACGATAGAGAAGCCCAAAACCCATGCTGACTTGACGGCGCTCTCAGCCACCAGCTTAGGAAAATGTATCAAGAGCCTGACCTCCCGTGATGGCGGAGGCTTATCCGACCCTGGGTTGTCGTCCAATTGCCTGAATACGATCCCGAGGTCCAAGTGATCTACGTCCCCAATGAAGTGATCGAGGCTCTGCTTGAGGGCGCACGCGCCCAGGTACAACGCGAGGAAGATGGTGCGCTCGTTGGCTCGCGCTCGGTCGCCGCTCGTATACGAAACCCATCGGAGACTAGCCGAAGGCGAGATCGAGTAGATGAAGATCGGGCAGAAGATGCATGTCGACACAATGTACCAGAATGCCGTTTCGTATGTCGACAGCTTCGAGAGGTTGGCGCGCAGGGTGTGGAAGCCCGACCCGGTCGTCCTCAGCCCGACGTGATAGTGCGCGATCCGAAGAACAAGGATGGAAAGACCACTGGAAAAGATGGCGAGCGTTCGGAAGCCAGTAGGGCCTAACGGAAACCAGGACCAAAGCAACGAATCCCAACGACTCAAGAGAAGTGCTTCGGCATAGGAAACTATGAACAGCACAAGGGCGGTCGACGCGAATCGGCTCTGCAAAGCAGGCTGGAGGAAGTCTTTGTAGGGCGCCCTACGGACGGTGAGGGGCGCCATGGTTGTGAGGCATCCGCTGGTGATGGATGGTGCGGATGTAAATAAAAAAGTGCCAGCTGAGCAACGGACGATTGATTGAGCAACGCGCGCTGGAGCCTGATGTGGAGGCTGCAGGGTCTGGTCTGGTCTGGTCTGGCGGGAGCGAGCGACATCACGTGCAGTGATTGGCCCGGCGGGCGCTGACGTCGTTCGTCGCCCGGCCCGTCGCAACCTCATTCACTACTGACTCCTCCGCATCACGCAGCACGTCGTCGCCTTCTGTTTTGCGGTCATTTCAGACACTCGCTATCATGTCGTACGATCAACTCTCCAACCTCGAGTCCGGGCGCTACACCGACGACCCGGTATTCCGCGACTTGCAGTACGAGCTCAAGGGCAAACTGCAGTCCCTCCTCACCAGCAACCGCAAGCTCGCCAACGATGTCAACGTTCTGGGCACGAAGAAGGATTCGCCGCGCCTGCGGGAGCGTGTGAACAATGCGATGGACAAGACGAGGCACATATGCCAGGAGATTGGCGAGGGCGTCAAGAAACTACAGTCATGGGAGGAGCTATCGGTAGGAAGACCATTACAGCTGCTCTCTACCCAAGAGCACAGGCTAACGTCGACAGAAACAACAAAAATACGAGCAGACAAAGGTTTCCAGCGACTTCCAGACGGCGCTACAGGAGTTCCAGTCCCTACAACGACGAGCACTGGAGAAGGAGAAGGCATCCGTCCATGCGGCGCGCGTGGCACACGATGCCGAGCCTGGCCACGCCACGTCGCCCTCGGGCGGTCAACAGCAGGAGCAGCTGCAAATGTCCGCGCCCCTCGCTGTGCAGGACGAGGTGGATTTCCAGGAGGCGCTCATCATCGAGCGGGAGGAGGAGATTCGCAACATTGAGCAGGGCGTGGGCGACCTCAACGTGCTCTTCCGCCAGGTGGCGCAGATTGTGGACGAGCAGGGCGAGCAGCTCACATCCATCGCCGACAACATTGAGAATGTCCACGACGACACGCGTCACGCCGACGTGGAGACCCGGCAGGCAGCGCGGTATCAGAAGGCGGCCCGCAACAAGGGCTGCTGCCTGCTGCTCATCCTGGCCGTGATCTTGACCATTGTCATCTTGGCAGTTGTGGTCGGATGAGACATGGGTGCAGAGAGACTCTTGTGTGTTCTTTTCATAAAGGCGTTCAGCGTGGGTATATATCATTTGGTTACAACAGACTATTGTACATGGCAACGCAAGATTAATGACCACTATTTCGGGTTCTGACTCGTGGACGCCGACTGGAGTGTCCGATCCATGGTGCTCGCATGTATGAATGGCGACGAGAGCTCTGTCCGCTTGATCGGCTGCAGTGGCTGCTCCGGCTTGGGGATATATCGGTCCATGATCCAGTTGTTCACGTGAGTGAGGCTGAAGCTCGAGACCCAGTAGAGCAGGATGGAGCTGGGCATATTGAGGCCGGCGAAAAGCGGCCAAAAAGGGACCAAGAGTAAGAGACGCTGAAACGCGGGCTGCAGCCCACTCCACCCTTTCCTGAGCGTCGGTGCTTCAATGTCGCGGCTCAAGAAGACGTTCCACACGTCTCGGTTCCTCCACGTAGACGACCCCAAGGCAGCCACGCACGCGACGGGCAGAGCATAGTAAGGATCCGCAGCCGAGAGGTCCGTGAACCAGGCCAAGCCCCCGTCGCTGAGAGAGGAGTCAAAGCGAGATACATCGCTGCTGGCCGAGAGTTGGACGCCACTGATGCGCCGCAGGGCATCCGAGAACATGATGAACGGCACCACGGTGACGGGCGGTATGAAGTGTTTCCATGTCTGGCAGCCTACGGCCCTGAAGATCCGGCGTCTCGTGGGCGCATTGTCTGCTTTCGCACGGGACAGCGCCAATGTGCTCTGTTTCTGCGCATCGGGCGAGGAAGGGTCGATTTTCCTCATGGCCTTGTGGACGCGGACCCGCTCCCACGCCTGTACGACTGGCATGGCCTGGGCATACTTGTTGCGCGTTTGGCGGGCATAGTATTGCACCGGGAGACGGACGGTGAAGTTGACTGTGGCAGCCACAAGCGGGATCGTCATGTACCACGGGAGGCCGACGTGATGTACTGCGCATATGCCATCGGCGACAGTGTTCACAAGGGCTCCCCAGGTCGCTCCGACAAATGTCCGCCGGGTTGGGTGCGCAATTGTGACGGATGGCTTTGGCAAGCGCCTCAGAGCTGATCGTTGAATGAGTGACATGGTGGCCTTCGACTGCCGCCAGCGACAGCTTTGTTATTGCATCTTTGTTCGGAGACGGGATCTCTGGTGACATGATGAAGCGGACGATGAGAGAATGTCGCTTCAGTTCATGTGGCTTGTAGCTTGTGGCTTGGCGTGGCTGACGAACCAGCCAAGCTTTATTAGCGGGGCACACACCTCAGCAGAACAGCTGGACCCTTCACACAGACAGCACAGCATCATCTGAAGCTTCTCTCACCTGCTTCCCTCACCTGACCTCTCTTGTTGCGGAAGCGTGGGAGCACAACGATCTGAGGACATGCTCAGAATCTAGCACAACTTGATTCTGCTGCTAGTTTCGCCTTCCCTCCAACCCCAAACCGATAGCTTTCGCAGCCCCTCCATCAATCGGGATTCGCAGCTATGGCGGCGGAAAGCACAGCTACAGCTGCTGTGAACAGCAGCGTCAGGATCTTTGTGACGATCGCCGTCTCCTTCGCCCCATTCCTCCTGGCCATGGCCGTGCCAAGGCTTCTGCGACTGTTGGGCCGTTCCCTGGGATGGTACCTCCGGAAGAAGACAGAGGGCCGGCGGTCGTTGCTTATCTCCCTGATGAATGAGGAGGCCAGCAAGTCGCAGGACAAGAACCTCGAAACCAAGAGCACCTCTAGCGGCGAGTGGCAGAACGTTGGGGAGCAAGACGTCGATCGGGACTGGGCTGGCATCGTAGGCTTCTTCCATCCATTTTGGTGAGTCGGTTGTCCTGGACCCCGTGTAACCACCGCTGACAGGTTTTTCAGCAATGCCGGTGGAGGTGGTGAGCGCGTGCTCTGGGCAGCGATCCGCGCGACGCAGAACAAGTGGCCAAAGGCCAAGTGTGTAGTCTACACTGGCGACCACGAGGTCACCAAGGACCAGATCCTTTCTCGAGTCAAGGTGAGTGATGCTACCTGTCGCTCGGGCTTTTCACTGACCGATGACAGAGCCGCTTCAACATCAGCTTGCACCCTCCAGCTGTAACATTTCTCTACCTGTCGAAACGCGACTGGGTGGTTGCGTCCACATGGCCTCGCTTCACCCTGCTCGGCCAATCCCTCGGCTCCATGTATCTCGCTTGGGACGCCTTTTCCCTACTCGTCCCCGACATCTTTGTCGACACCATGGGCTACGCCTTTGCCCTAGGTGTCTCAAAGTGGCTGTTCCCCGAGATCCCGACCGGCGCCTACGTGCATTACCCGACCATCTCGACAGACATGCTGGAGTCCTTGGATCCTGATTCCAAGACGGGCTCGCAGGGGGTGAACGCAGGTCAGGGCGTTGGCATCCGCGGCACGATCAAGAAATGGTACTGGATGCGCTTCTCCGAGCTCTACTCGTGGGTGGGCTCCTCCATTGACGTTGTCATGGCCAACTCGACATGGACACGCACACATCTCACCAAGCTCTGGGGTCCTTGGCGTGAGGTGAAGGACAGGAGGAACCCTATTCCCGCCATCTTTCCTCCCTGTGCAGTCGAAGAGCTCGAGCAGGAGATTGAGGTCTCTGAGGCGAGCGAGACGAAGCGCGAGAAAGCCATGGTCTACATTGCGCAATTCCGCCCCGAAAAGAACCACAAGCTCATCGTCCAGTCGTTTGCTCAGTTCGTCATGACAGGGACCGAGGCGGCCAAAGAGGCCAAGCTGATTCTCATTGGGAGTGTGCGCGACGACCATGACTCGAAACGCGTCTACGAGCTGCGCCTGCTGGTCAACGAGCTTCACATCAAGGACAGGGTCGAGTTCCGCCTGGACGCCCCGTGGCCCGAGATCCTACAGTGGCTCCAAAAGGCGTCTGTCGGCGTCAACGGAATGTGGAACGAGCATTTTGGCATTGGGTGCGTGGAGTACCAAGCGGCTGGTCTGATTTCCGTCGTCCACAACAGCGGCGGCCCGAAACTGGACATTGTGGTGGAGGTGGACGGCGAGCCGACCGGTTTCCACGCCGAGACTGTGGACGAGTTTGCCGAGGGCTACGAGTCGGCGCTGTCCGTTGCCAACCCGCTGGCGATGCGCCTGCGCGCGCGACAGTCGGCGAAACGCTTCACGGAGGGCGAGTTTGCCAGCAAGTGGCTTGTGCAGATGGATAGGCTTGTCGCCATGACGAAATAATTAAAATAGACTAAGGATACCCCCCCCCCTTTTCCCTATCTTTGACGTATACTTCTTCTATAGGTCTATTATATTGTGAGCCCGGCGCTGTTCTTCTGGCGAGGCTCGCCTGCTGCCTCGAACATGCCATTGTCGTGCCTCCACACGCCCTGCACGGAGCTCACGACGGGGGCCGTGTATTTGATCTCGTGGCCTCGCTCGCGCAGCGCATCGACAGTGTCATTGTCCATGGCGTATTCTATGAGTGACACGTTTGGCAGCAGCTGGTCGTGGACACGTGGATGGGCGAGGGCTTGCGTGAGTGTCATGTTGTGTTCTATGGTGTGCCACAGGACTTGCGCCGTGGAGGACACGATGCGAGAGCCACCGGCGGCACCCACCACCGCGAGGAGAGTGCCATCGGGGCGGGAGGCGATGATGGGTGTGATGGAGGACAAAGGTCGCTTGTGCGGGCGGATAAAGTTGGCTTCGGAGGGGGCGAAGCCGAACTCGTTGGGCACACCGGGGATGGAGAAGTCGTTCATCTCGTTGTTGCTAGAGGAGTGAGCACAATACACTGATGAGAAATCAGGGGCTAACTTACATGATGACACCAGAGAGGGGATCCATGATCTGCGCGCCAAAGAGCAAATTGACGGTCGTCGTCAATGAGACCGCCATGCCCGACGCATCGGCGGCGGAGATGTGTGACGTCCCGTGGCTGTCTGTCGTGTACAGGCGCTTGGGATCGTAGTAGTCCACGGGCATTGTCTGGTCGTCCCTGATCAGGTCCCTGATCTCCTCGGCCTTTGCGGTGCTGATCATGTCGTCTTCCATCTCACCCATGTGGGAGATGAAGCTGGGGTCGCCCAGTTCCAAGCGCGCACCGTAGGCAAAGCGCTGCGCCTCGTCGTACCGATGCCACGTGAGGCCCATGTCGTCGGCGTCCTCGAGGTCAAACTGCTCCATGATCTTGAGGATGTTGAGGCAGACGGCGCCGTTGGCTGGCGTGCCCACAGCATGAAGCTGCGCGCCGCGATAGGAGGCCGAGGCGACTTTGCGCGAGATGACTTTGTAGTTGGCCATGTCTTCGAGTGTCATGGTGCCATTGGTTTCCTGGATCGTCTTGATGATGGACTCGGCAATTTCGCCCTTGTAGAAGGCCTCTGATCCATGCTCGGCGATCAACTCCAATGTGCTTTGGCAGGTCAGTATGGAGTGAAAGCTCAGCCTGTGATGTCTAGACTTACCGCCCATATCGTGGTCGAGTCATGGTTTCGCCCAGTCCTAGCATGGTGCCGTTCGGGGCGAATTCCTCTGCAAAAATCGGATCCTCGACCAAGAAGTTGGGCTGGTTCTTCGTCGCTAGCTGTGAATATTTGATGAGATCTGGCGACACTGTCTGGCGGTCAGTACGGCACGTCCAACACTTCTTGAGGCACCACAAACCTTTAAACCCGTCGTTGGCCATGTGTATCGCACCAGCCATGACCTCGTGCCATGGTAGCGACTATGTCTGTCTGTTATTGCAATCCTCACGGAGTCATGGAAGATACTCACACCGTATTTCTTGTGGGCATATTCCAGTCCGGCAAGCTCGCTGGGCACACCAGCCGACAAGCCACCGTAGACACTGCCGTCGACATTGCCCTGGTACATGTCCTCGTATGCCGCTGCAGGCGCAGACTCGCGGAAATCGATCGCTTCGTACTGCCCGTCTGCATCACGCACCAGCATAAAGCCACCGCCTCCAATGCCGGAGTGGTACATGCCAATGACGCCGACGCAGAATGTCGTCCCGACCAAGGCATCGACAGCATTGCCCTACAAGGTCAGTCAGTCAGCGCCTTATCGGAATGGTGAGACATGTATGTAAAGACGTACGCCTTGCGCGAGAATATCTCGACCAATCTCGCTGCACTCCCGTGTCTCACTAGCGACGCCGCCTTTGAAACCATCCTTCTGGCTGCTGAGGTACTGCTGGCTCAGTCCAGGTGGGATGATAGCCGAGGCAAGGCCACTGAATAGGCAAGCGGCCAAAATGGCCTGGCCTGGTCTTTGGGCCTTCATGACTGAACTCGATCAATTACTGCGCAAAAGAAAGTGCTACAATTTGTTGGCGAGTTCGGTGCTGAATAATGATGGATGCGAAAGGCCGTTTTGCCGATCTCACCAATGAGTGTGAGAGAGTGTAAGTCGCAGTGAGATAGTCGATCCACAGCTCAAAAATGATCGATATCAAAACCCCAGCGAACGTGTCCCTTACTATTCTACAGGCCACATAATTAGGACAATTGGACACGCATCTGGCCTTTATGGCAATTTAAGTTGAGCTAGAAACATCGAGTGCGCCCTTATCGGCGTAGAATTGTTAGTCACGCGCGCCGAGGGTGTGACGTGCTCCACGACTCGGATTTGGAATATGGAGACTCCAAACACGGTAATCAGTCTAGTCCAATTCGAGTATCTTGTTTGGTTGCTGACAAGAGCGGACCAGACAGGAGGCTATTCAAGTTGGTACTTCTCGATAACAGGCTTAACAGCACCGATTGTGTATTGAACTTCTAGAGAAATTATCTTGGCTCGGGCGTCTTGATAAGCGCATGTGCCTAGTACATCCTCCGGATGAGCTTCAAAAGGATTCAGCGTCGAGAAAGCAGGCACACATGTGGTATTAGATTTCCGCGACCGCCGTTTCGTTCGCAAAAAATACCATTGCCACAATGGTGTTGGGCCATAATTTTTTGCTCCTATTCTCCCCGTGAGTCGCGGGCAACGCTGCTGCACGTCCTATAGGCACCCGAATCACAAAAGTATAGTCAGAAGCCAAAAAGGTAACGTCTCCCATACTGGGAGTCGAACCCAGGGCTTGGCGGAAGCTTTCAGATGAAAGCGCCACATCATAACCGTTAGACCATATGGGATGAACATGAAAGTTTACAATCGGACTTTTCATATTATATACAGTAGTCACGTAGTACTAATCACGGTCTCTACTTGGTTCATCAGCCACAAGCTGCTCACCCCTAATATCAAGCTAGTGCCCTCCCTGAGTCTAACGCCGGAATGAGTTACCGCCTTCATTGATTATTTTTTGAAGAGAACAAAAGCTTCAATGACTATATAATAGTATCTGGTGCTGGATAACAAGAAACACAACTAAAAGGGGTCGCCGGTGACCAGATCGCCCGAGTAAGTAAATACCCGGTAGCCATGGACCCACCAGACCAGCCGGCAACCAATCACGCAAGGGCCAATTGACATTTGAGATTTCACAAGCCATGCTCTAACTTTTTGAAGACACGACCTCATCCATCACCACACTCACCTCCATATTCTTAGCAATGCCCTTATGAGGCCTTTTCGATTCGCCTCGCTCATAAGATTGAGGACCACTTCTCCCATCACGCTCAAACCATTCGCAACCATGGCCTCAGCACAGAGTGGACATGCGCAGAAGCGCCAACATGGCAGCGCGCAAGGAGGGAAATGGAAACCCAAAAAGACAAAGCGCGAGAAGAACATTGCCGAGGGCTCATCAGAGGACATATTGCGACTAGACATACAAGCTCTGCTCAAATCGAGACCGACGATAGAAGACCCAGAGCCATTGCCAGAGCAAGGCACCCAGGTGGACATTGAGATCCTGGAACTTTCATCGACAGGCGATGCGCTGGGCATGATCGCCGGATCAAACCAAGTCTACGTGACCCAATTCGCCGTGCCGGGTGACACGGCGCGTGTCAAGGTGTACCGGCACCTGCAAGAGGAGAGCCGCACCATTGCCGACTTCATCTCCATCACAAAGCCATCCCCGCTGCGCGATGACACGAGGATACAGTGCAAGTACTTTGGCAAGTGCGGCGGATGCCAGTTCCAGATGCTGGACTACTCGGAGCAGCTGAAGCTGAAGAAGCGCGTCCTGGAAAAGGCGTACGCGAACTTCTCCAACCTCCCGGCAGAGCTCGTCCCCACCATTGGCGACACCATTGGCAGTCCGCTCCAGTACAACTACCGGACAAAGCTGACGCCGCACTTTGACGGGCCGCCAGGCATGTTCCGCGGACGGGGCAAAAAGTCCAAGGCGCATTTCGACTCGTGCCCCGACATTGGCTTCATGCTCAAGGGGACGCGGCGGGTCATGGATATCGAGGAGTGTCCCATTGGCACCGAGGCCGTCAACCTGGGCATGAACCGCGAGCGAGCGCGCATGAAGGAGGAATACAAAAACTACACAAAGGGGGCCACCATCCTCCTGCGGGAAAACACCCAGCGCCTGCCAAGGGACAGTGCCGACATTCCGGAGACGCTTCCGCCATACACCACGAAAGCCGACAACGAGACCACGGTGGACATCAAGTCGTGCATCACCGACCCCAAGGGCACGTCCATCGAGCACATTGACTCGTACGTCTTCACCAACCCGGCCAATTCCTTCTTCCAGAACAACAACTCCATCCTGCCCAAGTTCACGGCCTTCATCCGAGAGCACATCGTCCCGCCCGCCCATCAGGGCGAGATCAAGTACCTCATCGACGCATACTCGGGCTCCGGTCTGTTCACCATCACCCTGTCGAGTGTGTTCCAGCATTCCACGGGAATCGACATTGCCGCCGACTCCATCGCCTGCGCCCGGAAGAACGCCGAGCTCAACGGCCTAAACGACGAGCGCTGCAGCTTCATTGCCGCCGACGCGGGCGAGCTGTTCAAAAGCGTCACGTACAACAATGACGAGACGGTCGTCGTTCTCGATCCCCCAAGGAAAGGCTGCGACGCCGATTTCCTCGGCCAGCTGCAGAGATTCGGGCCCAAGAGGGTACTGTACGTCAGCTGCAACGTGCACACGCAAGCGCGCGATGTCGGCGTGCTCGTCAGGGGTGAAGGCGACGGATGGCGATATGAGATTGAGAGCCTGCGAGGCTTCGACTTCTTCCCCCAGACGGGTCACGTTGAGGGTGTGGCGATCTTAAATCGTGTGGAACAGTAATAGTCTAGAGTTGTGATTAATAATGCTAACTCTGGCCCAACAACGCCTTGAGACCCTGTACTGTGGCTTGCAGCACTTCTGGCCGCCGGCTCTTCTTGAGACATTCCTTCATGGTGTCGACGCCATCTGCGTCTTTGATCTTCTCCCGCGCTTGCTCGCCAACTGTTCCCTCTGCCATCACCATGTTATAGACAGTGTACACGCCGCGGTGGCGCAAGTCCTCGTTATCGTCCACACACATACCCAGCACTGCTTTGACACCGCCTTCGCGTGCTAGAATACCGAGCACGACAGACTCGAAGCCCGTCAGGCTGGCCAACGCGCCACCCGCGGCACTCCGCGTGCCCTCATCCTCCGCATCTGCCAGTGCCAGCAGGATGTGCAGGCGGTTCTTGGCTTGTGGCGAGCCATCCGCGTACAACGCGATGCCCTCGGGCGACTGCATGAGGTTACACACCAGCTCTACTGCAGCCTTTGTCACCAGTGCATTGGAAGACAACAGCTGCTCCTCGATCTGCGGCCAGGCGACCGAGATAATGGACCGCCGCACCTCGCCGTCCTCGAGTGAGGCCAGGTTTGTCAAAGCCATCAGGGCCTCGAAAGAGGGCAAGAGATCCCGCACCTCGGCAGCCGGATCTGGCGGCAAGATACTCACCAATGGTCGTATCGCAGTGTTGATGGCATTTGCCCTGTTCCCTCCGAAAACCAAGGCTGGGTTTGTGCTGATCAGAATCCGGGCCAGAGCTTGCGCGGCTGTCCGGCGAGCTGCATCCTCCGTCTCCGGCAGGATGATCCAGGACTGGAGCAGAAGCTTGATGGCACCTTGCTGGGCGAGAGGAGCACGAAGAGCCTTTGTCACAGCTAGTGCATGAACGATACCAATGATCAACGCCAGAGATGCTGGCGAGCCATTCTTGCTATGCGTTACTAGAACGGGCGTCACACCAGCGTCAAAGACAGCCTTGCATCGCAGCGCCACATGCTCGTCATCCTCCAAGGGATCCTGCCCCGGCAGCTTGCCCGCAGCGTTGGCATATGCCTTGAGTTGCGCCATCTTCTTCTGTTCCTTCGTCAAAGCAGGCTGATATCGCGTTAAATTGCAGAAAATGCTGAGGACGCCATATGTGGTCGAGGATTTCGGTTTCGCTTCGGAGAGGGTCGTCACAAGCCGCTTCAAGAGATCCTCGTTCTTGGCGATGCTCTCCTTGATTGGTGCTTGGAGTGAGGCATATGCTAGGCCCTCGATAGAATGCTGTCGCGCGTGACTGTCGTCTTGCAAGATCATTCGTGTGAACAGTCCAGATAAATCTTCCATTGTCGAGACCGCCTCCTCGACTCGGGAGGATTGCCCATCAGTCGCTGATGGCTTCGTAGGCACTGCCTTCGAGCTTCGTCAGTCAGCCATCGTTAACGAGAGCAAATCTCCACATCACTTACTCTCAGCTTGGCAAGAATGACAGCTGCCAGATTCTGAACCTGCTCCGAGTGTCTTCGCATGGAGATTGAGCCTCCTTCGCTATGCAAATTGGGATCGTTGTTCATACTGCGAACCACCTCTGTTGGCTCCTGATCAACAATTTCCTCCAAAAACTCGACGCAATATTTCTGGATCGCCTCACGACAGTGCTGGTTCATACAAGCTGCGTTGAGCATCTCCAGACACGCGGTCTCGACCTTGCGACTCTTCCACTTGCGCTTCATGAGAGGCCCAAGGGACGGTAAGAAGCCCTCACTGAGGAACAGCTGAGAAGTGATATCCGGCACGATCGGAAAGATCTGTGAAGCAACGCAAAACGCGACAATGTAATCATCGTAGGTTCCTCGGTTCACCCGGTCAAAAAAGAAGTTCTTCAAGGCGTTGGCCCCCTCGTCGCCAGCAGCCTTCAGGTAGGCTGAGGTGGTCAATATGGCATGTCCACGGACGACCTCGTCTTGTCGCATATCAAGGTAACACACTAGTGTGTCCACGCAGTCCGAGTCGATGAGTTTGCAGATACTAGGATGCTCCTTGTTTCTTTGCTGCGCCTCGGCATCTTCGTTGAGCAGCTTCGTCAAGGAGTCGAGGTCGAGGCACGTCTCATCGTCTTCGCGGCCGCCCTCCATAAGACGCGCAAACAGAATCAATGTCTGGTCCTCGAGCGATGCCGCAGGCCCGGTCTGCCCTAGCGTCTCCGCAACCGACGAGGCCATGTTGTCGCGTTGATTTGGATTGGGGGTACTCATTCCTGAGACCTGTTGAGACGAGCCAGGAGAAGATGCGAATCGGCGCCCGCCCTCCTCCTGTTGCTTCGAGACCAAGTGCAGAGGAAGCATCAAAGACTGTGAGTCAGGTGTAGTGAGATGATAGGTAACAAAGGTGATGTAAAGCGACGATGCAGGGGTGTGATCTGGATTCTGAAGCTCGAAAAGGGATCGCCGGTCAGGGTCCAGATACGAAAACTGATAAGCTGGAAAGGCCAAGAAATCCAAGCAGCAGCGTGATAGCGTTGGGGTTATTGTTTGAAATCAATACATCTCCGCTCCTGCCTTTGCAAGTAAAGCCCTCACAATTTAAGCTTTTTCGGCGTTTTCGTAGACAAGGCAACCTCAGATCTCCGTCCTTCCTTCCTTTCCCAGGTTCCCCTCCATCGCCCCCGAATCTTGCGTCACAGCCCAAGGGGTACATATGTGCAGGGTAAGCAATTCATCGATAGATTCACCGACCACAATCACGTGCTTTGGCGTTTGCGCCGCGAGGCTACAACTTCACTTCGTCATTCTTGCAGCTCTCTCCAAGGTTGCATTCGGGTGCGGCGCGTGGCTCTGAACATGGACGCAGTCGACAAGTCAGATCACTACGAGGTCGGCACATATGAAGAGACCCCTTCACTACTTTCCATCATCATTGATACGAACCCACGCGCGTGGGCAGCGATTGGCGATACCCTCCCTTTGTCACGAGCTATAGCGAACATCCTCGTCTTTGTCAATGCACATCTCGCCTTCAGCAATGCGAACCAGGTCTCGCTGATTGCGGCGCACGTCAACCGGGCAGCATGGCTGTACCCCTCAGCGTCTACACCGAACAAGCCAGCCCAGCCAAAAGACGATGGCGGCGACGTCGAAATGCAGGACGCTGCGGCGCCACCGCCGGGCTCTGCGAACAAGTACCCACAGTTTGCGCAGATAGAGACAGCTGTGCTGGCGTCAATACGGAACCTCGTCGACAGCACGACCAAGCAGGACCTAGACTCCACGACGACACAACTGTCCGGTGCTTTGACGTTGGCTCTCTGCCACATCAACAAGGCCACCAGCAGCATGTCCGCCTCAGCCGTCAACGCAACGAGCGAAAGCAAGACGAGCGACACTGTCCACATGGGACTCAAAGGCCGCATCCTTGTCATTTCCGTGTCCGATTCCGAACCCTCACAATACATCCCCACCATGAACGCAGTCTTCGCCGCTGCTCACGGCCAAGTCGCCATTGATACCCTTTCTCTTTCGGGCGACGCAACATTTCTACAACAAGCCTGCTATAACACAGGCGGCACATTTCTCGCCGCGCCTAGTCCGCAAGCGATTCTCTCATATCTCATGTTTGGCTTAATCGCCGACACAGAAGCACGCAAGTCCCTGGTTGCTCCCGCCCACGACACGGTGGATTTCCGAGCGGCCTGTTTCTGCCATGGCAAAGTTGTCGACTTGGGTTTCGTGTGTTCCATCTGCCTCAGCATATTTTGTGAACCACCAGAGAATGCCGAGTGCTTAACGTGTGGGACAAAGCTGGCCCTGGGTAATTACGGCTCAAAACCCCAAGTCGTGCCGAGAAAGAAGAAGAAAAAGAAGAGGCCACTCAATGGGACACCCGCAGAGGGTACAGCAAGCGGCACGGCCACGCCAGCTTTATGATAAAACTGTGTATAAAAAAACATACGTTTGGTCTATTTTAGGGAGTTTCGTTCACAACAGCGGTGCTACGTTGTGCATCGGCGTCCGGCAATAAGCCACACCCACCTTAGTCCAAGCGAATCTTGCGCCCTCCTCTCGTGATTTCAGCACCTTGAGACAAACGTGACATGGTGCAGACGGGCCGCTTGTCATTGCCACCCATTGAGGCCAGCGCGAAGGAATCCGTGTTGTGCGCAAAGTAGAAGTAATATCCACTCCGAGTCTTTTTGACCGTCATGACACCAATGGCACCAGCCGAGTGACAGTTCTTGACGCCAGTATGGTTCATAAAGTCATCCGCGATGAAGGACTCCATGATGACATCGTCGTCGTCCTCCGGGACGTCCTTGCCACCGGATCCCTTGCGAGTTCCGTGGTAGATACGCTCAGCGCAGCGTTGAGAAGCCATTGTTGTCGCCATGTGCTCGCCTGTGCCACTGATGACAGTAGCAACGGAAACAGCCTCTTCGTCATCCGGATCACAGGGCACGACGGCCGTGCCAATACCTACGAGCGCCGCAGGGCCCAGACGGCCTCGATGCTTCATGCCGATCCCGCCAGACGATGAGCCGGCGGCAATGTAGCCCCTGTCATCGATTGCGATGGCGCCAACGGTATCAGTGATCAAGTCATCAGCGTGAGAGAGAGGAGGGAGGCCATATCTCGCCGATGGTGCCTCGTCCGTTGAGCTCGCGGGCCGCTTAATGCCCCGTGGCTCGCCTGGTTGTTGTGCAATCGACGAAAACGTGCTCTGGATACTATCAGACTGATCTGGTCGGGAGGCAGATTGTAGACTACTGTGGTAGCTTTGTTGAGGACCAACCTGGGGGGTAGCCTCCCTCTTTTTGGATTCACTCTGGGAGCGAGGCAACTCTTCAATGCTGATAGGCCGTGGTCGGTCAGAAGAGGCATGCGATTGAGAACGGCTCGCAGATGCGACTGAAGGGTTAGGGACCCGAGAGTCGGCTGTGGCGGCGGCTCCTTCTGGATGGGAGTTGTTGGATATGGGCATCTCATTGTAAGGCGAATCCGGCTGTCCTTCGTTCCAGGTGCCGGCCTCAACCGCAGCGTCATGATCTCCGGGAAAGACGGGGCTCGCCGCAGGTTGTGACTCTGGCGCATCCAGTGCCGAAACCGTGCCACGTCCTTGACTGGCAGATGGTCTAGATCTTCCCTCAGTATGGTGAAGATCTTCCTTCCACCGAAGGAACCGGTCCCTCGCGTTCCTGGACACAAGGTGTTCGTTGGCATACGTTGCCATGCCATTCTCGACGGCGAACATGCGGGCCCCCTCGCCAACAAGAGCGTTCGGCGGGACTCGATGCAGACTGAGTGGCAGGTTGCTCATGTCGAGAATAAGCTTTGCGAGAGAGATAGGGTTGCGTATGCCAGGAACGGCACCGCAGGCACCGCTACGCCCAAGATGGTCAACAACCGTCGCGTCACACTCCACAGTGCCGTCAATAGACAGGTTCGATCCGTAGCCGGCGTTCGTAATATCCTTGTCCTCGAGGATGCGGAGCGAAGCCTCAACGGCTTGGGTAGCGCTGGCGCCTGCTTGCAAGAAACGCATCCCCATGCTGGCGGCACTGTCCCCACGTCAGTCCTGATTAGCGGTGCATGTACTGTGGACATACGCTACGCAGGCTTGGAGGTGGCTGCTCTCATTCTGGTGACTGTGGAAGCCAGCGCCAGCGTGTATGAAGATAGCAGGGACTTGTCTCGATCGATGTCTCAGACGGAGCATGCGATCAAGGGCACCGTCCGTGCCAAGTTGGGTGTTGGGCGTGGAGGAAGGGACCTTGACATGATGGCACTGGTCCATCCTCAGCCATGAAAGATGGAGGCCATCAAAGGTATAGAATGATTTAATAACGATGCTGGGGGGTGAACCCTCAAAGAGGTCAGAACGTGGTGAAGTAGAGATGATATGGCGAGTTTCAAGGTGTGGCAAAGGTGAGCATTTAGGAGAGCAGTCGGACCAAGGTTGAAATGGTTCAAGAATTGGAATAAGCTGCTACCGTATAGAGGTGACAGCTCGCTCTCGCCGCATCATGGTGAAGTACGTGTGCCTTCGTTAGAGTGGAAGGCACGAGATTGGGCTTGCTGGTGAGTGAAGGCAAAGCGGGTCCGTCTGCGCAGGAGCCCCCAGTGTCAATATCTTGGGGCTCGACGTCCGTATCCTGTATGCAGACTAGTCGGATTTGGAGACCAGACTGGATGTCAATATGGCTGGATCGCAGCTCTCAGCATGTAGCAGGTGTGTTAGTTGGCCCAATTCGCCAGGAACACGCCTAAATGAGCAGGAGCTCGCCTAGAACCAGTGCCCGAGAAGCAGGAGCACCATGACGTCGGTCGGCGCTTCATTGTTCCGGTCACTGCGCCAGGCTGCAGCGGGGGCTGTCGTGCGAGGCCAGCCACTGGAGAGTCGAGGGTGGCTGTTCCCCACCAAACGCTGGAGCTCCAGCCCACCAGGCACGTCAACGTAAGACTGCCCCAGCTCGACTCGACGACCTGCAGTGACGACGACCTCAACGACGACGGCCTGTCTCGCCCATAGCCGCGTCCATTCGGGTTCTCGGCTTTTACTCTTGCGTCTCTGTCCTGGGAAATTGCGCCAAAGGCATACACCATCAATATGGCTAACCAAACTCCTGCCGTTGTCATGGACAAGTGAGCTTCCTCCCCGCACTTGACGACAACTACTGACGTTGAACCAGCGGCACTGGCTTCTCCAAGCTTGGTACGGGCATTGGATCCATTGCACGAAGGATTGGGGCTGACGCTGTTCAGGTTTCGCCGGAAATGACTCGCCATCGTTCGTCTTCCCAACCGCTATCGCGACCAAAGGAGGAGCAGCGGGCAGCCATGCGGGTTCTGGGTCGGGACGTCCCTCGGTCGCCAACAAGCCCTCCTTCCTGACCGGCGGGGCCGGACCTGGTGGCCATTTGAGTGCGAAAAGAGGCACAGAGGATCTGGACTTCTTCATTGGCGACGAGGCCCTTGCCGCCTCGGGAGGGCCTGGGTACGGGCTTCACTACCCCATCCGCCATGGTCAAATAGAGGACTGGGTAGGCTTGTGACCATGCATGGCGTCGAATAGGCTGCTGACAGTGCTAGGATCACATGGAGCGATTCTGGTCAAACTCCATCTTCAAATACTTGCGCGTCGAGCCGGAGGACCATTACTTCCTCCTGACCGAGCCCGTGAGCGACCCGTCTTTGTTTGGATCGACTGTAGCTGACCATACAGCCCTTGAACCCGCCCGAGAACCGCGAGAACACGGCCGAGATCTTCTTCGAATCGTTCAACTGCGCTGGAATGTATATTGCCGTACAGGCTGTGTTGGCCCTCGCCGCTTCGTGGACCTCGGCCAAGGTGACAGACCGCTCGTTGACGGGCACAGTCATTGACTCTGGCGATGGTGTCACCCACGTTATTCCAGTCGCCGAGGGATACGTCATCGGCTCGTCGATCAAGTCGATCCCCATTGCCGGTCGCGACATTACCTACTTTGTGCAGTCGCTGCTCCGCGACCGCGGCGAGCCCGACTCTTCGCTCAAGACCGCCTCTGAGATCAAGGAGGAGCACTGCTACGTCTGCCCCGATATTGTAAAGGAGTTTGCCAAGTACGACCGCGACAGGAGCCGCTTCGCCAAGCACGTCGTGCGCCACCCGAACGGTCGCGAGGTGTCCGTTGACGTTGGATACGAGCGCTTTCTCGCGCCTGAAATCTTTTTCAACCCCGAGATCTACAGCTCCGACTTCCTCACGCCTCTCCCCAATGTTGTCGACAATGTCATCCAGCAGTCTCCCATTGACGTTCGACGCGGCCTATACAAGAACATTGTGCTGTCTGGTGGCAGCACACTCTACAAGGATTTCGGACGTCGCCTACAACGAGATATCAAGCACCTGGTAGACACGAGGATCAAGGCGAGCGAGGTCCGCAGCGGAGGAGCGCGCAGTGGTGGTTTGGACGTGCAGGTCATCACACACAAGCGCCAGCGCCATGGCCCATGGTTCGGTGGCAGTCTTCTTGGGCAGACACCCGAGTTCCGGTCATACTGCCACACCAAGCAAGAGGTGCGTATCGCTCACGTCGAAACGATGCATTCACTAACCATGCGCAGTACCAAGAATACGGACCAAGCATTGTACGGAGATTCGCCCTTTTGGGTGGCCCAGGCGGATCATAAACGCACAAAAGGCGGAGAGGGCGACGTGGTGAGTGATGATTCCGATGCAGCAAAGAGCGCTTGCCATGGGTTAGATACATGTTCAATATACTACATACAGCTATTTGCTCGTGTCGACGACGTAGCGACCAGCGATCTTGCCCGCCTGCATAAGCTCGTATACATCCTGAAGCTTGCTCAGTCCCACCGTCTTGGAGGGCACCTGGATGAGCCCCCGGCGGAAGAAGTCAATCGCCTCGGCGGTGTCCGCGCGGTTGCCGACGTAACTACCCCTGATGTTGATCATGCGCACGACCGTGTCGAAGACGGGCGCCGAGATGGACGCGTTGGCCGGCAGTCCGATGCAGACCACAACGCCGCGCGAGCGAACGTACTGTGTGGCTTGCTGGAAGGGCTTCTCACTCACGGCGAGCAGCAGACAGGCCGAAGGGCCCAGACCATCCGGTGTCGCGGCCTTGACGTCTGCGACGAGGTCCTTGGTCTTTGTGAAATCGATGAACGTCTGGGCCCCCAACTTCTCCACGAGTTTCTTCTTCTCGTCGCCCCCATCGATGCCAATGGCATGCAGGCCCATGGCACCAGCGTACTGCAGGGCCAACGATCCCAGGCCACCGCCGGCGCCGACAATGGCGATGGTGTCGCCGGGCTTGGCGCCCGACTCCTTGAGTCCCTTGTACACGGTGATGCCGGCGCAGAGGACGGGCGCAATGGACTCGAGGTCGCATTCGTCGGGGATCCGGGCGACGTGGGCGGCCTTGGCCACGGCGTACTGCTGAAAGGTGCCGTCGACGGTGTAGCCGCTCAGGCTGGCCTTTGCGCAGAGTGGCTCGTCGGCGCGCTGGCAGTAGGGGCAGGCCAGGCACGAGCCGTTGATCCACTTGATGCCGACCTTTTGGCCAATCTTGAGTTCGGTCGCGAGCTCGCCGAGCTGCACGACGACGCCTGCGCCCTCGTGGCCGCCGACAAGGGGGAAGGGCTTGGTGTCCAGGGGCCAATCGCCGTGCAAGGCGTGCAGGTCGGTATGGCAGACGCCCGAGTACTTGACATTGACGAGGACCTCATCGGGCCCGGGCTTGGGCACGGGGATCTTTTTGTATGTCACGGCTATATGTTTGTCAGTACAAGTTGGCCTGCTGCGAGGACAGGGGCGGAAAGCGTACAGCCTTGCTTCTCGATCACCTGCGCCCACTGCTCAGAAGGGATGTTGGGTGACATGTCGGATGAAGGACGGACTTGTGATATGACGGGAAGGTAATCTTCGGATGGCTGATAAATTGCTTGCGAGTGAATTGTTGCTGCTGGAATAAGAACAATGACCAAGGATGGACTTTTATCTTATACTTTGAATGAATCTCTGAATCAGACCATATGGACTCTTACATCATGCCATCGAGGGGAAGCTTCCCCCCTCCCCCTTCTACGCTCCCAATTGTTCGAGCGGCAGCCGCCGGAATCTCCCACATTCATGAGAGCATTACTCCTCAGCTTCGGGTGACGGGGAATGCAAGAGAGTGGGCAGAGCAGGCGGGCGGCAGCTAATTAGTGGTGGACGTTGGTGGACGGGAAGCTCGGCCGTCGCGGACGGCGTTGGCCTGGTGGTGCCAGGCGTGCAGCTCGAGGCGTTTCGGGGAATAATCGAGCTGCATGGCGTCGCATCCAGAGCAGCCCAGCCCCTCCATGGGGGATGGAACATCATACATGACCCGCGCTGGCGTCACGCGTCCTACTCACGTAACCTGGGCCGATCCTGAGGATCATTAAGAAGCCCTTAGGCCGAAAGTCAGTCTGGACTCTGGGGGAGTGAGTGAGTGGGGGCCTGTCAGCCGCTGGGCCGGAGGCTACATGCCTAACCAACCACTCAACAAGCTTTCCTGTTTCTTCATGATTCATTTGCATGCATTGACGTGCGCGTGTCCTGACAACATGTAGCTCACATTTCTCCGATCGTCCGCTGCAGGCTGTCATTCCAGCTCCTCCTGCAGAAAGATGTTCGCTTGTGTGGGGTAATTTTGGGATCAGTCAATGTCAAGCGGAAGTCGGCAAGCTTCTGGCCAGGCGTTCGCTGGATGCTCATCAATCGCCTCCGCTCGACTCTTTTCACGGGGGGAGAAGAGGGGGGAAAGGGGGCATTTGGCCTCCGCAGGTGGATATATTGCAAGCTCGCACGCTATGCGATACTTCGACCCGGTGGAAATCTATGTTCCAAGTCCCAAACTCCAAAAATACAAAAGCAGGACCCGAATATGGCCTTACGCAGCGGCCGGCACAGCGACAGGTTGTTCCACGCCGTCGGCCTTGGCCGAGTTGACCTTCTTGCCGGTCTTGGCGATCTTCTCGAGGACGGTCTGGTATGGGAGGTCTGTGACGACCTTGGCGGTCTGGTTCTCGAGGGACACTTCGTAGGAGTCGACGCCTAGGTTGGGGTCAGTGACGGTTGCTGGACAGGCGCACGTGAAGTGCAATGCAGTGCCGTGCGCGCAGGCGTACGTACCCTCGAGCTTCTTGAGGACGCGGTCAATGGCGCCTGAGCAGCCGCCGCAGGACATGGCAACGTTGAACTCGTAGGTGTGCGACATGTTGGCTTTCGGCGTGGTGATTGTGTGGGCAAGCTCGTGAAGGTGAAGTGAGAAGAGGAAAATGGAGAGTGGACGTGATGTTGCAAGGAAAAAGCGCTGAATAATGCAGAAAGAAGCGGATGGCGCGATACAGTAGGGAAGGAGTGACGGACATCCCCCTCATGGCGGAGAGTGGACGTGGATCCCTTATATCGGCTCGCCGGCAGGACCCGCCCCGGCCCTCCGAAAGGGGACGATGGGTCCACTCCGTCTCTTGAAACTTGCTCACGGAGATGTGTGGCAGTGTGCTGGTTCATTGTATCAATATGAAACCTGGGTAGAGTATTTCCTGGGCTGCTCTCGTTTGGCTACTCAGTATGAAACGTGCGCATCATTTATTCTTGTAGGGACGTGCGCGCAGATGCCAACGTTATGACGTCGACCGGGCTTGGGTGCCTGTGCAGATCCGCCTACCCTGCATTTCTCAGTTGTAGTACCCACTGGGACCCTGGATAGATCTCTACAAAGTACTCTACTGTAAATGGATCTGAGAGTATAGACTTCGATGTCGTATCATTGATCGAATAACACCTCTCCTCCTAAAGACTCACCGACACCAGTACCGTCCCTGCCCTCCCCCTCCCCCCTCTGCCAGGTCGGGCACCGTGTCGCCGTCCACCACCACCGTGACTGGCACAATATCCAAGGTCACTTCGCCCTCGTCATCCGTGAACCGACTTGTAAAGTTGTCGCCCAGTTCGAGAATATTGATGGCATCGCTGATCTCGGACATCCAATCCCACAGACTGCCCTTCTCGACCCACCGCTTGTCTGACATCTCGTCGTCCACAACCATCTCGACCTCAACGTCTCCCTCCGCCGGCATCGCTTCGTCCTCGTCCTCCTCGTCGGGCACGACATAATCCCCCGGCACGGGCGGGAGGTATTCGAGGGTCCATTGAGGCTGGACGTCAATCTCCACGGCTGAGTCGTACTCCTGGCCCCAGGGGTGGTCAGGCAACTGCTCTGTTTCCCTCCAGAATATCTCTGGCAAGACACCCCACGCCACGTACACCCGTTCCAGGTTGGGCATGTCCTCAATGGCTCGCACAATGAGCTCGATGCTGTAGTACGCCGTGAACGCAGGTAGAAGTAAATGACGTATCCGGCTGAGGCTGCGGTTCACCCAATGCGTGTCATCGTGTTGTTGCGCAAGCGTGAGTATGTCCGGCAGAAGCGTCCTCATGATTCCATGCCTCGGTAGGTATACGAGATCCTCCTCCGGTAGGAAGTCACGCGTGAGAATGGGGTACTTGTACGGCTGGACAGTCTCCCATGCGAGTCCCAGCTCGGCCGCAAGCTCCTCTGTCACGCCTCGGGCCTCATGGTTGACCACGTGGATCGCCCAGGGCGACGTGCACTGGACCTTGATGGGCGGATCTCCTCCTTGTGTAGCAAAGTACCAGCGGGAGTCAAAGGGGACCACGGCATTCCGAGGCACGCGTATGCTGGGGAGACTCGCCTCGCGCCAGATTTGCAGTCGAATCTCTGTGGGGAGTTGTGGAAACAGCGTGAACATGGTGACGGGAATGGAGATGATTGTGTCTTTGTGTACATGTACAGCTCAAGATTCACGACCGTGATGATGAGGTGTGGGGGTTCAGTCTTCAGATCCGCGGTCCCTGTCGCGGTAGGTCAGTACTTGTGGGGTTGTGGTGATTAGCACTTGTTTTGAAGTACCGCGCTAGCTGAAGCTAACACCCCCGACTCTTGAATGCAAAGCCTAAGATTCACACGGCCATTGTACACTCTATTACATCTACCATCCCCACGCCACTCAGATGAACTGGACGCAGCGCATCAAGACGCGTCAGGCAGACTGGTAGTACGAAAACGCGTCCATCGAGTGTACCAGCCTAAGACAACCAGGTTCAACCAACGTCCCGAACTCGCGTGGAAAAGTGTCTCATTGCTTGCTTGCTGCTACGTACATGTACTACACCTCTTTCACTAATCAATTCCTAGAAGCCCAGACACTAGAACCTCGCCTCGACCTTCTTCTCCGTGTCCTGCAGCGCCCAGTCGTTCGCCTTGGCCCGACTCCGCACCGACGTGGCCTGCGCCTGGGTGAAGCCCTTGGCCTCAACGGCCGGGTTGTACCCAAGCCCATTCTTCCGGCCCACGGTCGCCGAGTCCATCTCGGGGGCCTCCTGCCCGTCGGCGCGGCGGTACACGGTGACGACGGCGGCGCCGCCGAGGCCGAGGTTGTGCTGCAGGCAGTGCTTGGTGCGGGGGACCTTGCGGTTGTTGGCCCAGCCGCGCAGGTGCCAGACCAGCTCGGCGCACTGGGCGATGCCCGTCGCACCGAGGGGGTGGCCCTTTGAGATGAGGCCGCCCGAGGGGTTGATGACGTACTTGCCGCCGTAGGTAATGTCGCCGCGCCGGACGAGCTCGTGGGCCTTGCCCTTGTCGCAGAGCTCGAGGGCGTCGATGACGACCATCTCGTTGGCGCTGAAGCAGTCGTGCAGCTCGACGACCTGGCAGTCGCGGGGCGAGACGCCCGCCTCCCGGGTGGCGGTGCGCATGGCGTGCTGGGTCATCTCGTAGCCCATGAGGTCGATGGACGACTTGGAGAAGAGCGAGGGGGCGTCGGTGGCCAGGCACTGGCCGGCAATCTCGACGGCCTGCTCCTTGAGGTGGGGGCGGGCGTCGAGGAACTCCTGGGAGACGACAATGGCCGCCGCGCCGCCGTCCGAGGTCGGGCAGCACTGCAGCTTGGTCAGGGGCCCGTGGATGGCGGGAGCCTTCATAATCTGCTCGAGCGAGTAGACGTCTGTGAACTGCGAGTAGGGGTTCTTGGGCGAGTGGGCGTGGTTGACGCGGGCAATCTCGGCAAAGTCCTCGGGGCGGGCGCCGTACTTCTCCATGTACTCGATACCCGCGTTGCCAAACATCTGGGCGGCGCCGGGGGCGTTGGTGACGCCGCGCGTCTCGGCCATCATGCGGTGCGTGGTGCCGACGGGGTTCTCGCGGTCGTTGAAGAAGCTCTGCAGGCTGCCGGGCATCATCTTCTCAAAGCCGACGACCATGACGCAGTCGGCGGCGCCGCTCGAGACGAGCTGCCGCGCCATGGCCAGGCCCGTGCTGCCCGTCGAGCAGTTGTTGTTGACGTTGTAGATGGGGATCTGCGTCATGCCAAACTGGTAGAAGACGCGCTGGCCGCAGGTCGAGTCGCCGTAGCAGTAGCAGGCCACGCCCTGCTCGACGTCGTCGTAGTTGATCTGCGCGTCCAGCAGCGCCTTGACGCCCGCCTCGAACCCGAGCTCTGTGTAGTCGACCTTGCCACGGGGCTTGATGAACTTTGTCATGCCCACGCCCACGACGTAGGCGGGCGATCGCTTCTTGGGGGCCATGGCGAGGGATGTGCTTTGCTACGGTGATAATAGATAGATTCTAATACAGAAGAAGAGAAGAATGAGAAGCCTGGGAATATAGTCGATGAGAGCAGCGCGTGGGAAGATGGATGAGGTCAGTCCAGGTCTGTCCAGGGCTGGTCTTGATGTACGGTATATGTACGTCGTTTACGTAGTACCCCGGCTAGCCGTGGGCCACTTATTCCCCGGTCCGTAAAGAGGAAACCAGCTCGGCAAGCGACCAGGGCCTTGACACTCATCGTTCTCCCCTCCTCCACCCGTCTGGCGTCTGATTGAAGACTGGAGTTGTTGGGGCTCGAAATGCGGGGGAAATGCCGAGGCTCAGCTGCCGCGGCTTCACGCGGAGAGTCGGAGTGGTGGCGGTGGTGGCCCAGCTGTACAAACAAGTCGTATAATTAATCTCGATTCATCCAGATAAGGCACAAAGTCTCCGGACGTTCATGCACTCGTCTGCTGAAGACTTGTAATTAGGTATCAAATGCACAGGTATCAGACCCTGGTGTGGATCTCCCTACCCTAGAGAGCCATGCCATCGACGGTCTCCTCCAGACACGAGAAGATCGAGCGTCGCCAGCCAGCATAGGCTGCTCTGTTGGTTATTTTATATCTCCCCAGTAGCATTATCCATTGTATGTCCTGCGCCTCGCACCACGTAGCCTCTTGTCTATTCCCAGACGCCAGAACCAGCATCATATGGCTGGTACAATACCCAGACAGTCCGTAGCAGAAACATATTTCAATCACCCCATCCGTCCCAAAACATCCATCCGTCCTCATCAGCCAGGGAGCCCATCAGGTTCCCCGACGCAGGGTATGCATTCGCGGCAGGATACGCCTGCTGCTGCGACGACGACGACGCGGGCTGCGCCGTCGCTAACCTCTCCAGACTGCAGTTGGCCGCGCGCAGACACTGATCCAAGACGACACGCAGACCGTGCGCCATCTCGTCCGGCCGGGGCTCGGGCGTCCGCACACTCTCCAGCACGAGCGAGAGGCAGATAATGTCCTTGGTGTCGCCGCACTTGATGTTCTGGACCAGGAACCCAATCACCCTCTCCACCGACTGGATTAGCTGCGGCGCCGTCGGGTCTAGGTCAGACGGGTCCGGCGCCGCCGACAGCGCCTGCTGGACCGCCATGGCCGCCGGGTCGGACTGCGCATCGCGCATCTGGGCGCGGATGTAGTAGCACAGGCTGAGCGCGGCCTGCATCGCGGCGCTCTTGTTGCCCGAGTGGCACAGGTCGGCCACCTCCTCGTACTCGGGCATGCTGGGGTCCAGCTCCTCGATGCCGAGTACCATCTGGAGCGAGTGGCGCAGGTAGGCACGCACGGCCTGCGGCGGCGCGCTGGGCGACCCCAGCACGAACGGCCGGTACAGGTTCATCAGGATTGTGCGGATGTGGGCGTCGAGCAGCCCGCGACACCGCCAGCGCCGCGCCTTGCGCGAGTCGGGCGTCGGTCGGTACCGCGGCAGGATGTAGTCCACGTGCTCCAGGTGCTTCTCCAGCTGGCCCGCCACGTCGAGGATCTCGCTCCAGTCGCGGACACTGTCCAGCCGCGCGATCAGGCTGACCGCCCTCCTCCGCAGCGAGAGGGTCGTCGCCGCGTACGCCTGCGCGTGGTTGTCGGTCACCTGGTCAAAGGGCCTCGACGGGGGCAGCTCCGCCATCTCCGGGTAGATCTCGGCGTCATCCAGGTTCCGAGGTGGCTTCGTCGTCATGCACTCTTCGTGCAGCGTCGACGGCATGTCGCAGTCGTTGGACACGTAAATGTCCAGGTTGATAATCGTAGCCCAAAGCCGCCGCCGTATCTCCCCATTAAAGGGCGTGATCCTGGACCCAAACTCGGATGGATCTCGATGGAGGCCCATGCCCAGGGCCATGCGGACAATCGTACCCAGCTGCGCCCATCCGTCTCGCGGGTGCTCCCGCGAGGAGCGGACGATGGCGAACCAGAGGACCTCCACCTGCAGAGTGTCTATCTCGGCGAGGATTTTCCCCTGTAGATTGTTCAGCCAGAGCCTGACCAGTGCACACGCCGTCGGCAGGTGGGCGCCTTCGGACCGCTCACGGCCCAGACCCCTGGACTTGGTCTCGTACCGAGACGCCAGGGCGAGGATGGCGAGGAGCTTGGGGAGAAACGCCTCCAGCTGCAGCGTGCCATCCCAGTACGCATTGTACTGGGCCATGAAGGAGGGCGCATGGATGATGCGGTAGAGCGTCTCGTGATTGTCCAGATAGCCACGCACGAGCCGGTCGCAGACGGGTTTGGGCGGCAGAATGTCCACCATCCGTTTGCGCACCGGCATCATCGAGTCCACGAAAACGCTAATGGGCATCATGGACTTTGTAAACTCGGTCCGCATGAGCTTGTGTAGCTTCTTGAAGCTCGCAAAGACCTCGCGCATCTCGGGGTCCTTGTTGTGGTGCCGCATAAAGTCCTGGGCCTCCTGGAACTAGCGCCATTGTCAGCTGGGTGATCCTGACCACTCGCCATTGTGTTTGTAGACCTACCAGATTCAGCATGACCCGGGGGCTCGACGGCCCGTAGATTCGCGTCCTGTAACCACCTTGCTTGATGGACAGCCCTCTGGCCGTCGCAGGGGCGATTTCCGGTGGCCCCCTGGCACTCCCACCGGTATGATTGCTCGTCGTCTCGGGCGAGTTGGAGCCTAGTAGATGTTTTTCTATCCTCTCCATCCTCGTGACTAGCTGCTCGAGGATTGGCAGTGTCTGCGCCGCCGTGACCTGCTGCTGCCCTGGTGTGCCCATGGAACCCCCGTTGCGCATGTCCGTAGCCAGCCGCTTCGTCGGGCGTGCTGTCGACCCAGCATCGGTGCCCTCCTCGTCCGAGGCGTCGGACAAGTTGTGATTCGAGTCATTGTCCGCGGCGTACCGGCAGCCCCTGTTGGACTTTTGGCACTGGGAGCAGGGGCACAGGCGATCGCACTTGAGCTTGCGCTTCCTGCATTCCGTGCATGACTTGACGGGGCGCGGGCGCTTCACACTGCGCGGCTGGGCCTGGGTACCGTGGGGGGTCTGCTGCGCGGCGGCGGGTTGGAGAGACGGGTGCTGGTACGTGGTCGGAGCCAGCAATTGGTGACCCTGAGGTGTGTGGCCCTGCGAAGGAGGCGTCTGCTGCTGCTGGGCAAAGGGGACAGCGGCAGCGGAGGAGGAGGAGGAGGACGAAGTGGTAGCCGCCACTGTCGACGTAGCTTCGTAAGGCGGAGGATGGCTCGGTGCCGGGACGAGGCCCATGTCGGGCACGGGCTGGTAGGTATTCGCCATTCATTCATTCATTCGTTCATTCATTCATTGATTCGTTCGTACATTCATTCATTCAACCAAGGATCGGTCCGTAGCGAGTTGAGGAAGGGAGGTGATGGATAAGCCACGTGCAGGACGGCGATAGTAGGTGCCAGGTCCAAGGCGATCAGGATAAGAGTGGCGTCGGTCGCGAGTCGGGTCTGCGTGGGGACATGTCGGATCTATCGATTCGGACTCTATAACGCTGTCTAATTGTCGCGGGAGGTACGTAGGGCGAGGGGACGTGGACGGTGGACTGGTGATGCAAGGACTGGAAAGCAATTCCAAGGACGGACGGGGGTGGGAGCAACTTGGGCAGGTGACGATGGCCAGCTGGAGGTCCGAGCTAGACCTTACCTTACATAGTACGGAGTACTTACTACCTACCTAGGTAAGGTACCTTAATCACCTTGGCTTGGACTTGTTGGAGACACCAGACTACTACGGATACAGTCGACTGCGCAGTCAACCATGTTCATGCACGCATGCCACTGCAGCCATTATTCTGACTGTCTGTCCATCTGCCTCCCACCAGCCACCCGCCGAAGGATCAACAAGGATGGAGTTGCAACATCAACAGGGCCTGCCAGGCAGACGCCGCAGATCAAGCATTCCCACGACGACGCCCTGCAGATATGGATTTTGATTGTTCAAGTCACGGCACTCGCTGTGCAGAAGCAATCGACGGCGACACCGAGCCATGACGACCAACAGCCTCCCCATCCACCAAGGCGCAGCCGGCCACGCCCTGGACCTGGCAGAAAATCCAGGTGGAGAATATTGATATCATCATGTAGACTAGTACGGAGAAATGCTTGCACGTACGTACGTACCTTGCCGGGCGGAGCGCGACCACAGCAGTAAACGCCGAATCCGAGGGTGGACGCTCCTCGTTACGACCGCGACGGGATCAGCTTGCCAGAGACATTGACCATCAACCTCCCAGCCCGGGATACTTGTGCCTCACAATTGTGCAGAAGAATATGAGGCGCGCACGGACACGGAGACTGATAAGCACAGAGATCGACCGCGAACTGAGCGCAGACAAAGGTCCACAGTCCACACACGTCTTGTTGGTTGACTCTTGAGCGTCGGCCTTTTGCGTCCGCCTATACAATGAAGTTACAGAGCTGCCAACCATAATAACATAGACGGCTTTCCACATTCGGCCGACCAACATGCGGAGGATCGGAAAACTCCTCCCTCAGGGACCACGTTGGTCGGGAGTCGGGTCTCGAGCGTCGAAACCCAACATCTATCCAATGGAACCAATGGAACCACGATCCTCCTCTCGACGTCCCGCCCGTCCAGTCGCGGCTCGCTGTTCACAGTTCGACCGACAACCATCAACGTTGAACGGCGTGGTGCGGACCCTGAATATCCACGTCCGCCCGCCGGTCCGCCAAGACCTCACACGAACCCTGTCGAGCGTCGAGCGAAGCTGCAGCCTGCACAGTAGTGACCTGCAGTCCATTGGGGGCGGAAAGGCGGTCAGCCACGTTGTCGGCGAGTTCCACAATGTAGAGAATCACACGCCTGATTAATTATATCGTGAATAATTCTACCGGAAATCGCTCGAGGCATGGCGATCACCAGCACGTGGACGTAACGTGGTCATGCGATGCCACTGACGGCTTCACTGCGCACACATATACTAAATCTTTCTACAAGTTGTACCTTATGAAGCCTTATTTTCCTCTGCTGGAGGTATCTAGAACGCCAGGCTGGCAGCAAGGGTCACGGCCAATCCTTGGATGCATGGCCAGACTGCCTCACTAGGTGACTAACAATCACCCAGCCACGGCCCAATTATCAGGCCCGGCATTTCACTGTCAGGAACACGCCTAGACAGGCTAGACCAGGGAGTAAATCGACTTTGTAAATTGTGGCATCGTGAGGTGTGACCTCGTCCCCTCGAGGCTGAGCACGAGTTCTAGGTATTACGACGGCCATGCCCCGGGCGGACCCTCCCCTGGCGTTTCATCAGAATCATCATGGTAGGCGTACTCCGCCGGCTCATGCTCCCCCTCGTGCGCATACTCCTCCTCGGGCGCCCCGTCACCTCGCAGCATCCTCATCAGCGTCTGCACAATCCCAGGGGCATTGGCGCGCCGCGCGTGCTCCTCCAGGTCCTGACGCAGCTCCGGGTCGTCCATGTCGAGCATGTCCAGCTCAGCATTCTCCTCGTCGTCCGGCGGGATGCCGGCAAGGCCTGCGCCGCCGCCTTGACCGTTATTGTTGGCCCGCCCAGCTTGTAGCCGCGCCTGCTGCCGCTCTATCAGAGCTCGGAGCTGCGCCTCCATCTGGTTATCCATGGCGCGCGTGCTGGAGTTCCTATCTCTCCACGGCATCCGGCACCCGTCGCCCGTGAAGATGTTGTCCTCCTCGGGCGGCGGCAGCGGGTCGAATTCGTAGTTGGGCTGCATGTCCAGGTACTCGCGGGGCGCTGCTGCTATGATCGACGTCTGCCCTTCGAGATACGCCAGTCTGGTGGCCCCCAGATCCGGGGGCGCGTCGCTGGCGGGGAGCTGTGCGGTCTCGACCTTGTCCAGGCTCTTTGCCACCTGCTGGAGCAGCGAGAGAGTGGCCGTGTTGTTCCAGAGATCCTTCGTTTGGTAGACGTACAGCTTTGTCCAGAACGACCGCGCATCCGTGTCCGCCGAGACGCCCCAGATGGAGGGCGGCGCGTCCAGGTTTAGTTCCTGGTATAGAGCGCAGTACAGCCAAGGCAGACGCTGGATTCCGGCGCGGAGCTCCGCCTTTGCGCCCTCCGTGTCCTTCAACTGTAGCTTGGCCAGCACGAGACTCTGCCGGAGGTAGGCTGTGTCTCGGTTGTCGCTCGTCCTCTCCAGCTCCTCGATAAAGTCCACCAGCCACTGGCCCTCGTAAGCCCGGATCGCCAGGAAGTGTAGAAAGTGTCGCATCGCGTATGGGTCCTTGTGGTCAAAGGAGAATAGCAGCTTCGCCCACTCGAGTGCGGTGCGGTACGTGCCCTTCCTGATCAAGCTCCGCAGGTAGTGATAGCCCGCCAGCCATAGCTGCCGATTCTCTGGTCGCCTAAAGTCAAGTCGTGCCTTGCCGCGCTCCAGATCCTGCCGAAAAGCAGTCGTCGCGACGCGTCCAAACGTGAACAATGCCCTCTCACAAAGCTCTGCTGATAGCGCCATGTTCTGATCCTGTTTGGCTACGGCACTGACTTGGAGCAGGGTCGAGACGTGGTAGGCTGGGTATAGGTTAGTACTTTGAAGCCCGACCAAGTCAGTCAGGAGAATAGCACTCACGAACTTGGGCCAGGAGATGCACGATGCGCATCGGATCGCCCATCTGGACACAGCTGAAGAAGAATGTCTGAACAGCATCGTAGCGGTTGTCGTGCACGTAGGCATACTCGGTAGTCCCGTCCGCCCTCTTTTCAAGGACCTCCATCGTCAAGCCGCCCGCCGTCGCTCGAGGCCAGTGTTCCCGTCCCTGGATGAAGACGTTTCTCCGCAGCGACACCTCGGGCAGCTTCTTCATGCCGGGCGGACCCCGAAGGAAGGTCTCCAGGTCGACATTCTGCTGACCCCCACGACGCTGACGTGTGTTGCTCGCCTCGCGCTGCTCCTCAGCGGCCGCGGACTCGATGACCTCCCGCCCAAAGAGCTGGCGCATCTCATTGATTGCTCTGAGATGGTGCGTGTTGATGCTGAGAAGCTCGTTGATTCGTTGCTGCGGTTCGGGTTGGGCCTGTCCCGTAGAGGCGTCCGCTCGCGGTGCGGCAAGCTTGAGTTCTAGAATGGCCTTGTCGATCTCGTCCTCGTCGTCGTTCTCGGCTGCGGCTTCCACCTGAGCCTTGGCCTTTGCCGCCTTCTTCTTCTTCTTCTTCTTCTTCTTGCTCGTCTTTATCGCGGATTGTGACGCCTGCTGCTCGGTCGGTTCACTGTCGGGCTGTGGTTCCTCCTCGGGCTCGTCGTCGTCGTCCCCATTTTCGTCTCCATCGCCGCCTAGGGCAGCAAACAGGCTGACTCTCGGTTTCGCAGCCGGGACTGGGCCAGGACTGTCATCTTCTGAGCTGGATGCCTCAGCTGCAGGAGCGGCGTCTGTGTTGCCGGCGAGTTCGCGCTGCTTCTGCAGTTTGCGCAGCTGTCTGCTCGACATGGTTGGAAACGTGCCCCGCGGCAGGACGTGAGGTTGAGGGGGAGAACAAAATGCAAAGTCCCAAGCCTATGGGACCGAGGCAGGAATCAAGTCAAGTACAGGAGTTCAGTACAGACACGTGGATATGTAGGACGACAATTACAGCTCCACGATGGCGATATTTTTGCAGTGGTTGAAGTTGCTAGTCATGCCGAGCCATGACGTTTGGTGGGGCAGCATCGCACCTACCAAGCATGCACTAATAATCAGAGGTATCTTCAACGCACAGCCAAATTCTCATGATATCACCAGATTTCGGACCAGAAAGGCACTCATGATGGCTTGACGAGTGTATTGATTGCATCGGTCAGTCACGCTAGGAAACCCGTATCCCAATGCTCAGGCGCCAAGCCAACCTCCCCCCTTTCTGCGTTCTTCATGTCTGTCTGTCTGTCCTCAGTTGCCCCCATCCATACCTGGTCAACAGCCAGCCTCTGGCCGTACCCTATGCGTGATCCTTTGTTTCCCATTGCTCATAAAAATGTAACCCCCAGTAAGGACCTTTCTGTATCATATCTCGCTCAGTGCTGCCCCAAACGTAAAACCAAAACGCCGGAAGCTCCGTGCTAGGCAACCCGACTCGAGCGAGCGAGCCTCGCACTCATCTGGTACTAGTTGTACACGTAAAAACTCGGAAAGCTCAGACACAAACTCGTATGGGCCAGCTATTGTCCCTCGGCGGTCTGGTACTGTGGGTTCCCACCGCGCCCTCCACGCCCTTGGCCGCCACGACCACGGCCACCCCGACCGCGTCCGCGACCACGCCCGCGACGGTGCCCGCCGTCTACACTGCCTTGACCAAAGGTCTCCATGTTGCGGCGCTGTTCCTCATCGCGCCACTCGCGACCACCAGGCCGGCCGCCACTGCTGGTGTCGGCCCGATCTTTAGCTTCGCTCGAGATGTTGTCAAAGAACGACCGCGTTTTGTTGTACGCGACAGGCACGTCCTCTGACTGTGGGACCTCGGGAGGCGGGACCTCGCCGCCGTTTGTAGTCTCACCGAGCGGTGAGCCAGCGATGGCCTCCTTGATGAGGTCGTCCTTGTTGAACTTGGCATTGGCTTGGGCAAAGTCAAAGTCCGAATCAGGAACCTCCACCTTGGCAGCCTGTCCCTGAGGACGACCGCCACGCCCACGGCCCCTGGGTGCAGAAGCTCCGCCACGGGCAGCACCGACACGCATCTCGTTGACCTTGTTGGTCAGATTGTCCATCTGGTTGGCACCGCCGTTACCGAGCTGGGCCATGGCCACAGCTACCGCAGCACGAGCGGCACTGGTGGCATCCTGGACACTGCCAGGGGCTGCTGACACGGTGGTCTCAACAGCGGCCTTTGGTGGTTGTTGCTGAGCAATGGGCGGCTGGAAAGGCTTTGTCAAAGAGCCGAGGGGAACGACTGGGTTCACTCGGTTCTGACGAGGTCCGGCAGGAGGTGCCTTGTTGGGTACGGGAGCCTTCGCTGCTTCCCCGGCAAGGTTGGCAGCTGTGTTCTTGACCTCTTCCGTCGATGGCTTCGACTCGACGGGAGGGGCTGGTGCGTTTGTCGGCGGGCGGGCCGCCGCTGGCGACTGTTGGGTCGGCTGGGCCTGCTGCGGCGGCTGGTCGACAGGACCTCGAGAAGCTGGCTTCTGCTCGTGGGGCCCGCGCGGTTGATGAGGTCCCGGGCCGCCGGGGCCAGGAGGGCCAGGAGGGAATGGCTGATTTCCCCAAGGCCCGGGGCCGGGTCCGCCAGCACCTGGAGGGAAGGCTTGCCCAGGGTGACCAGGGCCAAACCAGCCAGGTGGAGGAGGATATGGCATGTTGCCAAATCCTTGAGGGCCCGGAGGGGGGGGCCCACCACGTCCCCAGTTGCCAGGAGGACCGTATGAGGGGTCAAATGGTGGCGGGGGCATGTTGTACGGGTTGAAGTCAGGACCTTGCCCGGGCTTGGGTCCTTGAGGTCCAGGCCCAGGAGGACCGGGAGGACCAGGGCGGTTTCTTGTGGCCTGTGATGATTAGCATTTGTACGGTAACGTATGCTTCTCGTAACAACGTGAGATAGAAAAATTGCTCTTGATCAGAAGGAAGGCAACGGAAAATTTCCACATGGTTTTGCGCTTTCAGGTGACAATAAAGATTTACATCCGAAATATTTCATCATAGGAGAGACTTTGAGGGATTGGGGGAGATTGGTCAACTTACTCCGACGATTGCTGGGTCATCAGGCATCGCTGGGGGCTGATTCTCCTTGGCGCCCGGACGCTCCTCGATGCGGAGGTCCTTCACATCGCTTCCACGGAAGACGATATATTCGTAGACGGAGTCAGAAGGGCCAACCTCCTCCTCTGGACGGTCCTTGCGGCCTTCTGTACCGTAGGAACGAACATTCTCAAGTGACACGGTCGATTCGTCAGAGTTGATCTCGTGGAGGACACCAACGTAGCTGGTCAACGTGTCAATGGAGCTCGGAGGCGCGTGGATGGTCACGCATACCGAATGTCGCTCTTGGAGATGAGCGAGATGCGAGAGCTGCAGCACCGTCAGCGCGTGTCGCATTGGGCTCCCCAGGACCAGGCATACCCTAGGAATTCAGACATCGCGGTCGCTGGTCAGCTGCGTTCAGCACGCAACGAGCTACAGGGAAAGAGCCCGCCTCGACGTGGCTGCGAAAACAAAAGAAATAGGCGCGAGGTAGAGCAAGGATGCGAGGGGACGGAAGCGCCAACGCTCACTGCGCACGGGCTAGGTGAGGTGGTAGATTAGTGAGATGGTTATTTGTTTAGTGCAGGTTTTGTGGTGGTGAAAAGATGGAGGCTGGAGGGAGGTTCTTGTTGTGTGAGGGAGCTTCCGCGCTAAGGCGGGAGATCTTCGGCTATTTGTTACATGCGGCAACTGCCACATGACACGCTCAGCTTCCATGGCATAGGGCATTGTTTGTTTTCAGGCATCAATTATGTATGAACAACCCGCCCATTGCTATCTCTAAAAGGCCCTTGAGGTAATCCATCCATTGTCATGAGCGAGCGTGAATGATAAAGAGTCCGGAACGCCAAACAAGCAAACCCACTTAAAATCACCTGAACTTGCTGTATACAACCGCAATGATGAGAATGACGAGGACGGTAATGATGGCGATAGTAATCACCCGATTGGTAGCCATCCTGGAGGGTTGTTAGCTTCGCCAGAGATGTTACTCGCAGGAGAGAACGCATTACCTACGAGCCATCCCCCGCAAAGTCTTGATGCTCCTGTCGACGTAGCCCTCGCTTTGCAACAGCACATCGTGGGTGTGATTGATGGTCTCGCGTTGCCTGTTGAGGTCTGCAAGTGTGCCGGCGCCGATTTCCTCTGTTTCGTTGGCCAGCGCCATGCTCGACTTGAGGCGCTGACTGCTGCGCTCGAGACGGTCCGTCCCGGACAGGAGCTGCTGGCGCTGCTCCAGATGAGCGTCCGAGGAGCCAGCCGGGTCATCAGTGTATCTGGAGCCGAAAAGGGCGGATCGGTCCGAAGATAGATTGGCGAGCTTGCGCTTCGCGGCGTCGATATCTGATTCGAAGTTGCGGAAACGCTGGTTCACCTTCGCCCTCGCCGATGTCGGGATATTTTGCTTCTCTAGACGCATCTGTCCAAGCTATCACCTGTCAGTAATCGTGCAGACCATGCTCACGTCCGACGTACAATCTCATCGGCCTCTTCAGCTGCTCGTTCGGCCTGGGAGAGGGCGGCTTTCCGGGGCTCGCCCGACAGCTCGGGGATCTGGTCTATCTTTTGCTGAAGATCGGCCTGAACAAGCTTCAGCTCTGCCTCGTAGGAGCCAAAGAGCTCAGAGCCAGCGTCGGTATCGAGTGGGTTCGACATGATTGCAGGTATTGAGTGGCGGTTCAATAGGATGGGATCGCTAGCAGAGGAACGCGCAGGTAACGTTTTGTTGAAATTGTGGTTGCAGGAAAATGTGGTCACCGCGCTGGCTTCAAAGATGGACAGCAAAGAACAGAACGTCGAATATCGAGTGATTGATGCCTAGACTACCTCTTGGAAGTGTTCGTCGCTGGACGCATGCGCCTGCCTGATCGATGTCATGCGACGGCTAAACTCGGGGCGTCGCTCCACATCGCTGTGGCTGGGGTAGCGGCACGTGACGAGCGGCCCCGTTTGCAGTGTCGCTAAAATCGAATTTCGAATCCTGCTTTTTTGTCCTTTTCTTCTTCTTATCATGAAAGTTGAACCCCCGGAATATGAAGAAAATAGGCTCGCCGTCTTGACTTCGGTCTCATGGCGTAGAGTTGTATTACCCGGGCAGAGTAAAAGGTGCTTCTAAGAATTGGCAACTCGGTCTTCCGTTGTCCGATCCCGTTGAGTGTCCAACATATTTAAGCCCAAGGTATCAAAGGAAGATGATCCATGTGCGATTCGAGTCGCTCTGATGTCTGCTCGAGGACACTGCTCCGACCGTTTACGTAGACGCGTAGTATTAGTGGTACGGAGTACTCTGGTCCTCACGCAAAGCCTTTGACTGAACCCCAGCTGTCACCACAGACGTTGAGCCAATTGGTGCCTCGATTGTTGAGGAGCTCCTCGGGAGCTTGTACCGTCGGATTGCCCAGGCTCAAGTTCTCAACTCGCAGTGGGGCCCCCCGTCATCGCGCATGTCCACATGAGCATTGTCGCATGAGGGAAGCGCTTCCCCAACACGACTCCCAACGCCCATAAGACCTCTGGAGAGTCGTGATGACTTCTAGGTCTTCATATCCACGATTGGGGGCGCCCTCGCCCGTCGAAACTCCTGTTCAGCTCTAACATCCGTTTGCGGCCAAGCATGGCGCTCCAACAGCATGTGTGAGTTTTGTCCTACCGTATTCCTGATTTATGCATGTTCCAGTCTTCGTCATCGAATCAGCATTCGACACCCATTCTGCATGAGTGGGTGTGTCGGTGTCGGTGACGGTGACGGAAGCCGGGCCTTTTGCGGTGTGGTTCCTCATCATCCACAGTCAAGAGAACTGGGAACGTCTGGCTGTCCTTGAATTGGCTCTAGTAGCGTCGCGGCCGCAAGTTTTGTCGCGTGCTTCGTTTCTTATAGCATCGCGGTCCTTTGTTCCAGCATCTTGCGTTCCCTTGCCTCTCTTCGCAATGAACCATGTTCACTCTCAGTGTGCCGATTATTGACCCGTTCCCCAGGAAAAAGGTGGCTATAGTCGGCAGCGGTTGCTCGGGAATCGCTGCTCTTTGGGCGCTCAACCGGACTTATCACGATGTCTACCTGTATGAGGCTGCGGATCGCCTTGGCGGGCACACAAATACCGTGTCCTTGAAGAAGGGCAAGTTCTCAACGCAGGTTGACACTGGCTTTGTTGCGTTCAATGCGGCGACGTACCGTAAGTCGAAAATTCTACATACTTATCTGGATAAGTTGCCTAACCGCTTCAGCAAATTTTATGAGCTTCCTTCAAAAGTTTGATATCCCGCTTGAGCCAACAGAGATGAACTTCAGCATATCAAGAGATGGCGGTCTGTTTGAGTGGGCGAGCTCGAAGTGGAGCGCGATGTTCAGTCAACGGAGGAATATCCTGTCCCCCAGGATGTGGAGGCTACTCTTCGATGTCGTCCGTTTCAATCAATTCGCCGTTGATCTGCTCATGGAAGATGAACAGGCCAGCAATCCGGAGTCGATTGGGCAATACTTGAACCGCGAAGGCTATTCTGATGCCTTTCGGGACGAGTATCTCATACCCACGATCGCAGCGGCGTGGAACACCAGCCCCGATAACTTCTCCCTCGACTTTCCTGCATCAACGCTGGTCAGGTTTCTGTTCGTGCTCTGGCGTGTCGCAAGACAACTCGAATACTGACACTTCACAGGTGGAACCATCACTTGCTGTCCACAGTGTCCACTCGACCGCAGTGGCTCACGCTGAGGGATGGGTCGAGGACATATGTTGACGCTGTCATGAAGGGCTTTCCTCCAAATCACCTGTTCCTGAAGACGGCAGTGCGCAGTGTCACCAACGGCACAGACGGACGCCCGGAGCTACACCTGGAAAACGGTCAAACCGAGGTGTTTGACCACGTTATCATTGCGACGCACGGAGACCAAGCACTTTCTCTCATCGGATCTTCGGCTACGCCAGAGGAGCGCGCTGTCTTGTCCGCCTTTACGACGACGCAGAACGAAGTTGTGCTTCATTCAGACCCGTCCCTCATGCCTACCAGACGAAAGGCATGGGCAGGACTCAACTACGCAACGCAAACTTCGAAATTGCGAGGATACACCAATGTGAATGAGGTATCGCTGACGTACAACATGAACGCCTTGCAACGGATACCTAGAGAGCCCTTTGGGGACGTTTTCGTCACACTCAATCCTCTCCAGAAGCCCCAGAACTCGCTGACCCATGGCTGGTATTACTACTCCCATCCACGCCACACACTCCAGTCGATTCGGGCCCAGAATCTCCTGCCAAGCATACAAAATAAGCGTGGGATAAGCTACGCTGGCGCATGGACGAAATATGGCCTTCACGAGGATGGCTTCAGCAGCGGACTCGCCGTTGCCACTGAGCACTTGGGCGCCAGACTCCCGTTTGAATTCAAGGATCCGACGTATAGCAGGGGCAGGGCGCCAAAGCTAGGGCTGTTTGACCACATCTTGCGTTTAGTCGTGCTTCTCATTCAGGTGTTTCTGATACAGGTGGTCGAGCGGCTCGTAGAGTCTGGGAAGCGCAGAGCGAAGCCGTACGTGATGGGCGCGGCGAAGAAAGTCAACGGCAAGGCGACATAGACCTGCGGGCCCTTTTGTTGTACGACCATGATGATATCCATAATAATGTGTGCAAATATAGAATCCACCAGATACGAAAATCATTAATGTGGTGAACATCATGAACAAAAATCAATGACCCGGCCATGTCGGCCTTGGCGGTTCCCGAATCCCGACATGGAAAATGGTCCCAGCCAAGAGCTCCAGTAACGACATGACACCACCACACCAACCACAACCATGAGTGGCGCTCCGCGGTTACAACGAGGCTTCACGGCGGCGAGCACCTCGTCGCCATGGGCGTGCCTGCAGTGCCTACGCGCGCGCCCGCAGCCGACCCAGACGACGCACTTTACGAGCGCTCTACGACGCAACATTGCAAGCTCCACGACGCGAGCAGCGCAGCAGTCTCGCGCGCAGGCGCAGGGCCAGGCATATTCAGAGTCTATGGCCAAGGTCCGGGCCCATTATGACAAGAAAAACAAGACGGTCATGTACGCAGAAGTCGGATTCAGCAGCCGGGACGAGCAGCAGTGGCTAACGCAAGATGGATAGGTACTACACAATAAGTGCAATTCTGGGAACCGTTGCCTTCTCCTACGGCTCAGTGCCACTGTACAAGATGGTGCGCTCCCTTTTTGCATCACCATATTTATGGCTAATGGTATAGATCTGCCAAACCACCGGCTGGGGAGGTCAGCCCATCCGCGCCCATGGTCCCGACGACACCGAAGGCGATATCTCGAGTCGCGTCATCCCCGTCACCAACGCCAAACGCATCAAAGTCACGTTCAACGCCTCGATATCGGACACGCTGCCCTGGAAGTTTGTTCCTCAGCAGCGTGAAGTGCGCGTGCTACCCGGTGAAACCGCACTCGCCTTCTACAAAGCCACAAACCATGGCGATAAAGACATTATCGGCGTGGCCACGTATAGCGTCACGCCGGCCCAATGTGCCCCGTACTTCAGCAAGATTCAGTGTTTCTGCTTCGAGGAGCAGAGGCTCAATGCGGGCGAGACGGTCGACATGCCTGTCTTCTTCTATCTGGACCCTGACCTGCTGAACGATTTGAACATGAAGGGGGTCGAGACAGTCACGTTGAATTATACCTTCTTTAGTGAGTAACTCTTACGGACGGATGGGTTCGCGCTAACAAGATGCAGAAGCGAGGTACGACAACAATGGTAGATTCCAGCCACCGGCAACAGTGTAGAGACTTGTTGGCTGTTGGCCAGTGTATCATAGAAATGTACACTACGTATATAGACAATGTAAAACAACACTCTGGATCCAATACGAAGAGATCTCATTCGCGCCTCTCAAGCAACTCACGCAGCCTCTGCTACATGATATCAGGCCATGGTTTGAGCATCCTCGAGTCCTGGACTCACCCCAAATGCGGACGAGAGCAGGTGGGGTCTTACCGGTAAAAGGTTCACTAGCTCTGCCAGCAACGCAGTGCTGGATTGCTGGTAGGGTATCAAATCACGTGAGCGATCCACCTTGGAAATCCCGCCCACAACCTCCACACACCAAAATTCCCCTGCCTGGAAAAGGAACTTTTAGAAACCATTCCTCTCCATCACGCCCATCGTCAATCACGCCGTCGCCCATACTAACCGCCAGGATGAAGTTCAGCAAGAGTACGTCCCTCAATTGATGGATGCATCAAAACAGCCATGCTAACAAGCAACAGTGGTCGCCTCCTCCCGCCGCAAGAGCCGTGCCGCTCACTACAAGGCCCCTTCTTCCCAGCGCCGTACCATCATGAGCGCTCCCCTCAGCAAGGAGCTCCGTGAGCAGTACAACGTACGCCCTTTCCCGACCTACAGACACACTCCAATTGCATGTCATTAACACTCCCCAGGTCCGCAGCATCCCCATCCGCAAGGACGACGAGGTCACCATTGTCCGTGGCTCCAACAAGGGCCGCGAGGGCAAGGTCACCTCCGTGTACCGTCTCAAGTACGTGATCCACGTCGAGCGCGTCACCCGCGACAAGGCCTCTGGCCAGTCCGTCCCTCTGGGCATCCACCCCTCCAACGTCGTCATCACCAAGCTCAAGCTCGACAAGGACCGTGAGGACATCCTGAAGCGCTCCAAGCAGGGCCGTGAGCTCAAGGCCACCGGCAAGGTCTCCGCTTAAGCGAAGCGTGCCACGCCATAAATCCAAAAAACGACTCGACTTTACACCAATGGGAATTGCGACACACTTTCATGAGAAGCATAGGAACTGGGCATGATACTCCGGCGTTAACTTTGCGACTGGTTGGACCGGATCAAGGGTAGATCAATTGAGAATTTCACCGTTCTCAATGGCCGTTTCACAGCGTCGTCTGTGAGATGCTCCATGGGAGGCGTTTCCCGAAGTCCACATCCGTCGCATCTTTGTGCGCACCGTGTCGTGAATGTCCTTGGCCATGTGTCAAGTGTAGCTCTCGAGCTGGCATTGATCATGTCAAATTACGCTCGAATGCCCTGTCAAGGGAATCACTAGGTGAGTTCTCGTAGTCCCGCCGGTTTATCTCCGCGCCGACCACACTCATGGTTGTCGAGGTAAACATCCGGCGAAGAGCAACCCCAGCAAGGACAACAATAGTTATCATCGTCCCTGCTCTCGTCGAAGATGTCCACTGAGGTTTTATCCTGTGAGGCTGGAAATTTGATGTCGAGGCACATGTTTTATTGCATATTTAATCTAACTGTAATGCTACCAAGTTCATCCTCTTCTTGTCGACAGGCCTCGTAGCAACTCGCAGAGATACGCCGTCCTTGTGCCTTGTCGCCCCTCGATGCAAGCTGATAAGTGTAATAGCCATGCATATTGTCTGCAGTCGTTGAGTGATACAGACCATGAATAATACCGTCCAAAGCCATGGATAAGAAAAGCACTCCTCGGGTTGGAAACGATCGCAGCAAATATTGATGCACAATGTGTCCTGGTCATACTCAGTCAATTTGTCGGTCCTCCTCAGAAAATATCGTCGACGTTGACGCTAGGCGGGCAGTTCTCGCCGCTCTTTGTGGTGGTCACGCCAGCCAGTCTTGCTTCGTCCAGGCCGATCTTACTAGTGTTGCGAAGGTTTGAAAACATTTTGTTTGTGATGGATGGTGTGAGCGATGCTGTGGCGTGCCCGGAGTAGTTCGGCAACACGCCCTGTGCAGTGGTCGAAGAAATGGATGCACTTGAGCCTGTCGAGCTCTTGAGCACATTCGGCAGCAGCCGCTGGCCAATTTTCATCATGTTTTTGCGACCGGTATACAGAATCTCGCGGTCGTCATCATTGGTCTCTTCAGAAGAAGACTTTTCTCGCACACTGCCAGACGAAGTTGGAGGGGTGTCATGCGAACCTCGGTTCAGCTCATCCATGCTACGACCGATGCGCGTTGAGTTTGCGTTGGTGCGATTCGTGGTCACGGTGAGCTCCTCGTGATCCTCGGACGACCCTTGCCCTGGACGAGGGAGCGACTCTGATTGAGTTGAGAATCCTGGTCCATTGCGTGTCAGTACAGTCGCAGTCTGGCTCAGGCCCTCGAATGGATCACTGGATACGACAGGCTTCGCATCCTCTCTGCCTGGTGAGGTCCGAAAAAAGTCCTTCCCATTGAACTTGGGCAAGCTCTGCTGCAGCTCGGCGGGAGCCTTGCCCCAGTACATGTGGCGAGCCCGGAGTTCATCTGAGGATAAAGCACGGTCATACACATAATCAGTGTCCCTTACCGACGAGGGATCGACACCTTCAGGGACTCGGCCTCGAAGGTAGGGAGTAGCTGCTGTCGAGGATTTTGTTGCCATGAGCGGTGCATCAACACGTGGCTGAAAAGGGGCCGCCATCGCCGCTGTGACAGGAAGAGACGCCTTGTCATTGAAGTGCTCAAGACTACCAGCAGGAGAGTTAACAGGCGCTTGCCAGCCAGCAAACGCCGAAGTGGACTTGGTCGAGTTGATACCTGTTCCAAACCGAGTTGTAGAAACACCAGGCTTAGGATCACTGTCTGAAGAGCGTCGATTGTCACGTCGTGCTTGCTTGTCACTCGTTCTAGGCAATCTGGCAGAGGACTTGCCATGTGAGCCTTGTGAGGGACTCCGTGGTCTACCATCACTCTTGCTCGCTGGCGGCGGGTAACGATCATCTTCGACGGAGAGCTGTATCTCGAGGTTGGTTTTGAACTGGTCAATATACTGACGAACCGTTCGGGCATCAGCCTCCACCGCCTTCTCATCAATTTGATGTTTGTTGAAGTTCAGTTGATCTTCGAGGTACTTGAGACGTGAGCGTAGGATGTCAAGGTGCCGCTTCGTGATTTCACTAGGCCGAATGGACGACCTGGGAGGATGAGTCTGTGCTCCCAAACCGAGACCACGGAGAGCTGTAGAAGATAGGTCCACGCCTGGCTCATCTGACGATGCGGTTTTCGTCCCAGCAGGACGATTTGTCGGTGGCATGTGCATCCCGGGCGGATACACCATGGGTACGCCATAGGGTGCGTTGGGGTAACCCGGACCTGGTGTCATGGGATAGGAGAACGAGGAACCACCTGTTGGCATGAGCCACTGTCCATTGCAATAAACTGGCCGGGGATAGTTGTCCGCTGGAGGACACCGTGGTGGCTGGGGATAAACTGAGCCAGTGTCTGCTTGGTTTTCAGTCCTTCTCTCGCCCCGGCTATCGTCTTGTTGAGGAGGTGGAGGCATAGCATAAGGGTAAGCGCCATGTACATTCATTGCCATGGGCCATGGCATCATAGGAAAAGCCGGGGTCCCTGGAGCCATGCCCGGAGCAATGTTCCCCGGCATGGACGGAAACATGGCAGGAAACACGCCAAATGGGTGACCAGGCAGCATGGAGTAAGGAGGCTGCTCGAAATGCCCACGTGCCTGCTGTGGCGGCGGGAAGGCTCCATCTGTGCCAGTTCTGTCTTTTGTCCACTTTGTAATGGGGGAGACCGAGGCACGAGTGTTTGGGACGATACGTCCACCCGCTGTGACGCGAACGTGAGTTGGCGATGCCACTGCGCGGTAGAATCTCTGGAAACCCTCATCTTTCTGCGCTGCAAGCCCTGCTGGGGCCGAGATGGGCTGGGACTCCACATCCTCGGACTCAGTTCTACCGCGATACTTCCATTCAGAATCGGTGCCGTCCAGCTGACGTGATGCCACATGCTTCTTGCCACGGACCGACTCATTGGAGTCTGCCGAAAGCTCGCGAATCTCTTCTGGTATCCGAGGGAGTCGTGGGTTTGGGGGACGTTCTGCCACTTTAGATGAAATGTCGTCTGGGAGGTTGTCAGAGATGATCCTTGTCTTTGCGCGTATGGAAGCTGACTGACCTAGCTCAGGGACCTTTGACAGCAGAGCATGGATTCTGGTTGTCGTGCCTTTGACTAAAGCCGTGCGCCGCATGTGAAGCAACTCTGAGGGCGAGTAGTGCCGACACGCCATTTTGTCGACAAGAACCCCGGTGGATAATTCGAATTGGCAAGTGAACTGGCGAAGAAGCACTGCCAGTCGTCTTTGAATAGACGGAATGGACTTGATCAGGGATGTTGCGAGGAGCGGGCGACACTAAGACAAAGGTCTGCTACAGTCAGTAACACTCTGGGTCTCTGGACTGATTGGGAGATGCGGTTGCGGAAACAAGCAATCAAACGACCGAATGGACGATTGGATTTCTGATGTTTCCAAGTTGACCCCAGCAACGACAAATGAATGCAGCGATGCACGTTGAGGTCTTCGAAGGCTTTGAGGCCGCTCACTGCCAAGCAGCGTCAAGAGCCTCGAGTTTGCTCGATTCGTGGCAAATCTTGTCGGATGCGTGGGGGATGATAGGAAGCGTAATGAAACGAGCACAATGTAGAGATACATGATAAGAATGCCCAAAGTTCGTGAGAAAGAAATATCAGGAAGGTTACCGCGCTTGAGGCAGGTGTTGTTGTCGGGGAAATGAATGGTGAGTAGAAGCTGAAGCCGCCTTAGAAGCTCAAGCAAAACTGAAGTATCCGACGACTTGCTGTTTCTGGCCCTTCAGGGGGGCTTCTATGAGTGCAGTCGAGGATGGCTCCTCGGGATTTGGAGCATAGGGACGAGAATTGGGGGAGGAACTCACCCAAGCAATTCACAAGTGAGCAGATCAACAAGGAATATGCATATAGAGCCTGTTGGAGCTCCAAAAGGTCGAGAATTGCGAAGTGTCGATTGAGTGTGGTGCGAAGACAGCTAGTAGGGGGTCTCTTGATGAAACCTCAATATTGCGAGGGGGGCGTTGGTGAAGAGATGGTTGAGATTTAAAGCAACTCGATGAAGAAATTGAAGCAACAGTCGGAGGGAATACAACTGCGAGGGCTTGTAACCGAAGGAGCGACGAGGTTCGGGAAGGTTCAGAAACGAGGAAGGTTGGGGGCAACCAGCCAAACAAAGAGAAGGACTATGAGAGAAGTGAGGCCTTCAGAACAGAAAATGTCATTGGAAGGAACGGTGTAAGTCAAGGTAAGGCAGGGTGAGGTCATACACGAGTCTAGTCATCAGCTCCTGCTTGAAATCAGCTGTGCGCTCCGAAGCCAAGCTTGGCAAGGGCTCACGATACACTCTGGAAACGAGAAGAACTCGGCGATGGGGAGATCGTGTGCGCACAAGGTCGCAAGTCTCAAGGTAACCCGCCTTTCCTTGGCACTGATGAAGAAAGGTGTTGGGATGGAAAAGGAGACGTAAGATGAGGATACAATTTGATTGTCTTATTGCTAACATTGACTCCGTTTTACTCCAACCAATCCAAATTTTCCATCCTTACTGTCTATCTAGTAATCTATCTAAGTAGTAATGAAGTATGCTTTTCACACAAAGTATCTATCGGTCTGAGCTTATGAGGCTGCAAGCCTCTCTCCTGTATATCTCTCAGCAGGCCAGCCCTGCATAGTCCAGCGCTCGTCCACCACATCACCACCCATGATGAGCGTGTGCTCAAGCAGGCAGCTGTCGTCCCTCATGGCCGCACCACTGAGCAAGCGGCTCCCGCTGCGCATGACACACCTGTCGCCAATTTCGAGGCGGTTCAGGTCAAACTTGCCTCGGGTGTTGATGTGAGCGACAACGCTGGCGTCGTCCACGGCGACACGATTTCCCAGCTTGATGAGGTCTGGTTCAGTGAACATGAGGCTGGGCCTCCCGTTGGCGAACAATGCGCAATCGTCGCCAATGTCCGCCCCGAGCATCTTGAAGTACATGACAATCCAGTGCGTGCCAGTGAGCATGCCCAGGATACCGTGGCCACGGTAGCAGGTGCGGCGCAGCTTCTCGATGTTGAGGAACAGCTGCCAACGTTGGCAGTATGGTGACTTGTCCCAGTCATAGTTGCCTGGCTGCCTGCGTCCAAGTAGAATCCATTTGGCGCTGATGACAATGGCCAGGGCCAGAACTGCCTGCAGTGTAGTGAGGATGGCGATGACGACCCAGCTAAGAAGATAGAGCGCCAGTACGTCCCACCACATGTTGATGCCTTTGGGGATAAAGTGGTGAATAAGTACGTCCACTATTTGAATGGAGGAAATGTTGGGAACATTCCAGTAGAAGGCTGTGAAGACCGTCAGGAACGAGGAGTAGCAGAAGATGAAAAACGGGCCAAAGACGCGGTAGGATGCCTGGCCCATGTAGAAGGCTCTTCCAAATGGAGAAGCAGAGTTCTGGTCCTCTGACGATCCGGAAGGGAATTCAGTCTCAAACATGGGGGACGTGGGTGTCTGCAGGCCAGTGTGGAAGGTTTCCTTCACATGACCATTGGCAGCAGCCTCTCGGGTATCTGCCAGCGTGTCGTCGCTGCTCATGTGTTGCATGCGTGGCCGGGTATCGTAGTTTTGGCCATTCTCTGCCTCCGTGAGGGTCACTTCGCTGCCATTGCGCGATGAGCGCATGGTCCTATATGGCTTCTCGGACAGCTTCTGGTCAATGCCCGTCGAGAGACACACAGCGTCTCCGCCCTTGTTGCCAACATAGACACCCTCGGGGTTGTAGGACTTGCCTCGGCTGGTCATCGCTCCAGAGCCCATGGTTGTGCGCTCGCCAATCTCGACACCGGGGAGCAAGCAGACCCTATCCGCAATCATCGCACGATCACCAATGGTGATCTTTTCGGAGCCGAAGGCGTCTGTGGTGACCAGGTGGGACCGGGAACCAAATACCACGTCGTTGCCAATGTCGATGAGGTGGTAGTCGCCAATGCCAGGTCCCGTGCCAGGCCAGTACACTCGCTGGCCAACCTTGCCTCCAAGCATGCGAATCGCCACGGATGTAGCTTCATAATGCTGACCAAACATGGACGTCATTGCATGAAGACGTGACACGGGGAGCAGTGTCTTGATAAGAGACGATCGCCAAGTGTCAACGACACCGCGGGGACCAGGTTTCAGCTCTCCGAACATGAGCTGCAGGACGAAACGGACTAGAACAGTGAGGCCGAAGACAATGTAAGGCGCGAACAGGGTCCTCAGTACGAGCGCCAGGTAGTGATAGCTAACTCGCTCGGGATGGGTGAACCAGTCCAGGATGGCAAGAAGAGGGGCGCGGTGATCCATCGGTTGTTTGATGACCATGCCCACCAAACCACCAAGCCATGGGAGAAGTGAAGTGAACCAGACAAGAAGGCCGATCGGGGCTGTGAAGAGAATAGTGAGAAGCCAATGGGGCTTTGGGCCCGCATTAGCAGAGAGGCCACGGTTGACTTCGTCGGCGTCATCGAGCTCCCAGCTCGAAGAGTTGGGACCGATGCAGGTGTTGGGGGGTATGACAGAGCCGGCGGCCAGAATGGACGAGACACCAATAGAGCAGTTCTCTCCGACGACGATACGTCCCAAGTACATGGATGTGTTGCCCTCCGCTGCAAAAGGTCGGCACATGCAGCGTGTCAAGGTGGCGCCATCACGGATGTCGATCAAGTCCCATTCACCCATGGAAACACCTGCGAGCTTGACACCCTTGCCGATACGCGCACCCATCAGACGACAGTATGTTCTCTGTGACGCCTCAGTAGCGCTGAAGAAGCCTTTGCCGCAGATGCTCACAATCTTCTCGACCAGCCACCAGCGCGTATGGTATGATCCCCACATGGGATAGAGACCTGGGCGGTAGCGACCGATGATGATCCATTTGGCGAGAATACCCACCCAAGGCGCGATGCACCGGATGAGGACGCGCGCAACGAGGATGGAGGTTACGAGGTTGAGCAGTCGTCCAGCGACGGACGTGTTGGTGGCCCAAGTCTGGGTGAAAGTCAGGAAGACAATGAACGCGGTCCACTGCGAAGCCCGTCTCATTGGGTAAATGATAGCCAAGGGCACAAGCTGCAACAGCATCAAGAAGGGGTTGCGAGAGCTCCTGGTTTCTGTGCAACCGTAGATCTTGTCCTCGCCAGGACCCGCTGCTGAAGAGTTGGTTGCGTCAATGTGCGCCGCAATGGCCTTGACAGTCCCGTGGCTGAACACCAAGCTGATAGAAATAGGGGTCTTGAACGTGCTGCGCAACAATGAGACCAGCTTGCCCGCGCGAAGGGAGTCGCCTCCGAGGCTGAAGAAGTCCACATTGTGGGCGATGTCGTCAGGCTGGCATGAGAGGACCTCGGCGAATACCTTGGTGACCCGGCCTTCGGTAGAGCCATCCAGGTGCTTCATGGTGGCCGCTTGAAGCTCGTTGAACTCCTTGCGCAGTGAAACCTGGTCAATGGCGCCATCGGCATCGGTCTCAAAGGGGCGAGGCATGAGGTAGACATAATCTGGCACTAGGTAGTTGTGGAGGAGCCGAGCCAGATTGGTCTTGAGCTCGTCGGCCAACGATGGATCCGTCTCCGGTTGGCCCGATCGACGAGGGGCGACGAACAGGGTGATACTGCCAGCAGTGAATGTAGTCGAGT